ACTGGAACCGTAGTTTGAGGAAAAATGCCTGTTCATCATTCTGGTCAAATTGTGATTAAACTAATTAAAATATACGGTGCTTATTATTTTAACCCTAGCTTCCTTTTAAAATAAAGAGAGAGTTTTAAAAGTTATGTCCAATTTCGTCACAACTCTTAGATTTCTAATAAATTTTTTGTCTTGTAGGACAAAGTCAATCGCGAAGGAGATTCGAATGCGAACGCTGCGGACAGTCCTTCGCTTACAGCTACAACCTGTCAAGGCACTTGCGCTATATTTGTGGACAGGAACCTCGATTCTGCTGTCCGCTCTGCCACAACAAGTTTAAAGCAAAGCCCAATCTTGTTCGCCACATAGTCCAAGTGCACAAGAGGCCTGAGCTAGTTGAAACCATAGACATTCCTCATCAATAGAGAAAATAGTTTATTCTGAGTTGAAGGTTGACTTTTTTTTTCATTTCCGCTAAGAGCACGCTTGCTCTAGAATTCGTGGTTGCTAATTCTTAACTGTTGGGTGTTTTCAGGTGCAAGAGGTGTTTCAAGAAACATCGGCCGCGCTCGTGCCTTCAACAATCTGATGGCGTTACATGAGTCTCTGCCGAGCGACCCATTGCTACTTCCGTCCCAATTCGCAGTCGACAATAATGCATTTGTGTCCAAACCGACGCGCGTCTCTCAGAATAGGACCTCATCGCGTGGGATCTGCAAAAACTTTAATCCTTTGTGGGAAGAGCAGTATTTGTGTACGGTGAATACAAAAAACGGCACAATTCTGTGTCTTGTTTGTGGGCAAGTGTTTGTGTCACCCAAACAATTTAATCTTTCCAGACATTATAAAAATAAACACATTAGGGATTTCGAAGACATTCATGGTTCTATGAGGGTTTTAGCAATTGCCCGCCTGAAAGAAGAGTTGCATTTAACAGATAGCCAAAATTAAAAAAAAAATGTTTTTGTTTCCTAGTTTAAGCATTGTTAATGTTGGATTATTTATAATAATAAATTATTCTCTGATTTCCGAAGTTGTTAACTTGTTTCTTTATCTCAATCTCAAAGAACGTTTATATAAATTTCTGACTTACAAGTAACTTGATCTGTGACAATAGGTGTTTTCCTGTGGCTTCTGTAACGTTTTGGTTTTTTTTGTTTAGATGAAGTGTGGAGTTCCGCGCGTCAGCAGTTTTCTTGCCCCAAATGTGGAAAAGTGTACATGCACTACCGTTCTTTGAAGGCGCACCAACGGTTTGAATGCGGGAAGGAAGCAAGTTTCCAGTGCCCATTCTGCCCGCAGCGTTGCAAGCAGAAGAGCAACATTTTGTCTCACATCCGTCTCAGGCACCCGGATGTCGACTACCTCCACGCAAAGAAGATGGTCCGTTGGGTTTAAGTCCAAACAGAACAAAACTACTTGATTTTTAGAGCATCTTTGTACGTCTTTTATTGTGAAGTTGCTGTGTGCGCTGGCAAGATTTACAGCATTTTTGGTTAAAGGCATAAATAAACATTGTCAGAAACCAATAAATCATTATATTTTAAAATTCGTGTTTGGTTGTACCCTATCTTACATTGAAAATAGAAGGACTCTTTGTCATGAGATTTTCATTTTTTTTGAGCTAACAGTGCGTTAGAATTTTCAAGTGGCTATTAGGCACTCTCCTGAGCTTAAATCTACTTATTTATCCTTAGTCGTTCTTTGTGTAGGCACCAAAATTTCTAACGCCACATTATTTTGACTTCTATAATAGACTAACTTGTTATTCGTCTGTTACAGAGTGGATTCCACCAGTGGCTGAGGATAGGACGTGGGGCGCATCGAAGCAAAGCGTTCGTTTCTCTTGTGAGCGTTGTGGCAACACTTTTGTCAGTAGAAGTAATCTAAACAAACACATGCGCTATACCTGTGGACAGGAGCCTCAGTTCCCTTGCCCTATCTGCCCCTATCGATCCCGGCAGAAGTCCCACCTTATTCTGCATGTGGCAAACCGGCATCCTGGTGCAGACGTCCTAAGACTCAAAAATATTCTGCCTCGAGACTGGAAAGCCCTTTAGCAGGAACGGCAGTTGAATTGCAAAAACGACTGTAAATTATGTTGTATGTATTCAACAATAAATTATTAAAAAAGAAAAAAGCTTTTGTTTATTGACTTTCAAACAGGTTTTTGTGTGTGTGCCAAATAAAAGGACACCAATACTTTTTTGTTATCATGTACCTACCTCCTCATGCCCCAAAAGTGATCGTTTCTTATTAGTACTAGCAAATACAGTCAGCTCTGGTTAACTGTTCCGAGTTGGCCCCTGGTTAGCTGTCCCAGAGACATCCCCACCACCACCGGCCGGCGAGAGATTACCGGTTGTCGGGACAGCTAACCAGAGCTGACTGTATTTATAAAACTACAATGGATTGAGAAATAATACTTTTTTATTTTTGCAGGATGTATGGTCTGGCAAAGGCCAACGACGGCTGAATCACCTTTGTTCATCTGCCCGCAGTGCCCACGAACTTACCAACATAAAAGAAGCCTTGTGCTACATTTGCGATTTGAATGTGGAATAGAACCAAAATTTATCTGCCCGCACTGTAATTTCCGGTTTAAGCACAAAGCACATCTAAAGCGACATATATCTAGCCAGCATCCTAACGCTGTTTATGGGTCATTTTAATTGTTTGTTGTCTCATGTATTCAATCCCTATCGTCAATAAAAAGAGAAATTCACACAATTTTCTATTCTTTTTTCACATTTATGTTAAATTGTTGAAATACGTCAATGGTATTCTAGTAAATGCAAGCTGCTGTTTATTTAATATTAATCAAAAGGGTAATTGGTTTCAGATTGGCCTGCTGCATCTATCACATCTTTCTCAAATGAAATTCGTGGCACATCCTCAGGCAAATTTGCTTGTTGCCGCTGTGGCAACGAGTTTGCCTACAAGAGTAACCTGCATAAGCATTTGCGTTATACCTGCATGCAGGAGCCACAGTTTCCGTGTCCCTATTGCCCATACCGATCAAAACAGAAGTCTCATCTTCACAGGCACATCGGATTCAAGCACAAACATCATCTTGGCGCCACGTAGATGCATAAAAAGACGACAAGAAGTCAACCTTTGTACTCTTGTGAAAATTTAAGAAAGGTTGCTAGCAAGATCATAAGTCAATAAAAAGGGCAATGTCAGTTCGACAATTTACAGTTGTATGTTAGCTTACAGTATTATAAAAAGTATTATATGCATTGTAAGGACTGTAAAGCATTTGCTTGCACACAAATAAAGCAATGTACCAATAATAAATGTGAATGAATGAATGTGACGTGTCCACAGCCTTTTTTGAAAGTCGAGATCAGAGATCTGGGATGGTCTAGCCCATGGGCTTTGTGGCTGTGGTGGTAGAGACCGCTCGTCTCGTGCGGATGACCCTGCTTCAGCCGATACCACCACACTGGTGCGAGCCGGCCGTGGAACTGCCCATCCTCATACTCCAGTCGAAATGCTTTGAATATTCCCTCTTAACTAATTTTCGTTTTACGTTTTCAGACAATTTCCCGCCATTGAGCACAATGAGCTTTTCCAATTTTAATACGTCTGCAACGACCAGTCGTGGAATGCCTGCCTCCAGAGAGCAATTTTCCTGCCCACAGTGCGGGAAACTTTACCTCTGGAAACAAAGTCTTATGCTGCACATTCGGAGAGAATGCGGAAAGGAGCCCCAATTTCCTTGTCCGCACTGCCCACACCGCGCAAAGCACAAATCCCATATTTTAAGACACATAATAAGCCGCCACAGCACTGGACCTACTAACTTGTTTTAATCAGTTAAACTTGTAATTCCTTTTTATGCATCGAATGCGCAACCGTATTAAATCTATCATATTTTGTTTAATTTGTCAAATTTAAAAATTAAATGTTATTGATTGAAAGTAATGCGTAGATGTTCTAATTGCTGACAATGTCCTTATGTCTCTTTACCGAGACAAATCCTGAAGCCCTTAGATTGAGTGTTGGTTAATGGTGCGTTTAATATGTGTACTGACTTGAAAGGTCTTGCCCGCCACAGGTTTACTGCCGCCGCCGTTCTTCTCCAATCAATGGATGTCTGGCTTTGGGTCAACCTCGATAACACCACTGCACATGGGAGTACTGGATCGGGGGCGAGTTGGAGGCGAACGTGGAGATCCAAGCAAGCCTTACGCTTGCCCTCAATGTGGCAAGCGGTACGGCTGGAAGAAGAGTCTAAACTTACACGTGCGTCAAGAATGCGGCAAGGAACCCCAATTTCACTGTCCTCTCTGTGATCACAGCTCCAAGCAGAAAAGTAATCTTGTGTCGCATATTCGACACAGACATGAGAAAGATCTGGCTACAGCAAAATTACTTGCAAAGGTTAAACCCCAGCAGTTTGACGGCTCGTTTTTAGATAGTGATAGTCCCGCTTCATCATCCGACATGCATATCCCTAGAATTGAGTAAGAGCGCCCCAAACTTCGGTAGATTGTGCATTATTGTTAGCATGGAAAGTATTTTATTCTTTTACATGTATAAATGTTTATCCACTTATAGATTTAATCCATTTATGTATAGCCATTACAAATTTATTTACCTAAAAATCGTATTATTTGGTTCAAAGCAAATTAATAAGAGAAAAATTGTAAAACATATGAGTAATAAAATTGTCACTATTCTTTTAAACTGGAGTTTTAATCAAAAGCCCTACATATTGAAACATATGCAGTGATTTGTTATTTCATGTTACCGTGACTGACGTTCGCATTCCCTCATTGCAGGCTCTTCCTTTAGACAGTCGTTTTCCCAATCGTGGTCCTCCCTTTCAGGACAAAATGAACTCACATCCTATTCTGCCAGCATTGCAAAAGGCTCTGGTCAGGTAAGATGGCAACGTGTTTGTACGTATCACAATGTCACTCCGTAAAAATATTTGCAATTTGAAACATTTTTGCAGCAAGAGAGGTACCGCTGCATTAACTGTGGTAAAGAATACCGTTGGAAGCAGAGTCTGATGCTTCATATTAGACAAGAATGTGGCAAAGAACCGCAGTTCCAATGCCCTTTTTGCCAACACCGATCAAAGCGAAGAGGGAACCTTAAGGGCCACATTTCGCGAAGTCATCCAGACCAATCTGTGAATGCTGCGATATCATTCCGTTGGAACTAAAGTGCAGGTTGGACAGATAAAGGGGGCTTCCTTACCTTCTACGCACATTGCGTCTACTGAAAAAAGCTCCCTTCCTTCTACACTTTGTCTGTAAACGTAGATTTGTTACTAACGGGATAATTCTTTTCAGGACAGGTGCAAGCAGGTCACACGCCGACAAAGTTAAGGCAAGGCGAAATCTTTTCTTGTGAGCGATGCAGCCGTTCATTTTCTTACAAGTACAACTTAATTAAGCACCAACGATACTCTTGTGGCCAGGCACCTCAGTTTGCCTGCCCTGTTTGTCCTTTGCGTAGCAACCACAAGTGGAGCGTCAACGTACATATGCGAAACAGGCACCCTGAGATAGGCGCTGAATCGAAACCACTGCAATTGCGGTACTAAACGAACTTGCGTTAAATTTAGACAGTAACTGTATTTATCCTATTTGAAACCGTCATTTGATTTGAATTCAAAATTTGCTCGGATTTGATTAGGAACCAAAGTGTAGAACTCAATGTCAAATACCCGTGAAAATCGATTTTTAAAACGACAATTTGCACATGACACTAATGTTAGCACGCTTTAAATGACCTTATCCCTGTGTAAATTGTGCGCCTTTTCAATTGCTTTTTTATTGTCCATGTATGTTTGCATCAGAAGAAATTAAACCAGGATTTAAAACTTGACATATTTTTGCTTTTACCTTTTCCACACACCAGCAACGCAGCTTGAAATTATGTACCTTTAATAAGTTATGATTCATTATTTCATTCTTGCAGGATTCCAAACTGAGAGGCCTGTTGGGCACGCATTAGCGCCTGTTGCGCCCACGGGGACCAACACCATGGTGTCCCTGTTTCTCCCAGGCTTTGAGGACAACGAAATAAGACCAGGACAATCGGGCCACACGTGCCCGAAGTGTAACCGTCGCTACACTCAAAGGGGAAACCTTCAGAGACATATCAAACTGGAGTGTGGAAAGCAGCCTCAGTTTCAATGCTTTATATGTGGGAAGCAATTTACGAGAAAAGACAACATGAAGATGCACGTTAAAATGCTCCATCAGACCTAGAGTAACAAACTTTTACTGCAAGTTTTTTTTGTTCTTTAGATTATTTTTTGAAACATTGTCCTGCATGCAGAATCTTGAACTTGGCGATACTCGTGTGAATTTTTTTGAATGTGTGATTAACCAGAGAGCTACAATGTTATGTGCATTTTCAATATTTAAAATGTGTAAAAATGAGAGGTTTGCTATGTTGCATTGGTCTTCGACTTTTATTTTTAAGTTATTACTTAAGATGCTTGCTCAGAAATTTTTCTTAACTGTCTATATTGATATTAAAGAAACCTGAGTGGTCAAAATGCTCTTATTTTATCCTTTGAATGGGAGTTTTGGGGTGCACAGATGGACTCTGAAGCGCAAACCCAAGCACACAAGTCTTTCCATTGGGGAAATGATTCACCTTCCGCTTCACTGCTGGCCACTCCGAACCTCTCCGTCTGCAGAGGGGAGAATGAATGGGCAGTAAAACTTTGTTAATTGAAATCACCGTGTATGCTTTTGCTTCAAGCGTCCTTCTTTTATCTGGTATAAACTAACTTGTTTAATATAATAAATGAAATGACTTTTGTTTTGTTGTTGGGTTGGTGATATGTTTGAGGGTTTGTTTTGCTGTGTTTATGACACATTTTTCATTTTTCAGGTGTCGTGTGGAGTGCAGGATTTCCAGCAAAGCCGGCTGTTGGATTGGCGAAGTTCCCCTGCGAGCGGTGTGGCAGTGTCTTCTCTTACAAAGGCAACTTACTGAAACATCTGCGCTATACCTGTGGAAAAGGGCCCCAGTTTGCCTGTCCTGTTTGTCCTCAGCGAAACAAAGACAAGTGGAGCCTTCAAAAACACATCCGTAACAAACATCCTGTTTATTCTAGACTGGAACCTGTTATACTACCAACAATACAAGATCCGAAACCCAAAAATGATTTGTTGACGTTTTAGTCATAAAGTGATCATAGTTGTTACTTCACGGCTGTTCAGTGTTTCTGTAAAGCATTTTTTTAACTATCAAGGCAGATGTCTGGTCAATAAAGGAGACAATTTGAAAATATGAATAGTTTCATCTCTTAAAACTCCCCTTAAAAAGGAAAAATGCTGTTTCTCTTAGGTGGCCCTTTCTAAATTTGATCAAAACTCTGTTCAAGCTCACAATGCCGTTTGCTACACAGGTCGGGCCATTTCGTCCTGTCAGGATTGGCCTACGTTGGAAGGATGGCGAGCCCCTGGCCTTAACGCTGCACCCGGTGCAGGGCAACTTCAGGAACTGGAGTTGCAGACTCAATACACTGGACGGGGCGTAGAGTTTGCTGCAGGTCGTCAATGGATCCTCGATAATCAGACGACCGAGTCCTTCGCTTGCCCCAACTGTGATAAAGTTTACCGCCACAAGCACAACCTGCGGCGCCACATTAACGTGGAATGCGGGAAGGCACCCCAGCTGCAGTGCTCCTTTTGTGATATGCGATTCAAACACAAATGCACTCTGCAAAAACACGTGGATCGAAAGCACCACGCATCCAGGAAATGATGGCTTGTCATCCGTTATGTAAACTGTATCTTAATTAAATGCTTTGAGTCATGCTTAGCGATCGTGTTGATTTTTTCCCTTGTTCTTTGCTAACACCTATAGTATTTAGCTCACCCTTTTGTCCAGTAAACTAGAATGTCACTACGTACCTTGATTTAACCTTTTAAAATTTTTTGGCAGGTGGCACAACTCGTTCCCAACCAGGATCTCGCCAACAGAAAAACATGGATCAAGTGTTGAGTAATCCACGTTTAGACAAAGGTCCGTTTTCTCAAAACATTATCAATTTAACTTGCTTTCTGCTACTAAAATATTTTAAAATTTGTTTGTTTCTTTAGATCGTAGTGCCGTCCAAAGCACAAAACATTCTGAAAAGAATTTTAGTGCGCTTCGCAATAAGTTGAATTTATTGCCATGTTGGACCTGGAAAACTGGAGATGTATGTTCATTTTGTTTTCTCTGAAATTGGGCTGATTGACAAGAATTTTCTTTGTTACGTAGTTGCCCATCAACCTAAGTAAAAGTGAGAGGCTCATGCTTGACAGAGCCGTTGTTGAACGTCCATCCTTAAACCTTAAAACTCTTTTTTTAAAGGTGGAATTGGCGCCAGGCACGGCAGTTTACATTAACAACGTCGACCTCCTCCTCATGTGTCGACAGCACAAAGCATCCAAACGGAAACTTTTCATATCTCTTTTAAGAGCGCTTCTAACCGATGACATTTTGTCATCGAAGGGGCTTTCTGTGTCTGGCAAGCTCGGTACTGTCAGAGTTCCCGAGAGAATCTTAAAAGCAGCACTAGGTAAACTCACTTTTCTTTCTTATTCTTTCTTTCTTTCTTTCTTTCTTTCTTTCTTTCTTTCTTTCTTTGGTCTTTTAAAGTTTATATGTATGTTCTCTTTGCAGCGTATGCTACAACTGTCGGTGAAGGAGATGATTTTAAAACTGTAAACAAAATAGTAAGCAATTTGCTTCAACGATTCCAGTCTCCAAGAGTAAGAATGTCGACTCCACGAATTCAAAATGAGCAAGCTGCTGGGCCGTCAACCAGTAACGTCGTTGCAGAGATAATCGAGGAACACGCAGTGGAAACTATGTATTCATCTTTGGTAAATTCAAAACCTGCTTCAAAAATGATTTTTACTGTGTATGTTGGTTTTGTTGTAACTTTTCTTTTTACAGGTCAAAGGAGAACCCTATTACGCCCACTTACCATTTTAGATTGTAAAAAAGTGGACTCAAAACTTTATTTAACTGTTACAGTGTACATTTGCAAGGCAATGCTGTGTGTTTTTGCCTTTGAATGATGATTGATTTTATTGCTTTCTTTCTCATACTGTTACCACATTTGATGTATGTAAGCTTTATCTTCCTGATTTCAATAAATGTGTTTCGGGAAAAGTTTGAGATTTTCGTCGAATTTGCGTAAAATATTTAAAAACACATAACGTTCCCCTTAAATTAATTACACCCTTGGGTGGCCCTTATGGTTTTTCTTCAGAGATGTTCTGAGTAGTCCAATACGCTGGTCTAAGGACTAACGAGGTTGAGGAGCTTCCTAGATTTAAAGCTCAGCGGTCACAAAACCGCGACTGGTGTTGAATAATTATATTTATGAAGCGGAGTACCGCTCTCTTTGCTTAGCGACAAGCAGCGTTCGATATTGTTCAAACATGGGCATGTTTTCAGAAGCTTTAAAAACTAACGCAGGTGGTGGTGCGACCTGCTTTTCTCACTCTGACAGTGTTCTAATTAATTTTTTCTTTCTGCAGGGGATGTTTTTCACGGGCTAGAAAGAAATGTTATTCTGGAAGGTGAAGCGGCTTTAGACAGCGTTCTCAACAATATGGTCCACGATGGCAAGAAGGCATTAGACGACAATGCAATTGATGATGAAATGGAGCAAAGATATGACCTAGGCCCACTACCAGTTTCGTATTCTTTGCCACACTTCCCACTTCACATCACAAACAAGATTAAGCATTATGGAAGGAAAATAGATGCAAAATCCAAGAAGGAGATTCTCGACATACTCTTGAACGACATGGTTCGTTACTCCTGTCACTTGTAAGTTCCTTTAATGACTAATTTTTAGGAATTTTATGTATGGTTTTTCATTCTTTCCTAATAGATGTTTCCAATAGATTTACAGATTTGCTTTTCTAAATAAACCAACTCTTAGCCATGTTTGTATTTCAGTTACCCTAAGGACTATGAATATCAGAGGGTCGCAGAGAGGCTGGTAACTGAGTATCCTGACCTTGCTGATGCTTCGACAAATGCAGCGGTAAGCAATACGTGATTGAGAAAAACTCCTCAAAAATGCACTCTTCTTAAGTGAAAACTTTCTTCATTAGTACCAGACTCGTGCGCTTGGTGGCTTCAAACGCCAGGGTTTCAAGAAGCTGCTTTTCTCCAAGTATAGGTTCATTAGTGATATATTTTTTGTAGACACGCACCCAAAACAAAGTTTTTTTACCGCGCTTTAAGAATTTAACGTTATGAAAAAGATCTTTTCAAGCCAGGATTCTAAAGCGGAAAAATTTATTTGCAGTTCACCGCAGCAGCTTTCTCCCTCTTTTTGTGAGACAGCAATAACAATTTCTTGACTTTTCTTTTGCAGTTTACATGGAAAAGGGCAATAATAAGCAGCTTTCACAAGTATCGGAGGAAACATGCCCAAGACCCAACTTTGGCCAAGTTTAAAGAAAAACTTGGCATTGCTGGTCGCAATTTTGCCGCTGGTGGCAAACGTACGGACAAGCTTGGCGCTCGTGCCGAGCGTCCGTGCCCTGCTTATATAGAGAGTGGCGTTTCAGACACCAGCCCCCAGGCTATAGAGCAGATTCGGTTAACAGTTATTCAGGAGTGGTCAAAAGACCAACCCAATATAGATAAAATTCTATTGGGGCTAAAATTAACAGCACGTGACAGGTGTTTGTTCTTTAGAAAACACGGTACTAGTTTGACTGATGGCATCCAGATGTACCCCTTACTCAAGGATCCATTCTATGTAAGTTTTCACGTTTGTTTTGCGAAAGTGAAGGGCAGGTTTATTTTAATATGCAATCAACCGTAACTCAATCTGCGTTAAAACAAGCGTGTTATCACCTGCTTTTCATATTAAATAACCGTTTTATCTGCTAAACAAAGCTTTTTTTATTCATTATTAATTTAATTTTGTACCTTGCATACAAAATCTTGTTTCAATTCAATGATCATTTACATTAGTTCCTTTTGTATTTTGCAGATCAATGATGAAATGGTACGGTTGTACAGCCGAAACATTTCTGCTCTCTTAAGAGACTATTTTACATCCGATAGGTGCCGTAGAGCTGTTCACATACTGAGACATGCATCAAGGGCGAAAGAAATTACCAGTGCATTTGTAGCCCTACCAGAGGGCAACTCGGACGGAGGTAATTAATTGTTTTCTTGTTAGCACTGCAATGCGTTGCAGTTTCCTTTGCAAATCATTTCGTAGCCCTGAACCATTGATTGTCAAAAACTTGTCTGTTACGTTTTGAATTCAGGCCCTCTCTTGAACATTGCACGTGCACAATCCATAACAATATTTTTTTTTACAATTTTTTTAAAATAAAAATTAGTCACAACTTGGAAGCTTGCGAAAGGAATACACTGCATATCAAATTGTAGGACAAGTTGACTCTTTTAGGCGTTGACCAGTTTGTCCTATGCTAGCAAGTGTCGACCAGTTCTGTGCGACGCTTTGAGGTGTTGACCACATAGTTGTGTCCGACGCTTGCATGTGTACGACACCATCTGTCTGTCCTGCGGCAAACTACAATTAGCTTTCTGTTTTGGCACCACACTTTCAGACGTGGGACATGCTGCGGTTGTCACTTGCAGGTGTTGGACACCGTGTGGTGTCCACTTCGAAACGCTAGACACAAGTGGTTGACACTTGCAAGCACTGGTCTACGCCTACACGTGAGGAATTGTCCTTCGCTTCAATATGCAGTGTAATATCAAAATTTTAATTTATGTTTGTTGCATATTTTGCAGTTATAAGAGACTTTGTCCTTGCTGCGTTCCCTGCCCTAAGCCCTAACGAGTACGTCAACAAGTGGGTTTTAATAGGAAAGGTACGTTTTAATATTCTTGTATTTTGCCGTTGCTTTGGCAGTTTCTTTAAAGCGTTTGCACCTTTGAAAATTATATTTGACTGTATTTTAAGACTACTAAAACAACTTGTTTTGTACTGCAGGACCCAACTGGGTGTGGCGCTATAATAAGAGTCGACTCTAATGTGCAAGGGTGGCTTAATTATAAAGAAGCTAGATATACTGTCATAGTTGAGCAGGAGAGATTTACCGGAGAAGAAGGACAATTCACATTTACTGATGCGATTGCATGTGCGTTGAGCATCCAGTACTTATTTGATCTGAAATACCCGAAAAATGTGCCAGGAGCGTGGAGGTTCTTAGCAGAACATGTCTGCAATCTACCACCGCTAACTCAGCCCATGCTCCCCTCTACTCAAGAGTACATCAATATATTATCTTAAGTTCTCTCTTACCCAACAATTAAACATTTCGTGTCAAATTTTTGTAAAAAAAAATTGTTTCGTGTCATTTTTGTTATAACTTAAAGCGACATTGATTATTGAATGGTCGTATAATTGGGTTGTGGTCTTTTATGAATGAACCTTGCGCTTGTTATAAAATGTACATTCAAAGCGTTTCCAAATCAAATAAATTGTTTTTCTAATAAAAATATTTCAATTAGTAAGTGCTGTTTATTGACCTCCACCTTTGAGCTTTTCACAGTCCGGGCGCTACGCTTCAATTCGACTAAACGTACCATTAAATGTGTGGAAACTTAAATTGCATCAACGTATTATAGCTGTGAAGTTAACTATAACCAGTTTAGCATTGCCGCTGAAACATTTCCGTATGGCTTGTTCACTGTACTTAGCGTCGTAGGCCATCCCGACAACGTCGCAACCATTTTGGATTGTGTTGTACATACATCGGTCGACTTACTGAGATTAGCAGTGATTTTTGTCACCAGCTTTTTAAATATTTTGCACGTTTAGTTCACTTTGCAATAAATTTTAAGACTCACGTACAATTATCTACGGTTTTTGCCATCTGTAGTTACATTTTTAACACTGCACTTTGTTTGTTCTATTCTGCACCCCTGCAGCAGTCTTCCTTCTTACTAATGCCCCTCTTCTTGGCTACAGGTAGAAAGTTATCCACTGTTGGGTGCCCAACCAAGCCATCAGAACGGTCCCAGTGCCGCAGTCCGAGCCCCGGCATCGGTCCCTGGCGCCTAGCTGTGAGGCAGGATTTGCTTGATCCACAAACTCCAACTGGTGACCTCGGCCTGAAGGTACGCTTGTTTGATAATAAAGGCAGAAATGTTTGGCTTCTGATTAAAACAATGCGCATAATTTTCGTTCAAATATTGCTTATAGATTGCCTTGTTAAAAAAATGCCTCATAAACTGTGCATCTCTGTGCAGGTCGAGGCTTCTTACTGGGTGTGCCAGCGGTGTGGCAAAGACTGTCAGATGAAGAGCGCACTCCTGCGCCATACCAAGAATGAGTGCCCCTTCGAGTACAAGTGCGAGCTCTGCAGCACGGTTTTTAAAAAGAGAAGCCATTTTCAGAAACACGCCTATCGATCCGCACACTCGTGCGAGCGCTGCGGCAAAAAGTTCTGCTGGAAGGAGACTTTAAAACGCCATCAGAAGCTAGAGTGCATCCACGCTTACTGGTGTGGAGGGTGCCATCGTGCCTTCCCTAACGAGGCTCTCCTTATGGCACACGCCGCACTTGGCTGTATCCCACCAGCAGAACCACTGCCAGACGACGCGTCATAGTTTTCGCGTCTGCTTTAACAACAGCCTACGAAAGAATGTTTTTCTCGCATGAACAACAACATTGTGTGAACATGTATATAAAAATACTACGTAGAAATTTTAAGACTGTATCACCTATTGTGGTGTCATCGTTATCAATTATCAAGTGCTTTAGCTTGTAATGTGGACTTAAAGCATGCATTAGCGTCGCGACAGAACCCTGTATTCTGTCGTGGTCGCCCCCCCCCCCCCCCCCGGTCTCTCCTTGGAAAAAAACCTAGACTTTTTGCATAATGTTGTGTTTCAAGTATTTAAATTTAAACGGCTGACGTGGAAGTTGTTTCTTTCGAGTGCTGATAACGTTCTTTTGACCTCTAATTACACATATTATGCTGACTATCCAAATGTTAAGTATAAGTTTAAGGCTCGTGTTGCGTGGTGTAGGAACAGAGGGCTAGTACTGTAAGAGCTCTTGACATACAAACACGTGCCGAATAGGAGATTGCAAGTGACATTTTCGGAAGAGCGGAGCAAGTATGTGAACATAAAGCTTCTAAGTTCGTCTCCAGTTACAATAGAGACCCTTTCAGTCGTCACCCAGAGAAGAACGAAAGGAATCACAAAGCCACGAACCAGTAGGTACGTTCCTCAGGGTTCCTGGCTTTTGATATTTTTTGTTCTTCACTCGGTGACGACTGAAGAGATATATTTGTTTTAGACGGTAGCTTCTAAATAACATTTCTACCAGAGTTTTGAATAAACCACACCTATAGATTGTATTTTTGTTTTTTATTACTGTACCCATGTCTCAAAACTACAAGGCAAGCCCTAATTTAAAAAGTGACTTCTAATGTGCTTTGCAATTTTCCAGGAAGATACCCGGCAGACTGGGGGAATCCACAACATCAGCAGTTTGACTGGAACTTTGCCGGCCAAAGCCACGGGATAATGCCCGTTGCTCCTATGGTGAACTACAGTTCGATTCCTGGCCGAAATCCGCCACTCCCGTTTAAGTGTCCGCAGTGTGGCAAGAGCTACGAAAGGAAGATATCCCTCAACAGGCATCTAAATCTTGAGTGCGGCAAAGAACCAACTTTTGCATGCCCGCTCTGTCCACACAAGACAAAGCACAAACATAACTTAATTGGTCATATCAATTCTCGGCATCGAAATAGGGAATGAATCGTACAGCGTTTGTCTGGATTGTGGGGCGTGGTCCTCAAAGACCTAACCGTTTTAGGTGAAACACTTTTTAAAAGAAAAGTACCATTGCTCTTAAAGAATAAATCATTTACATTGATTTGAACCGTCGCTTCCTTTCCAGGTTGATTTGCAAAAAATGTGAAGATAGGTCTTATCTTATTCTAGGCAAACAAACAAAGCGATGTAATTTTTATCATTTTTTGTTAGTCGTTGTTATGAAAATCTTTACTTTGAGGTTACAAGGCAGTTTCTTTGGCGCCGTGTATTTTTAATTATTTTATTGATTCACTTGACATTATTTTGTCATGATTGGCTTGCTACATTGTAAATTATTTGTCTAGTTAAACTTTATATTGAAAGATAATGAACGAGCGGAAATAAATATAGCAAACTGTTGTAAACAAGTTTTATGCATACCCTTTATCCAACAGAAACTTTTGTAAAGCTTTGAGACGCTCATGTTGGCCCGACGCTCCTGTCGCATTTTTAACAAACATGAATCTAACGTTTTCTTTCTTTCTACAGGGTCGGTACTTCGCCATGTGTGCCTGGATTGCGGTAAAGGGTACCGCTGGAAAAGGGGACTAAATCGGCATCAAAAAGACGAGTGCGGGAAGGAACCGCGATTTCCTTGTCCATTTTGCGACTACAGATCGAAGCATACAAGCCACATGCGGCGCCACATTCGAAATCGTCATCAAAACTGCCTTCAGGAGAAAGACCAGCCCTGTGCCGAACAATTGGCGCTTGTCGAGTTTTTGCCGTGCCCAAGCCCAGGTCTCCCTCACAGTGCATGAAGTGACATGTGTGACCATTCTTACTTGTTCTGCTTGGCGCACATTATTTCAGTTTGCCTCATTATTATTTACAGCTAGGATCTTCCTGTTCAACAGTTCTGAATGCAGGCAAATGTCAGCACCCTTTGAAAAAGGATACTTCGTTGTAATCTGATTTTACACTTGTTCGCATTACTGATGAATCTTTGTGACAATGTACCCTTGCTTTGCCATTTTTTCCTCCATTTTGTGGGTGTTTGTTTCCATTTTGACCAAATCACAAATTTTCTTGTTTATAGACGTGCCAAGTCTAATGTCACTCCAGACGAAGTTTGAATTAATGTGGGTCTCCTTAGCTCTCTCTCTCGCTCTCTCTCTCTCTCTCTCTCTCTCTCTCTCTCTCTCTCTCTCTCTCTCTCTCTCTCTCTCTCTCTCTCTTCTGAATAGGATGCTTGCCTTTTTCTTGGACGTATCATATTGTTAAGCCTTTGAGAGTCACATCCCATTTCTTATTAGCCACTTGGTTGGTGTGTGGAATATATTAATATATATTAATATATATTCCAATTGGAATAATAATATAACTTCAGAGTTTGACGCGTCTTTGGAGCTGATTGCCATATCAAAATATCCACGTACTTCCATTTTTGCACAATACTCATAATCAAGTTTTGTAAAGTAACAAAACGCTGCAAAATACATTTTTCTCTATTTTATGCGTCTACTTATATTTCTGTAAAAGAGATGTTCTACTTCCTATTCATCTATTTTTCTAGAGCACAATTTTTTTCAAGAGACCAATCTATTATATGCAAGCAGCATGGTTCAGAGGAAATACAATGCTCCTTGACCACAATGATGCACAATGTTGTTTGATAGCGTGTTTATCTCTCCTGTAGGCTTCAGATATTTTCAATTGTGATATTTTAGAACTTTGTTCGCATTAATGTTAAGGTGTTTCCTATTTCTATTTTAGTGATAAGGGCCTTTCTCATGGTTTATTCATCTCTATCCTTTTATCTTCAACCATTGTTTATCCTCTCTTTCGTTCAAATATAACTCATGTGAAATCTTACATTTTGTGATTTATTATTGGTATTCCCTTGGCAAAAGTCAACCTTGTTATTTAGAATTGTTTTTGTTGTTCCTAACGTTCATCTATTTTTCGCTGCAGGGGTGGTTGGCGAATTACGATTGTACGTGTGTGCCCGTTGCCATAAGGGGTACCGTTGGCCACAAGGGCTGAACCGACACGAGCGGTACGAGTGCGGACAAGAACCCCGCTACACCTGCCCACACTGCCCTTACCGGTCTAAGCAACACTCGCACCTCAACCGCCACATCATCACGGTTCACAGAGACTGCTCCCCAGGCGGAAATGTTCCCAATTGTTAGCTTAACCAAATGAGCCAATAAAACAAATATACATAGATTTCTATGTGATTTGTTGTTGTTTTTCTTACTGCTCATACTATTCACTATTTTATTCATACATTATAAGAAGAATAACTTCTGTCGGAAGCAAATGTTATGTTCTATCTAACTCCTGCTTTATTTTCAGGATCCGCTGAGTGGGTGTGGGATGACATCGCACCTGTCAACACTAACCAAATTTCCTCCGATGCCACAAAGCAGATGTACAGCTGCCCGAATTGTGGGCGCTCATACTCTTGGAAGCGTTCTTTGTACCGCCACATGCACCTTGAGTGCGGCAAGGAGCGCCGATACCCTTGTCCATACTGCCCTTATCGTAACACGCGGAAAGATAACTTGGCAGTGCACGTGAATCGAAAGCACTCTGACCTAGTGGGAACCAACGGCGGGCATCGGATGCCTCCGGCGCCAGACCACTATATGAGTGGACTTTAGTGGTGTTGCACACTCGTCAGAATTCATCATTTTCAAAATAGCTACATGGGCATGTTTCTTAAAAAAATTTCTTCTTTCTAAGATATTTTTAAAGGATATTCTCGTTTGGATGTGTTATGCATTTGGAACATTGTGTCCCTTCCTAGAAGTTCAAAGTTTAGGTCGTGGTGGAAAATGTTATTAACCGCGAGGAGAAAATCTAAATTTTTTATCCGTCGTTGATTGTAGACAACAACCTGTGTACTCTTTGAGATGAAAGTAAGGTAGCCTGAATAAATTTATTTTTAAACATTTCTGTAGGTGCTTTTTATACCAATATATTCACCATCAGATTAGCACGCATTCCCGCCAACCACTCCTTATGAGGCTAGCTGTTGGCAGTAGTGCGTGCTTACAAAATTATGCGGCGGGTTATCTATCGCCGAACTCGTCTTTAAATATTTGAACTGGCAGTTCTTGTAATTAACACTTGTCTTTTTGTTTCAGATCCGTTGTTGCCATGGAGTGGGGGTGATCGCGGGAGCAACACGTCCGGTCATCATCGCTGCCCGGACTGTGGGCGGAGTTATCGCTGGAAGCACGGCCTACAGCGCCACATGGCCCTGGAGTGCGGTAACAAGGAGCCGCGGTTCCAGTGCCCTTACTGTCCCTTCAAATGCACCCGCAAGGACAACCTAACAAGTCACATCTTTAGGCGCCATTCTGGTATCAATATCAAGGCTGCCCTTGCTCGACTCAATCTTTAAGTAGCTTCATGTGTTTTGTTTGAGATGTAGGTCCTTTCCACAAATAGACAAATAGACATTCGACATTCCGGGATTGATTATTTCTGCTCAGGAAAGGCTGTTCTTTTTTCTATTAGCTGGAGGCGGTTTTTTGACTCTTGGTACTCACTCGGTTTCTCTGCAACTTTTTCTGCATATGCTATGCATAAATTTATGCACGCACTTTGTGAACAAGCTTTTGAAGGAAAAGACATGATTGCGTGTCTTTTTTGCGAACAGGTCTGCGTTTTTAAGCGCATTTAGACTTGTTTAAGGCTTTTGCACAAGGTGTTTTGTAAGTTCATGTAAACGAACTTCCTTGCCCTTTTATTTTTGGGCACTGGTGTCACATCAGGGGTGACCTTCCATTGTTTAATTGTTTATGGGCAAGGACTTAAATTAGCAGAATAAGTTCAAGTTCGTTTCGGAAAGGGTGCCTGCCAAAATATGCGCTGAGAGAGCTGTGTGGAACCCCGCGCATAAGTATGTTGCACTGTGATAAGGCTATTTTAGAGCTTCTCACCCTCCAACTTTGCTCTATGTACCTCAGTCTAAGGGATTATTACTGCCACATTAAGGTTGGAACGGGCTTATCGCGCTTGCTATTCTGATAACTCCTTTGTTTATGCTTTCGTTGGTCATTGAAGACTCATACGCAAACAATTTAACCTCAATTGGAGATACTTTAAATTTATTTACATAAATGTGATCGTGTGAAAGGTGGTTTGATACTGCCATTAGTATAATTATTGATCTCTTTTAATTTTTGCGCAAAATATGCATGCGGCAAACGTTGAGTTTCAAAAGAGTATTTTGTTCTATATTATATGTGTTAAATTAATTTTATCACATCTGTGAAATCTGTTGATTTTACTCTAGTGTGTACATATAAAATCTAAACTCTGTAACATGGCAAAATTTAGGTCAGTGTGATATAAATATTTATTGTTTTTCTTTTCAGCAGCTGGTTTACTGAAAATTTTGTTACTGTTTAAGACCAAAGGTTATGCTAGCCATAAGCCAATATGTCTCAAATGATTTATAAACGTGAATCTAATAATTTGGATTATTCTTGTTATTTTTCTTAAATTTAAATGGAATTGTGTGTGCCATCTTGTATTAGAAATTATTGTTACCGGCTCCGCACAGAAAATGTTTTACTCCAGCACTTGAGCTTCTTTGTAATAGTTGCAAGTGCTCTGTCTTTGGCCGTGATTTGCGTACTGTGATGTCAGTTCATTCGCCAAAGTGTCATTTTGTGTTTTTTTTTTCTTTTTGAGGGGCGAATGCAGTTCCAGTTAATTCTACAAATTCATTTTGATTACTTGGAACTTACTTATCTTTGCTATGAAGTTGTCTGTAGCACCATAGTTGTTTGTTACGTTTAAAGTAGAATGTGTTACTGTCTTTACTATTCTCTTATTACTGTGTTATTTACTGTGATCACAGTACCACTTGTTTTGATGGGCTTGGTCGGTTTTACATGTTCTTAGTGAAAATTTTGTTATTGTTGTTTTGTAGAAGTGGCTTAGGGAATGAGGACTTTGTGTTGCAACACCCTCGTAACTCGAACGAGTCCTCATAACCTCACCTGTTTTATACGTTGCTACACCCACTGTCTTTAAACAAACCCAGCCCCTCAGAAGGTGTGGTATTTACACATTGTGTTGTTTGTGGAAGAGGTACGTAAAAGGTGTGAGTTGAAATAAGATGGAATGTTTAAAAGCGCTGGATCGTAAATAAAATTATAATTCTATTTAAAAATTTATTGTGTGTTATGTCTGTCGAATTTTTGCTCGATATGAGTGTAATTGTAATTTGTAGTTTTGGCTCCAGTACTTGGCTGTTTGTTGTATTTTTCTGGAAGTTTAGACAATTTAATGACCTCATGCAACGCGTCCTCAAAGACAGATCGTTATTATGTAAGCTGCGTGAAACAGATTCTAATTGTTTGTGCTGAGGGAAAGTCCCCAACTACTTTTTTTCAATTAAAGAGTTTGTAGCTTAGTAGATTTTGCGATAGGACAACCGTCCGTACACTGAGAATGAAAAAGTCATGATCAATACCCAATTTTGGGCGAGGTTTACTTTCTCACCCAAATTTGGGCGAGGAAAGTTTCCTCACCCAATTTGGGCGAGGAAAGCTTCCTCGCCCAATTTTGGGTGAGGAAGGGTGTATCAGCTCCCTATGTAGCTCCATAGTATTATCACCCAAATTTGGGTGAGGAAACTTTCCTCACCCAAATTTGGGCGAGGAAAATTTCCTTACCCAAATTTGGGTAATAAAGAATTCCTCACCCAAAATTTTAGTCATGATCATGACTCTTTCATTCTCAGTGTAACCACTGGAGTGTGCACGGAAAGCATTTCGAAATAACAGAATACATCGCAGAGGCGCCGGCTGGAAGTAGGGAGTAGTTTGGGCCACAGCCTCCCTCCCTTTCCCCTCTCCAATATTGCCGCAGCATCGTCAGCGCCTTTTGGGCCTGCAAAGCGGGCTGTTTGCGTTACTTTTACGATTAAGTTTATAGTTGATAGGCTAACTTCACCTTGAAGTGTGCCTGGCAGGTACACTGAAGATTCAAGTGTGCCTGGCCGGTTGACGCCAGGTGGAACCTAACCATTCGAGTACCTACAGCAGTTGGCATCCCGCAGCACAAACACTTACGATTTTTTTTTTCACCTGGCACGAATAAGTTGGACCTTTCTTGCAATGCGTAAATAATTTAGATCCTTACAATTGAGCGCGTTGAATTCCGCCTAACTTTTATTGCATTAGGTGTCGTGATATGTTGATAAAAATATTGTGATTTTCAAACTATATTTCATTCCTTGAAATGGCGGAGCTATTCGCTATCCTGAGACCCAATTTTCCCTCATGGTCACATAGGTGAAACTAATCATGTTAATCGTTCAATCTGTATTTGTATGCAACAGAAACTGGGGCTACACTTTAATAAACTGAAAAAAAAACTGCTGCTTTTGTTGTTTTCACCCTGTTCCGTGACGCGACCACCTGACTGCGACATGTATTTACACGATTTTTCCGTTTCAGACGTGATGCCCTTCCACCTTAGCGCAGTGCAGTGTAGCTTGGAGCGTCCCGACGACTCCCGGCAGGGCCCACCGTACGTTTGCCCGCGCTGCGGTCGCCAGTACATCTGGCGCCAGAGTTTCCACCGCCACGTCAACACTGAGTGTACCCAAGACAAGCGCTTCCAATGCACCATGTGTGCCTACAGCAACAACCGCAAGGACAGTTTCCTGCTCCACCTGCGCCGAAAGCACCGGGATTACACGAAACAGTGACTCCGTCCTTATGAACTGTAGACAGGCAATTGATGTAGGAAGTGATCTCTTGATTAGCTTCTTTTTTTATAATAAAAGTATTTTGCTTGAGAGACGATGTTGCCATAATCGTTCGTATTTCCTCGTCCTTTACTGTTGCTTTTGTTTCAAAACAGTGGTTAGGGAAACGACTTTGCAGCGTTACGGCGCAATGACGCCAAGGTTTCAAGAATTCTTTTCTCCGTCCCTTGGAACAGCAACGCTGACTTTAGGGGCAAATTCAGCGTTATAAAACGGTGCACACACGTACAAATGCTTATAATTAGGTGTTTTGCTGCTTAGGACGATAGACAATATTCCGTAAATTCTGTAACCTTCTGTGAATTAACATTTATGTTAACACAAACCAGAAGTGAACACCCGTATTCATTTTGAATACATTAATTATGTAGGTAACTGGACGACAGTCCCGGCAGGATTAACTGGAATGTTCTGTGTGCAGGTACGTCGCAGGCCGAGAAGGGTCCGAGCCACTACGCTTGCACGCGGTGCGGCCGCAGCTACAGGTGGGCCCAGAGCCTGCACCGACACGTGACCAAAGAGTGCCTCCAGGACAAAATGATTAAATGCCCCTACTGCCCACACAAAACTGTGCGTAAAGACAATTTGCGCGAGCACGTCAGACGAATGCATTCACAATTTGTCCAATCAATGTAAAAAATAAACTGCTGAAAGTTTTCCCAACATGTTGTCTGTCACTACGCGAAATCCTCCACGCCACGCCCTATGCTGAGTAGAAAGGGCGAGAGAGAGAGAGGGGGGGGGGGTACCATCTGTGTTATTGACGTGACTAACATTTGATTAACAACTGACATTTTGATTCCAGACTCTAAAGACGGAATCCTGTCGCAGCCACTCCAGTATCCACTGCCGCCTGGCCTGATTGTGGAGCCCAGGCCGTTTTTCCAGGATGCAGTGAAGCCCACGGAGCAGGAACGCAATGCCGAGGTGGATGACGAGACGGCGAGGTCGGCCGGCACTGCGGAGGGCATTCCCTTTGGGAACGACGCGGAGGACGTGGACTTTGTGGACATCGCGGACAGCCCCGTCATGGGCATCATCGGGGACTTGGAAAGCAGGGAGGAGTCCAACACGTGTGAGACTTGCGGCAAGGTGTATCAGCACCGTCGCCACCTGCAACGCCACGTCAAGTACGAGTGTAGCGGCCGCCGCGCCCAGTTCCAGTGCCCCATCTGCTTCAAGACGTACAAGCGGCCTGAGCACCTGAAGCGCCACGGCCTCTTGATCCATCGTGTAACCATCAACACGCCGCGCAAGAAGTCTTCGTAATTTGTAAATGGCCGGCGAAGGGCACGCATTGGACGCTTCCACCTATTATTAAGAATAATAAAAATCTAATATAATTTGTGTAAATGATCTTTTTCACTGTCGACTTAAATTGCCATAAGGTCCAGCACTGCTACCCTTGCTACAACCCGATCCTCGTCTCATCTTTGTCAGAGACTAACTGTTAATTCTCTTTTGCAGATTGGCTGGACAAGTGGTACGGGCTCCAAATTTCCTTCAAGAAAAACATGCTTGGCCGTCCCGAACTGGTCGGCCCGGCGTCTGGTGCTGTTGGTGGTCCGACAAGCCCCTCGGGCGGCGGCAAGGAGGTCGCTAAGGCGTACGAGTGCCCCAAGTGTGGGCGCAGCTACATGTGGAAGAACACCCTGATGCGACACCTGCGCAACGAGTGCGGCATCGAACCGCAGTTCCAATGCCCCTTCTGCCCGCACCGCACCAAACTCAAAAGCAACCTCACCCAGCACATCCGCTACAAGCACATGTCACCCGCGGCGATGACCGAGTCTTTGTAACCACCGTCAGGGTGCGCGCAAATGATTTTTGATGTTTAATGAAAGTAGTATATCTTGCTTCTTATATTCGGCGCATCTTTGTGTCTTGAACTATTAGCAAAGACAATATTGTTTTTTTTTCATCAAGTTTTATGCAATATAAGCTCTGTTTTGTGTTTTAGCGGCATTTTGAGCTGATTTTCCCCCCAGTGTGTGTGAATGTGTGTGATTGTATTTGAATTGGGCCGTCTGTTCAAGGTTTATTGTATTTCAGAGGCTCTAAATTTTTTTGTGTGGCAGCACATTGCCGATAGTGCCTATTATATATTGCTTGTATTCAGCTTAGAAACGAGGCCAATTTCACTTTAAGATTGCCTGAGTGATTTCTTCATTCCCACAAGGTATTCATCAGGCTGTATGTTCAGCGTTCTTGAAGGGCTGTGATGGTGGATTTCTTGAGTTCGGTGTTATTTTTTATTTCGATGACGTACGCGCTTTCCTCGCGTTACTTTATGCTGGCGTAAAAGTAGCGTTATTAGCGTCATCTAGGAATTTCAAAGACTGCCTATAGTATGATGAAAAGTTATTCGCAAAACTCATACGTAATTACTATAAATAATAGCTTTGTATGTACATATCGTCTAGACGACACCCATTATTTATTGTGTAGCTGTGGACATTGACCCTGATTTGTACCTAGGTACAGGTTTTTCTTTACCAGCGGTGAGATTTAAGGTTTAGCGGCGCCTCTTTCGTGCTTCTTCACAGTTCACGACCAAATTCAGTCTGCAAACGTAACAGTGTTAAAAAGACTTGTAGTTCGTAGCTTTGTGATAGTTATGTTAGCACCTATATGGCAAATAGTACAGGGCCCTTGATAGCACCTCTGACGTACTTCAAAGTATTTGCTAACAAACGGTGTAGGCTTTATGCAATGAATACTTCCTGGAACACGCGTGTCATTATCGTGTTTGAAAAAGTTGTGATACTATGTTGGACTGCCTGTATTTTTTTAAGTTTACCTTCCGAGGTAAAAGCGTCTTGGCCCGGTCGTCGACCTTCGGTCGCAAACTCAATATTGCATTATATGTACCACTTCCTAGATAGACTGCAAGAAAAATGTTCCTATTCATCCACTGTCAACATGTAACTTCCACATTCCCGCGAGACATTTCTCGGCTTGATGGTGTATACTTTTCGATATTAGTTATTAGGATTAGTTCCTCAATGCTATTTTTATATTTAAAAACATAGATTTCCCACCTAGAATTTTTGACTCACGTTTGTAGTTTATAATGTCGTGGCGGTAGCTGTTTCAAAACAGCATCGTTATGTTAAAAGGAATTGCGAATAAAATGATGTGCGCACACACGGCGTTCCTGTCTTTTTCTTCTCCCTGTCACCGCCTGTTCTCTTTTCCTGGTGCTAACCGCCGTGTCCGTGTTGCAGACAGCTTCGCGAGGGGCTTGGTGTGGCCAAGCGCTCCGCCTCTCGCTGCGCGCGTGCCGCAGGACAAGGCGTTCGTGTGCGGCGAGTGCGGACGCAGCTACAACTACCAGAAGTCCCTCATCAAGCACCAGAAGTACGAGTGTGGCATTGAGCCGCAGTTCCCCTGCCCGTATTGCCCTCACCGCTGCAAGCAGAAGATCCACCTTGTGAAGCATGTCCGCCGGATCCACCGCGCAGAGCTACCCCCGAAAACGTGACAAGTCTGATACACACCGCATCGCATTTTTTTTTGGAACTCTGTTGTTCTTTTTGACTTAAGATTAAAGGAGTGGTTTATTCTGTACGCTTCGTCCAACGTCTATTCGTGCATCCCACCCTTCTCTGCGCTCTCGCCCTTGACTTTGGCCTTCCCTCGCTCACCGGCTTTCTGTTACAGGACTGCACAGCCCTGCACACCTGTTCGGGTCCTACATGGGGGGCGACGTGGATGGCTTCAACGGCGAGGGGTTGGGCCCCGTGCTGGCCCCTGTGCGATACGACTGCCCGGACTGCGGCCGCAGCTACAGCCACAACTCGACGCTGTGGAGCCACCGCAAGTATGAGTGCGGCAAGGAGCCCCAGTTCCAGTGTCCGCATTGCCCTCACCGCTCCAAGCTCAAGAAGAACCTCGTGAAGCACATCCGGTCGCGCCACGCCGGCCTTGCCCTCAACGTGGACCTCCTCAGGCTGGATAACCCCATGGCGGAGGACTTCTGATCCTCGGAAGCTTTCGTCTTGTGCCTTATTCAGTTTTCCTTGCTGTTAGAAGAGTGCTGGTGACCAAAGATTTAATCATTTGTGATTGGTGTTTTACAAAGGGTGCCTGACTACAGATCATGAATGTAACTATGCAAATAAATGAACTGACTAATTCATGTGTGTTTTGTTAGCTTGTTTCGTTGAACTCTTTGTGCGTCTCGGTGCCCACCCTCGTTTTGTCCGAGTCTCACAGTACTGTTTGTTGCGCAGGCCGCGAGTCACCGCGCGAGTCGCTGCCTTTGGAGCCCCGATGGTCGGGTGCTGGCGGTGCTGGCGGCTGGGAAGCGGGGCTGGGCGTGGGGCTGGGCGGCGGGCTAGGTGGGGCCTGGACCCCGACGCCCGCGCGCTGCGACACGTGTGGCAAGTCGTACGCCTACCGGTCCTCCCTGTACCGCCATCGCCGCTACGAGTGCGGCAAGGAGCCGCAGTTCCAGTGCCCTTACTGCCCGCGCCGGACCAAGCAGAAGCTCAACCTCAAAGAGCACATACGCATGATCCACCCTGATCAACTGAACCCTTTCTGACTCGTTTCTTTTTTAAGTTTGTGTAATTTTTTATGCTGTAAATAGAACTTGATGACATCATTTTGTGCGTCCGTTTTTTTTCTCCGCTGTTTCATTTTCTTCCAGCGTTTATTCTTCTTACGATCCTTATTCACAGCCTTGTTCTCTCGACAGGCAAGTTCGACGTCAAGCTAGACCCCTTCCCCGCTGCCCTCGACCCCGGCCTTATCGTGGACCCTTTCCCCGCGACCTCCGACGGCGTCCTGGATGCGCTGGGGTGGGCGGACCAGGGAGCGGGCTTGGCGCCGCCGCCGCAGCACAACACGCAGTGCCCGAAGTGCGGTCGCGTGTACAACCAGCGTGCGTCGCTCTACCGCCACCGGCGCTACGAGTGTGGCAAGGAGCCGCAGTTCCAGTGCCCTTACTGCCCGCACCGCGCCAAGCTCCGCAGCAACCTGCAGACGCACGTCCGTCTCACGCACGGCGGCACGCTCGGCGGCACGCTCGGCGGCCGTCGCCAGCGCCAGTGATACCTGTGCTATTCGGTACTGAAAAGGGCGCGCCCCATCCAATTTGTGTTTTTGGTTCGCCGTGCCGTCGCTGTTCCCACTCGTGTCCGCTGTCCCCGCGAGCGCTGTCCACTTGCGGCCGCCCTCCGTACTCACTGCTGTCTCTGCACACAGGTCGCGCGCGCAGCAGCGACGCAGGGCCGGTGCGTTGTGAGGGCTGCGGCCGCGTCTACAACTACCGCTCGTCGTACTACTGCCACCGCAAGTACGAGTGCGGCAAGGAGCCGCAGTTCCAGTGCCTGTACTGCCCGCACCGCTCCAAGCACAAGAAGAACCTCAACTCGCACATGCGTCGACGCCACGGCGCCATCGTCACGCCGGCGGGAGTCAGCCTCCCCGGCGGCGACGCCGAGGACGGCGGCTACATGTAAACGTCTCGCTCAATAAATTGGCGCGCGAGGAATGGCGCACCTGGAAGTGTGTCCTGTGTTCCTTTGCATCATCCCCCTCTCCATCCCCTTCCCTCTCTCCTCCCCAGCGCGGCAGCGCCACACCGTGCTAACGCACGTCGTCTGCTCAACCAGGTGACGCGGTGCGCTGCGAGTCGTGCGGCCGCTTTTACAAGCACCGCTCCTCCTACTACAGCCACCGGCGCTACGAGTGCGGCAAGGAGCCGCTGTTCCAGTGTCCGTACTGCCCGCTCCGCACCAAGCTCAAGAAGTGCCTGGTGAAGCACGTGCACAGGCGGCACCCCAACTTGCCCGTCTAGTGTTCCACGCCACGCCGTCAGTGCATCTTGCGATCGACGTGACAGTTGTGCGATTCGCGTTCTGTCTAAAGTGCCTGCTTGTCTTACAGCGTGGCTGGCGGTCGGCGCGGACCCCGACGAGGACCCCGACGCGGCCGGGCTGTTCCCCGAGGCCCTGCCCACGGCGCAGACCAGCGAGCGGCGCAGGCAGACGACGACGGCGCCGTCCTCGCACGCGGCGAACGCGGCGCACGCGGTGCGGTGTGAGGGCTGCGGCCGCGTCTACAACCACCGCGCCTCGTACTACTGCCACCGCAAGTACGAGTGCGGCAAGGAGCCGCAGTTCCAGTGCCCCTACTGCCCGCACCGCTCCAAGCGCATCGGCAACCTCAAGAAGCACGTTGTCACGCTGCACCCGGGGCAGCTTCCATGGAAGCCCGAGCCGGACTGGCACTTCCGGGCCAGGCCGCGGCAGCCGCGGCACCTGTACCAGTAGTCGTTAACGCGTGTTGTGTTGTGTTCACGCGTCTGTGTGTATCTCCCAGATAGCGTTGAAAGTCGTCTTCGTATTAAATTGTGTCTTGCCTGTACATGATGTGTGTCTATTGATTCGGCCTGTTGTTCCTGGTGGCGGGCGCTGCGGCAGCATGACGCTGTGGGGCCCGTGACGTTTTACTGACGGCCGTCCTTTTGTTGTCGCCAGGAGGTACGCTGAGGGCCGCTGCCTGGGCCGCGGACGGACGCGAGCCCGAACCACAAGTGAAGCCGGAACCCAAAATAGAACAGGAGTCCGACTGGGAGGACTCTGCTGACTGCGGCAGGGATGGGCTTGACGGCCCGGCGCCTTCTTCGCCTTCTTCGCCTTCTTCGCCGACCTCGCCCGCCTCGCCGGGCAAGGAGGCGCCCACCGCGCCCACGCCGCCACGGGTCTCCTTCGAGAAGGTCAAGGTGGAGCCGGCCTGGGCCTCGACATCGGCGCGGGACACGAAACTTGACCTGCCGATGACCTGCCCGACGTGCGGGCTACGCGTCGGCTCCCTCGTGCTGCTCAAGAACCACATCCTGTTCTCATGCAACAAGCACCAGTCCATCCTGAGGTGCAGCCTGTGCCCATACTCGTCCCCGCGAGAGACGGCTATGACGCGCCACTTGAACCAGATGCACCCCTTCGAGGCCATCCCCAGCTTCCTCAAGGCGGACCGCCACGCCGACGGAGCCAGTGCAGCCAGTGCAGCCAGTGCCGACGGGGCCAGGGCTGACGGAACCAGAGCCCCGAAGGCTTCCCTTGGACCCTAAATCCGCGTCGTGTTTCAATTTTTCTTCGTCGAATGAGGACGATGATTGGTTGTGATTTTAATCTCCATGCTAAGTTACCCTATTGAAAATAATACCTATGACATTCCGTTGTGTATGTTATTATTATAATTTTCATCATGATCATTTTATTATGTTATGTTAGCATAAACATGTATTATATATGCTCCGTATTAGTACTGTATGTATTAACTTAATTTTAAGCACAGCTATAGCATATTCTAACTATGGTCTAACCATTTAGTATGCGTGTGTGTGAAATTCATCACATTGTTTTTAAGAAAGGATCTTTAATGACTTGTTTCCAGATAAACTTTTATTGATTGTCGATTCGTGTTCTTAGCTTTCGTTCTTCAAAAGAAGAATCTTTAATGACTTGTTTCCACATTGACTTTTATTGACTGTCGATCAGTGTTCTTAGCTGTGTAATGTTTTCTCCGTGTGCTGTGTTAGACCTTCAATAAATTGTTGACTCGACGACCGCGCCTTGCCTTTTTTCCCTGGCAGATTCCCACGTGCCTCCAGCATGCCTCCAGCATGAGGCTGGTTCCACTAACTCGGTTGGTCGTCTTCCAGCGCCCCCCGTTGGCAGCACTGGCAGCACTGGCAGCGCCAACAAGGACGCCCGGCCCACGCTGTGCGTCTGCGGCCGCTGGTTCCGCTACCGGTCCTCGCTGTACCGCCACCTCAAGTACGAGTGCGGCAAGGAGCCGGCCTTCCAGTGCCACCTGTGCACCTTCCGCACCAAGCGCGAGCGCAGCCTGCGCCAGCACGTCGAGACCCGCCACCCGTGACAGCCGCCGCTGCAGCCGCTGCCGAGCGCGGGACGCGGAGCGCGGAGCCCCTGCGAAGTCCCAGGTAGGCACTCCCGCCGCGCTCGGCCTCGAGGCGGGCTGGCTACCTCGGACTCCGCAGGGGCTCAAGCTAGCGCTAGCTCCTCGTGCAACTCGCCATGCTCCCTCCCGACCCGCGTGCCGCTTTCCTCCTGCCGGACCCCGGTGATCGTTTGGCCCGAGTCTTTGCTAACCCTGTGTTGTTGTTGTCCAGGGCTCCTCGGCGGGAGGAGACGCTCCAACCGCGGCGCCGCCAGCGCCCGCAGCCACCGCAGCAAGGACGCCAGGCCCGCGGTGTGCATCTGCGGCTGCTCGTTCCAGTACCGGTCCTCGATGTACCGCCACATCAAGTACGAGTGCGGCAAGGAGCCGCAGTTCCAGTGCCCCTACTGCCCGCTGCGCTCCAAGCGCGCCAGCAACCTCAAGAAGCACGTCCTCACCCTGCACCCGGAACAGCCACAACTGGCGCCGGATTACCAAGCGTGGCCAGCGCAAGCGCTCAACTGACTTACGTGCTCTGCCTGTAGTTTTCGTGTTTTTTTGTTTGTTTTTGTTTTTTAAGAAATAAAGGTGCTTTTCAATTTATAGGGTCTTGCCTTGATAGCTTCGGCTCTGCTCTCCAGAAACCAGCGCACGCCAGAATCACGATACCGACAGACATACACGTTGATGGGGCCGATGGGGCGATGACTGCTGGAGCTGGCGCTAACTCGGTGTCTTTTTGCAGAGGACTTCCACGGCTGCGACCGCTGCGGCCGCACGTACCGCCAGGCCTCCTCGCTGTACACGCACAAGCGCTACGAGTGCGGCAAGCCGCCGCGCTTCCTGTGCCCGTCGTGCCCGCACCGCGCGCACCAGCGCTCCAACATCAAGAAGCATGTGCGCAAGCGCCACCCCGAGGTGTGGGAGACCGTCAAGGAGGACCCCAACGCGTGGCGGGCGCTGGACGAGGACGAGGTGGACGTCGAGCAGCCCACCAACTTCGGCCTCGACCCTCTTGACCTCGGCGACGACGACGTCAAGGTCCTGTACGGCTAGGCCCGAGCGCCGCACCCCGAGTGACTCAAGCTCGCTCTTTCTCTACTTACTGCCTGTGTTCTTGGCGTTTGAAAAGAATATCTTTTTATATAAAGGCGTGAATGAATTTTACCTGTCTCAAGTGATTTGTCCCTTCGATTCAGCCCCAGATGTCCACCACCACCCCCACAGACTCACACAGACGCTCACACACACTCACGATCTCACCGGCTCTTAGCTCGGTCTAACTGTTGTGCCTGTTGCAGTGATCGAGGCGTTCCTGCCCAGCGGGCTCGTGCCTCTTTTGGACGGCCGCCCCCGCACCGCCTCTGCCGCGGGCAGGCACGCCGGGCACGCCTCGCTGCGCAGGCCCGCCCCCGTCCGGCCGATGGCCATGCCGATGGCCATGCCGATGGCCATGCCGTCGGGCCTGCCCCTCGGGCCGCCGCCCCCGGCGCGCGGCGTGGCCCCCGCCTTCGCGTCCTTCCTGTGCCCGCTGTGCCCGCACCGCAGCCGCCGCAAGAGCCACATGGTGTCGCACGTCAGCATGGTGCACCCGGAGTACCCCGTGGAGAAGCTGCTCAAGGAGAAGGAGTAGATGGACAAGAACATGCCTTCATTGCTAATACATACCCTTCTTTATCATAATTATTATCTCCTATCATTAGGTGCATGCTGTAGTTGCGACAACATTTCGAAGCGCATTTGCTTGTATAGATTTATGTATAATCTTACATTGTTATATCATGTGTAATCGTGTAATCTATTGTTGTGCCTGTAGTAACGTAACGATGAACCGCTAAACTAAACTCTTTGGCAATGTATCCACCGCCCCGCAGAAATACACATGTTAACAGACACAAAAGGCCTTCTCTCAGGCGCCCCTCAGAACAGCCCGACACGTCGTCGTCGTCCTCCCAGCTCTGAACCCCTCTAACGTTTGTCTGGTTCCTCACAGGCTTGGCCGTGGGCGAGGCCATGAGCGAGGCCCTGGAGACCCCCTTCCACACCCTCCAGGCCGTCCAGGCGGACCCGATGTGGCACCAGCCGCGCCGCGAGTTGGGCAGGACGAAGCCGCGGGTGTGCCCGGGCTGCGGCAAGGTGTATCACCACCTCTCGTCCTACAACCGGCACATCAACTTCGAGTGCGGCAAGGAGCCTGCCTTCCCCTGCTGGCTGTGCCCGTACCGCGGCAAGCGCAAGTCGCGCCTCGACGAGCACGTCAAGCACGTGCACGCCGGCGAGCGGCGGGGCCCTGGGCACGGCGGCCGCGGCGGCCACGGCCTCGGACGCCGCAGGGGGCGGCCGGCCCCGTGACGCAGTCCGGCGCTGTCTGGCGCACTTGTTGGAGGCGGGGCTGCTTTAGGCGGGGCACAGCGGGGACGGCCACGGCGGGGCGACGACTGTTCTGGCGGGTTCTTGGGACTGAAGAAGCCAAGCTCCAAACCCTCTAGTCATTTTCAAAACTCGCGGTCTATTTTGTCATTGTTATTGTAAATAGGAACTTAGTGATAGTCGCAAACTGCGAATACTTGTAATGCACCTGCAATGTACAAATACTGTAGTGTGGTGAAAGATTGTGTGTTTCGTCAAACGAAATAAATCTTTTCTCCTGGCCATCGTTGGTTTGTCCTTCATGTCCTTCACGCTCATGACGCGCCTCTGTGTTCCCTGCAGTCCCGCGGCTCACTGTGGTCCTTGCCTTTTCCAGGAGTCGGCCTGTTCGAGGCCGTGTTCTTGATGGACGACCTGAACGGGCCTCCGCCCTTGAGGCCTCTGCCACGCGCTGCGAACCGGCCACTGTCTCTGCTGCCCACCGCCTTGCCCGCTGCCCAGTCGACCCTGACGCTGCCGCTGGTGGCGCCGGGCTTGCTGCCGGCCTTCACCGCGCCCTTGACCTCGCCCCTGGCCCTGGCTCCGGCCCCGGCACCGGCCCCGGCCCCGGCGACGGCGACGGGCTCCGCCGTGCAGCGGCAGTCGTGCCCGCAGTGCGGCCGGGGGTACAACCACTTCCAGTCGCTGCGGCGCCACATGCGGCTCGAGTGCGGCCAGAAGCCCGGCACGTTCCAGTGCCCGCACTGCAGCCACTGCAGCCGCCGCAAGTCCCACCTCGAGGACCACATGCAGCGGCGCCACGGCACCTCTCGGCGCAGGCCCCGGCCGCCCCGGCCGCCCCGCCCAGAGGGCCGCAGTCGTTAGGACGATTCGTTTTCCATGTTTTACTTCGTGCTGTCCCAAGTTTTTCCAAAGCTTTATGTGCTAAATCTAGAATACCTGTAGTTTACGTGTGTGTCTCTCTGTCTGTCTGGAAATATAGAACTTCATGAAACTGGCGTTAAAATTCCAACGTGAGCTTCCTGTGCGATTGGTGTATCTCCTCTCGCACTCCTCCCACGCTCCTCAGCACGCGAACAGACATGAACACCACAGGGCCGAAGTAAAGCCGTGTCAAGGCACTCTGCCCTACGAGTCAGCGGGCGAGTGTTCCTACGAGTCAGCGGGCGAGTGTTCCAAATCACACACTCCCTTCCCTTCCCTTCCCAGCTGCCGATGAGCCACCCCGCAGTTGCTAACCGACAGTGTCCTTGTTGCAGACGACGAGATGGCGGTGGACGAGGAGCTGCTCATGAGCCAGGACCAGACCATCATCATCACGACACTCAACACGGAGGAGCTGTCGATGCTGGACGGCGCGCCCACCACCCTGGGACTGGGGGGCAGGCAGATGTACCGCTGCAACAAGTGCGACCGCGCCTACTACCACACGCAGTCGCTGATGCGGCACCGCAAGGTGGAGTGCGGCAAGCAGCCGCAAGTGTCGTGCCCGCACTGCCCGTACCGGTGCAAGCAGAAGGCCGACATGAAGAAGCACATCAACCGCAAGCACAGCGGGCATGGCGCCGTCGAGCAGGCCGCCAGCCCGAGCGCCAGCCCCGCCTCCAGCCAGGCCGGCAGTCAGGACGGCAGCCAGGCCGCCAGCCAGCCCACCAGCCAGGCCACCAGCCCGGCTGCTGCCAAGTCTGCGGGCCAGACCGCGAGCGGTTGAACCGACTGACAATTGTACTTTGTGTTTCTATTTTTATTCTTATTTTCACTTGTATTTTACGGGTTTTTAAAGCCACGTCAGTTTTGTCATACATTTTTCGTGGCATGATTTAAAATAGATTTTCTGATTGTTGTTACGTTTAAAGTGTTGGCATTTAAAATTCTAAAAATGCAACGGACTTAATTAGTTATAGTGTTGTGATACAGTTGTGGTGTTGCAAAAACATAGGGTTAAGTGAGTTAAGTGCTGCGTGAGTCTTGTTTGGCACCTTGCTTCGTTCCAGGAGGTTTTATTCCTGCAACTTCGCATTGTGGTTTATACAATATATTTTAAGAAATAAATTTAATTTTTGATGACAGTTTGTTGCAATGTGATGAACACAACTAACTGCACCTCTCCACCCATGTTTTGTTCCCTTGTGTCTCCTTTGTCGTGTTCCCGGGGTGGTGCTGGATGCGTTACACAGCTCCCTGCGCCCGCGGCGTCCTTCCCGGCCCCGTGTCACGTCGTGTCACGTCGTGTCGCCCCGCGTCCTGCCCCGCCCCTCTGCCGCATCGCTCGCTAAGTCCCTCCTTGTTTGTTCCAGCCATGCAGGCCATGCAAGGCATGCAGGGCATGTACGCCGGCCTGGCGCGTCACTGTGGGCCCTACGGCCCTCTCGCCCCCCAGGGTCCTCTCGGCACCCTCGGTCCCCTCGGCCCTCACGGCTCGCAGTGGCGCCCCTCGCGGCCGTGCGGCACTGGGGCCCCGGGGGCGCACGCTTGCGACTCGTGCGGCAAGGCGTACCAGCACTTCTCGTCGCTGTGGCGCCACCGGAACTACGAGTGCGGCAAGGCGCCCCAGTTCGCCTGCCCGTTCTGCCCACACCGCACCAAGCAGAAGGGCAACCTGCTGCTGCACATCAGCTCTATCCACCCCGAGAACAGTGCCGGCAGTGGCAGCAGCGCCAGCAGCGCCGACGCCACCAAGGGCGGCAACTTTTAGCTGCGTCGCTCAGCTCAACCCCGCCGAACACCCCTGAAGCCATCGTCTCTCCTCATCCGAACCCGGGCGGTGATTTTTAAATCGCCTCTCTTGTAATTTTCTGTTTATTTTTAAGCCAAATTCTTGTTTTTGTGGATATATTTGCAGTCTATTTTCATATTACACTATGGTACTTAAATGAGTGTCCATTCATTATTTGGCCTCGGCTAACCCGTTGCCTCGCGCTTCGCCTGCGGCCCTGCGGCGCTGTGGACACCCTCGCTGACTTGCACGTGGTCTGCTTGTCCCCCAGGCGGCGCTGGTGCCGGCTGGCTGCCCGTGTTCGACGACAGGACCGAGCAGTGGACCGAGGCGGGCGTCCCTAGCGTCCCGGACTTGGACTCCGAGCCGCCGCCCCCGCAGAGTCTGGCGCCGGGCCTCGCGCCGGGCCAGGGCCACTTCCCCTGCAACCAGTGTGGCAAAGTGTACCTGCACCTGCCGTCGCTGTGGAACCACAAGACGTACCAGTGCGGCAAGGAGCCTCAGTTCGCCTGCCCCATCTGCGGCAAGCTCTTCCGCTTCAAAGCGCATCGCAAGCGCCACGTGCTCAAGCAGCACGCCGAGCCCGGCCCTGGAGGCCCTGGTGGCTCTGGCGCCGCGAGGGGCGCCGTCTACGGCAAGCGCTGACTCACTGACGAACACTCACCACGACCCACACTTTCCGAGTACAAACAGAATGGACCAATAAAAATCAACAAACAGTTTCAACGCTTCGTTCAACTCAATTTGAAACCTCTCGTCTTCTTAAGACACACATTGGCGACAGGCGGCGAAGACGCGCTCCAACCGTTCCGACTAATGATCCTCCCGATGTGCCCCGCAGGCGACGCAGGCGACGCGGACTGGTACCGAGAGGCTTACCGACAGGGCTTGGAAAGCGGCCTCCACGGCCTGGGTGCAGAACCAGATCCCGGCGCGGAGTTTGGCGCGGAGCTAGGCGCGGAGCTAATGCCGGGCACGGAGCCCAGCGCGGACTCGCGGTTCGTGTGCTCCTCGTGCCTCAAGCGCTACCGCGACTACAACTCGCTGTGGAAGCACGTTAAGTTCGTGTGCGGCAACTCGTTCGCGCGCTACCAGTGCCCGTTGTGCATGGTGCGCTGCAAGCGCAGGGACACGATGCGCCGCCACATGGTGAAGCAGCACGGCCCCGACTCCATCAACCACCCCGTCATCGAGCTGCAGCCGCTGCTGCAGCCCAGTGCTCGGCCCGGCCGGGGGCAGGCTGTTCAATCGACACTGTAACATGTAACCTCCTCTCGGCAGCAAATAAATTGGGAAAGGCCTGACTGTGTATCCCTGCTGCGCCCTTGCGGCCTGCGCCACGCGCGCCACGATGCTGCGACCCCTCCCACCCCGCGAGGAACGCGCCGTGGGGCAGAGTCTGAAACGAGCGTGTCGGTTTTCCAGGCGGCGCAAGCGTCATCGTGCCCACGGCGTACGCGGCGTACGCGGAGTCCGACTGGCACCGCGAGGACGCGCACCGCGAGGACACGCACCGCCAGGACGGCCACCGCCAGGACGGCCAGCAGCAGGGCGGCCAGCACCAGTGTGGCTCGTGCGGCCGCCACTACCAGTGGCGCGAAAGCCTGACGCGGCACCAGCGCGTCGAGTGCGGCAAGGAGGCGTCCCTGCAGTGCCCCGTGTGCCCGACGCGTACCAAGCACAAGCACAGCCTTCAGCGCCACTTGCTACTGCACAACATGCCGTAGACGGGCGCTAGTCAGTCCCCTCCGAGGATCTGCCTGTCTGCACATTGATTCCAAGAGCAGTTTTCGTCGCCCTGTCACTCTCGCACCAATGCGGGGACGGCCCATGAGTGAGAGCAAGACAGCGCGACGAAAACGACTCTGGGAATCAGTCTGCTGCAGGCGTCCTGCCGCCCGAGCATGAATGAGATTTGTTTCCTTCATATTTTTGTTTTTCTGTTTAAGTTGATGTTTGATTTTGTTCATGGAGACTTTGTCATGTGCTTGCTTTCGTGAGTCCCACCATGTGGTATGCTGAGCTGTCGTTTTATACGTGACTACCACTACGTACGAACAAAATAAATTCTACGATATTTTTGGCTTAATCCCTCATTCCTTACGAAAACAACGTCCTAACACTGTAGTGAAATGACATCTAAAAGACATGAAAATGTGGGCCCATAGACTCTCTTGACCTCATAATGCGTTGTACACCCGGAACACCCCCAACATTCACTCCTCTCCTCCCGCGGTCGTAGAAATGTTGAATTGATTCTGCTTCTGCTGTTTTATGCTGACTATCCGTTGGTTTGCCCTCAGCCTCACTGCTCGTCGAGTGGCTGCCAGCGCTGCCAGGGGTCGTGGAAGAGGCAGAAGAGGACGTCTCGGCTCGCGCTGCTCGCGGTGCGACGGTCCGCGGGGATCCCTTGGCGTCGGCGCGGCGGGGACGGCGCCTAGCCTGCCCGGACTGCGGAAAGACGTACCGGTGGAAGGACTCCCTGCGGCGCCACCAGCGCGTCGAGTGCGGCAAGGAACCGACGCACTGCTGTCCCTACTGCATGTACCGCTTCAAGCACCGCCACCATCTCAACGTACACATGCGGGATTCGTGCCCCAAGCGCGCCGAAGTGGCGCTGCCAGTGCACCAGATGATGCACTGACCCACACTGCAGTGCATTCCCTCGCAATGAAGTAATGTGCCTTTTCTCCTCGGGAACATTCCACCCATTGATTTTACGTGCCTTTCACTCTTGTAGTACTTGTTTGTCTTTCTCACACAGCTACTTGATTACAAATAAAGAAAAACGTGAATATCTCATCAACAAAAAAAATGTTTCATCCCTTGATTCTTCCGTCAAAGAAACATACTATCATTTCCTAGTTTACGACAGTGTCAAATGGCATGTTGATGAATCCAAACAAAAAACTAAAAGCCATAAAAACATTAAAGTTATTGTATTTTTCATTCAAAGTTTAATTGGCCAACAGATTTACAAAACAAAGGCATAATATTGAAGGTGTATGAAATTAAAAAGATTTCAAATGTTTGAAATTGTAATATTCCGAGTTTGATTTATAAACAGTTCTCAATTTTGCAAACAAAATATCAATTGAAAACAAGAAAAAAGACATGGAGCAGACAAAAAGCTAGAGCCAGCTAGGCATTTGAACCGAGAGCATATGCTTAAAATCATTTACAAAGGCACTTAACACAATAAACAGTCACCTGATACCTCAACTGTACTTCCAAGGCAGGCACAAAAAGAATGAAAATTATTCCCACTTCACATTATTTACAGGCATTAACACTTCACTATTCTGAAACAACTAAAATTATAGTACATGAGAAAATTTCAAAAAGAAAAAAAAATATTGCGAAGAAAAGGTAAGCACATATCATCTAGAAAAGAACCTCAAGTACTCAAATCAATGAGATTCCAAGAAAGTACATTTCAATGGGAAATCTTTCTCTCTGTAATAAATAGTATAAAATTCACTGACTTGCAATATCAAATTTCATTGGATCACAACGTTGGCTCATATCACAAAATGTGAAAATGCATGAAATAAATATTCATATGCTTATGGCCTACGAAATAGTTGGAAGTACAATCACAAAATTAGAAAAAAGTGGTTAAGAATTTATTTCACGAGGAATCAGCCGCACAGCAGATGTAGTTTTAATTTCTATTGATCCTCATCTGAAATTTCTAGGTCATCCAACTCATCATCTAATCCATCTAAATCATCATCCAGGAACAGGTTTTCGTTGATGGCGGCAGTGGCTTCTGCCACTGCTCCTGCAGCCTCCCCCAAGTCTGCGTCTTTGGGACTTTGAACTGAAAATGGATACACAGTGTTAGTTCATTTAAAAACAGAAGCATGCAATTTAATAAATAAGAATCAAGAAGAATGTCAGTGAAAAAAGTACTTACTTGAAGAATAGGAGTCCGTTTCCTCTTTGAGCCTCTGCAGCCGGTCATCAGACGCTATAGTTCCACTGCTATCAACCTCTTGAGCTTCAGCAACAAGTAGATCTAAATTCAGTTCCCGGTACTGTAAGAGAAAAAAATCAACAAAGTTAGTGACTAGATAATTTTCAGCATTGCCAGAGCAAACAAGATGCAAACCTGAACTTCTCCTTCCTCTTCCTCCTCTCTCTTGTAGCTGTCAAAAGCTACATCACCATCTTCCATAGAATCACCTTCAGCAAGCTCAGGATTGAAGGAGAACATCTCACGTCCTGATATCTAAGATATTCAAACATCACAAGTAAGTTAAGCTACCAATCAATCTTGAATTTGTTTATAAGAAAATTGATGTCTTGTTTGATGATTGATTAAATGGTGAGAATTGCACTTACTCCAACTTGCTTTCCAGCCTTGTAGTCTTGCCTCTTTTTCTCCTCATCCTTGGCTAATTTCTCTTCTTTCTCCTTTAGTTTGCGTTTCTTCCACAACACAAAACTTTCCAAAGTTACTTTAGTTAAGTTGGATCCCAAACCAGCTCTTTCTCGTTCAATGAGATCCTCCAGAGAAATCTCCTCTACCTTTTCTTTCTTCTTATCCTATGGTAGAAAGAAAAGAGAAAACAAAATTGCTATGTATTTCTGTAAGTTGACTATGCTGATTCAAATAATAAAAAAAACATACCTTTTTCAAAACAAAACCGGGAGGAAGAGCATGCCTATATATACAAGAGGGACCATTTGGGCAGGACCAGAACCAACCATATTTTGACTTTTCAACTGCATCTAAGAAGAATTTGCAAATCTGGAACACACATAACAAAGTAAGAAGCAAATTCTTCAGACACAAATTACAAATATGTAAACATTATTTACAGTTCATTAAAAGAACATTTGATAGAAATAAATTGGCAGTAAAAAAAAAACTTACAATGTCAGTAGTAGGCATCTTTTTCTCAGCTTCACCATGTTTCTTTTCGACTACTTCAGCAAGTTTTTGTACATCCCAATTTTCCATGGTTTCCTCCTCATCATCTCGCATATCCACATAGAGAGATCTCTTCTCTGCCTTCCGTTCTACAGTCAGGTCATGAGAAAATTTACACTTGTTTCCTTTCGTACATAGGCCTTGCTTGAAAAAGGCACATACTACCGATTTGGGGTCAGTACCTAGACATTTAAAAATTATGAAAATGATGAAGAGCAATGACAATATGTGTAAAATCTCAATGCATGAATAATCCCAACATACCTTTCTCAACCTTTTGGGTTGTGACAGGCCTAAACAACAAGTTCATTTCTGCCGCCTCCTTCGCCTTTGCCTCTTTGTCTTTCTGCTTGTCTCCATCCCCAAGTTTTCGAGCAGCTATACCTCCAGTCTTGACTTGTTTTTCAACTTGTTGGATGAATCGTTGTTGCTTCGCTCCTTTCTTATTCTTGAGACCAAAAGTCTTGTCCTAGAGCACATACAATGATAAATTAGATATAGGATCGAAAAGAGCTGATGTACTGATGATCCTTATCAGTGGCAGATTTGAGTTGAGAAACAAATTGGACATAACCAGATGGGCACCCAGAAAGGTAAAAGATAGGTTATACTAGCAAGGAGAGAATTGGATCATGTAAGCTTAATCGTCCAAACATTAATAAGGATAGAAGTAGGGGGCCTTTTAAGTGGTAGGTGATGGCGGAATATAAATATATTGGTTATTATTAACAAAGATAATAAATGTCCTCAACATAACCTGGCTTCCACACACTTAACACACAGGACATGCAGTACCAGCTCACTGACTTGATTATGTTTCGTACTCACCTCTATAACTTTTTCTTTCTTTTTCGCGTCAGCCTTTTTGCTGGGCGCCTGGGGTTTCCCCTTGGGCGGCATTTTCGATAGTTTTTCGCCAAAATAAGTACTACCTTGCCGTTTGGGCCGACGAGTGCACACTGGCACTGCACAAGTGTCGCCCTCTTGGGAGCAAAGAGAAAACTACTGGGCCACGAGTGTCAAATGTTGTATGAGAAATTAGTCCGGCGGCTTTTTTTTGTTTTTGTTTTTACCGTCTGCTTTCACCACACCAAGAACAAACAAATGTGTTCTCAATGAAGCTAATCGCGTTCGTTGTTAGAGGTTCTCTAGATCATATGGGTAGTTCATTTTCTTCGGAATAATGACTTTGGTCAGGGCTTTTACAAATGTTTATGGCTTTACGATACAACGTCAAAGTGTATCTTATGGCGCACGAAAACCTAACCTATTTTATGTGAAACATAGAAGACAGTTTGCTTCAAGTAAAAGGTCATCCTTTCGAATATTAGGCATTGAAACAAGTTGTGACGATACTGGGGTTGCTATAGTCAACAGTGAACGCCAGCTTTTGGGTGATGCCATTCACAACCAGAACCAAATTCATCTGGAGTTAGTCCTTATTTCTTGCTTTAAACTTACTTTGATTATGTTAAAATGCACATGCAATATAATAAGCCTTTTGAACTAAATGTGTTTAGGAATGGCGGAATCCTGCCCCCTGTTGCTGGCTTTCACCACAGAGCTAATATGGAGCCAGTTGCTAATCAAGCATTCACTGCAGCAGGATTGACCATGTCAGATATTGATGCTGTAGCTGCAACTATTAAACCAGGTGTGATGGCAAAAAATGTTCATCCATCTTGCATGGAAAAATCTTGGCTTGATTATCTGCTCAAACTTGTTCCAGGATTGTCACTATCTTTAGAAGTTGGAATGAAATATGGCACATTTCTTTGTAAAAAATGGAAAAAGCCTTTTATTCCTATTCATCACATGGAAGCACATGCCTTAACTGCACGCATGGTTGATGAGGTATACAATTAGCAGGGAAGCCCTATTCCAACACAATGAAAACCTCCTATAATTTTTTCCCCCTCAATTTTCAGAACGTAAGGTTTCCATTTCTGGTTTTACTTATTTCTGGAGGACATTGCCTGCTGGCTCTTGTGGAGGGTGTGGACTCCTTTCTTCTCTTAGGGAAAAGTATGGACATTGCTCCAGGAGAAGTTTTCGACAAAGTAATTTTTTCTGTCAATTTCGATTTTTTTCCTATTATGATTTGATTATATAACATGCCAAGATAATTGTTGATTTTACATCCTTTTTCTTAATTATTAGTTTCACAGACAGTTGAAATTAAGAAATATAGCAGAGTTGAGTCACTTGTCAGGAGGACATGCTGTTGAAGTTATGGCCCGAAAAGCAACAAACCCAGTGGAGTTCAAGTTTGAACCATTCTCCTCGTAAGCCTAGTAATATGATTTGTGAGTTCATTTTTCTGTATGTGTGTTCTCACTTCATGTCTTTTTGCACATCAGTGATGTCACTTGTGACTTCTTCTTTTCTGGTATGGTGACAAAAATTAAGCATTTCATTGCGGAAGAGGAAGTAAAATATGGTTTGTAATGGCACTCTAATCTGACATTGTAAGGATGACGGAGTTTAATTTGCATGTGACCCTTCACTTCTTTTCTGATTTACCCCAGGCACAACAGCTGATGGTGTTATTGAATCAGCTCCTAATTTATGTGCAGCAATGCAACTAAGCATCACTAAACATCTATGTAGAAGAGTGGAGCGAGCTATGTTATTTTTGGAGAGGAAGAGCCTGATTCCATCAAGCAGTCGCAGCCTAGTTAGTACCCTAAATTATTTTTGGGAGCTCTGCCAATATTTCCTATCCCTGATTTACAATTTACTTCATTCAGGTTGTTTCAGGTGGAGTAGCAGCAAATAAATTTATAGCTAATGGACTGAAATTGGTCTGTGATAATTACAACTACCACCTGTCAGTGCCACCCCCGAAATTGTGCAATGATAATGGTGTGATGATTGCTTGGAATGGAGTCGAAAGGTATCGTGAAAACGTTGGCATTTTGAAATGGAATCAGTTGGATGATGTTCAAGTCTCAACAAAGTACGTAATATGTTCGTTAGAGTCCTTAAGGCCCTAAAGAGCCTTTACGACTCTAATGTTCGTTTAAGCTACACAGAAATTTTTCATTCTGTTCCTTGTTTTGAAACTAGAAAACTGCCCTATTTTTCAGATGCCCATTGGGAAAGGATATAAGACAGTCTGTTAAAGATGAAAAGATAAGCCGTGTCAGATATGTTAAACTGAAAGGCTTGGTATAAAATCTTGATGTTACTGCGAGTTATCCCTTTGTTTCTGTTACAAGTCATCACTGTAAAAAACATGTTTGCATACAGAGTGAATAAATAGATATGTGTCCAAAAAGGCCATTAAGACAGAAAGCATCATAAATCACAAGGATATATATTTCAAATATTGATTAATTAAAAATAATCATTCTTACCCAGACATTTTTTAGGAGACACGAAGAAATATGTCCCTCCACTTTTTATCAACTAACAATGTGGTGAACACCATTCAAATTTGTCTCTGGATTTATTTTTAAATCACAATATTTTTGTCTGCAGTATCACAATTTTTACAGCAAATCTCCTCTTATCTCCCAATCAAATCAACATGTAAAGGTTAATTCAATAGCGACAAATTAAAAGCTTTTGCGCTTTTCCAGGAAAACAAAATTGAACAACACTAAATTATGGTAGCAAGCAGGGAAAAGTTAAGGGGGGATCTGAGGAGCCCTGGAATGAAAAAGGCGTTTTGTTTGCTTTCATTCTTTTTTTTTTTCTTTTTCCTTTTTTTAGTAAGGTGAAAATTAACTACAAAACTTAAGGTTCTTACAAACCACAAACCTACTTAGTTCAATTGCACCTTGAACTGATGGAGTCTAAAAGCTTAGATTTGATCGTTTGAAGAATGACTGACACCTTCCTCACAGATTGCAGCAGATAACAGGTTTGCAACTTAGTGACAAAAACTTTATCATTTTCATACCGGGCCACTTTACATAGTAAAGGTAGAAGATCCCTGTCCGCTCATTGCTGGCGCTAAGGCAATATCCTCTTCAGTAGATCCACATTGCTGCTTCTTGATAAATGCTGGGTTAACCAAAAACTTCTCATCCATCTCAAGTATTTTACGATCCAGTTCAGTGCACCTCTCCATCTGAAATTCACAACAAATCAATAAACAAAGAATTAATTAAAGATTTACACAGAAATTAAGCATGAGATTAGATCTAAGAATCAATATCATGAATCAAAACACAAACCTCTTCTTCAAGACGTTGCAGCGCAACCGGGGTGTTATATTTTTCAGGATCATCGTGGAAACAAACCATTCCATCTTTCTGGTTGATACTAGCGAAAATTTCTCCATCTTCAATCTGAGAAAGACAAAAATGATGAAAATGAAAACACATTGGATGGTACTTCAGCCACCCAGAAACAGCTGTGTCCTACAATGTTTACCATATTTAAGATTGCCCTTTCAGCATCTCGAGGAGATGGTAACTGAACACGACTGGCCACATCAGCGAGAGAAAGTGTGAGGAAGGTTTTAGTTAAGCGTTGAATGTTTTTCTTTCTGAGAGAAACAAGAACTTGTTTGCTGAGACCATTGTTCCCATCCCTACAAATAAAACAAAACAACATCAGAGACCTAAAGTAATTGCCTTGTCTAGTTGCATACCGGGGTACACTTGATTCACCACATACCTGTTAAAAGTTTCAGCGTAAAGATTTAGGCACTGTTGCACTTCCTCACAACTGTTTGTACTATATGCAAGGCTCAGCTTGTTGTAAGCAGAGCTTAAAGGCTTGATGAACCTTTCTACAACCTGTGATGCATACTTAGGGGGATTCAATACCTTGATTAGAGAGAAAAAAACATGATTAAATGCCAAAAGAATGAAATTATTCATAATAAAATAAAAATGTGTACCTTGCCATGTAGAATAAGACACACAAGAATATACTTCTTATAAGCCTCCAGCATAATATGAGACACAGCCATGGCTGGAGTAGTGATTACTACTTCCAGAAAGTACAGAGCTCTGTCAAACTTCTTAAGTGCTGCATATATCATAGCACCATAATAAAAGTAGAGTAAAAAGTACTTCGCTTCTGATTGTGAGCCCTACAAAGACATCAAGGTCACATCAATTGAAATAGGATTTTGAAAGTTTTTTTCAACAAATAATGGAAGTAAAGCTAGTATAATTGAAATTCATACCTCATCACTTATGCTACATATATCAACATCCAGAAACTCCAAAGCAGGTTTAAAGTTTTTTGCAAGTAGACAAAGCTGCATTAGGTCTGCATGAGCACCTGTGAGCTGAGATTCATGCTTTTGAATTTTGCGAATAGCTTTTCTAATGAGATCAATACCCTTGTGAGGGCGTTTTTGTTCAACGAGAACTCTAGTTATAGCATGACAAACTTCTGAATCTGCAAAGTAGTGTCAAATTAATGTAACAGAAGGGCGAAAAAAGCATTTAATGAATTCAAAGTGATACTTACATGTTTCAGGTGCTAATCGAGCTTGTGAACTGTCACATTGGTCTATAAAGTTTTGAAACTGAGAAAATACTAGTGTGTCAAGTGCTCTTGCCTCAGCATGTCCAGCAGCTTCAGCAGCACCACTGGGTGGAGTCATATGTGTGGGCAAATTTGATGTTTTTACAAAGAGCACTGCCAAGAAGCCAAGTGAATGTTGAAATGGGTCTAAAGTTTCCAATACATTGTCTAGATGTTGCAAGTTCTTTGACAGGACATCAGTTGATTTTCTCAATACTTCACACAAGTCATTGTAGTTTCCTGAAAAAGAGAAAGACAAGTTAAACAGCAAAAAGTGACAGACAAATTGTGATGTTCTGGGGCCTGTCTCACTTGACCGAAAAAAATTAACACGGCCGTCAAAGTCCGGCATTAATTGTTTAAGAAGAACGGTTAAAAATTCGTAGTCAGACAAGATTGGTGGGTAGGGAGAAACGTATTTCCTTCGCGAATGAATGACAAAGTGCCATCCCCCAACCTAGGTTGGCATAATACCGGTGTTAAATTCAGTATCTGTACTGACGATGAAAATGCTTGATCACGTCAATCAAAGGCACAGGATCTATAAAATTAACTGAAATAGTCAAATAAAAGCCGCAGCACAGAAGCAGCACCATAAAATTTGTGCACGTCAAATGATAATGCCGATAGGGTTAACTGGGGTCGGCATACTTTAACGAGGTTAGATACGAACGACGAACAACGCACCTTGAGACGAAAAACTCTGGACAGCATTTACAAACTGCTCTAGCCCAGAAACCATTGTTGAAATTAAATAAATGAAATGAAGGCAGTTATCTCACAACAAAGTACTCCGACATTGAGCTTGCATTGAATCTAACCACCACCAAACATCAGATCGGAGCCTTTAGAGAAAAACGTGTGACGGACTGTGACGACGTGACATTGGTCCTATGAGAAATTCATGTTCCGAAAGAAAAGGGTTGTAAACGTCAAAACTAGCATACGTCAATGAAGTGCTCTTCTTGATAAATTTGTGCCTCTCTCTTAGTCCTTTCCTATTTCGTTCAAGGATGGATGAGATTTTTGAAAAATTATGAGTGATGATCGCACTGAACCTGCTAGATGTGAAATTGAGGTTAAGTTTCGTTGGCGGTTTTGTTGTTTACTTACAAACAGATTGATGCAGACACTTTATTGGATACACCATGAATGCGGTGGTTTCTTTGTGTCATTTCTGTGAGCTCCATGGCCCAAGTGTCCTAATTAGCACGCAGGCATGCCGAGCACAGAATCGTTCCAGTTCCCCCAAGAAGCGAACATTTTATGGACCTCCTGATTGTTTTCAAGCCTCTAGCTTTGCTTCTACTTCTTCGTGTGAGGTATTTGTCTGTTCATAATTTCATACCCATACATGGAAACAATTGAATCTTTTTACCTTTTCCTCCCTCTTCTTATAACAGGCTTGTCAGCCATTAGGGAATAATGTTTACATCACCTCAGACCATGACACGGAGACGAGTTATGTTAGCTCACAATTTCCCTATCAGTCTGAGACTGAAGCACTGGTTCGTCAAGCGTGCACTAGAAGCCTAAGTTGTGAAGTATGATCCTTAATTTATAATCTTACTTGTTTAAAAAATTTTTGAGCATAATATTGTGATTGATACGTGTGATTATTTTCTTCAGGTGAGCCCAGGAAAGGAAGGAATATTGGTATTCAGTGATGACCCCGGTTTGGGAAGTTCCTCTTGCTGCAGTGTATTGAGCCATACATTTCTAATCAGAGATTGCCTGGCTCGAGGGTTTCATCGATGGTTTTCAATCACAGTTCTTACCAGAGATAGGCTGTTACTTCTCAATATGTGGCCATTTTTAGAGAAGAACATTTCTATTTTTGTATCAGAGCTCCAAATATCAGCTAATAAGGTGTGAATTTATTCTATATTCATTTTTATTAGCCTCTGGTTTATTTTTCTGTTACTTAAGAGTTATGTTTTGCAGGTGTATGAGGTTGAACAAAATGTTCGTCCACAAAGAGCTCTACGCTTGAGTACTGCATTTTGTAGTGACAAAAGCAGTCGTCCTCTTTCAGAGTTGACAGGCTCTTCTCAAGTGTTTGCCCAGTAAGTTTTCTAGTTCTCATTTTATGAATTTTGATTTGTAACATTACCTTCACTCCCTTTTTTTATCTTTGTCAAGAATACACCTGTGGTTTGTGTGGCTACTTCAAAATGCTGCAACACGCCTTCGTGAGACACTTCCTCTGGTTGAGTCAGTTATACCATTGGATCCTATTGAAGGTTAGTCTTGGTCTAATTTATTTATACTTGTCCTGTATCTTCACAATACTTTCAATAATGTAAAATAAAATATTTTTCAGAGGTACAAGGGGGCCTTGTATATGTCTCAGCAAAGAATTGCCTATATCGCTCTGAAAATATTTCAGACAGTGAAAATTCACCCAGTTGTCTTGTTAAAGCAACTGGGCCCAGTATAAAGAGCCTTGCCACGTTACGTTTGTTGCTCGGTCCTGTTAACTTTGCCAGCATAGTGTATTGTCTTTTAGTTGGCAGACAAGTCGTCGTTAGAGGCCAACCAGCTGTCCTTGTTGCAAGCATCCTTTTAACTCTAAAGGTAAGCATGGCTTAGTAAAAAGGAGTTCATGATAGTTAATTATCCTAATATTTATAAATTTCCCTGAAATGTTAATTGCTTTCAGACATTGTTGCCACGAGGTTGTATTCGTCTAGTTCCATTCAGCACAAACTATTTGCCACTTTCCGAGTGCAACATGTTGGGCATTGATGCTCGTGCTGCAGTACCTCAACCGTCCCCACATGTTGCTCGTTTGGAGGTTCTATTACCATCGGAAGGGGAAAATCCAGAACCAGGAAACCTTGTAGATGTTAGCAAATTCAGTTTTCATTTAAAGTGGCCTGGACAACTTCCATCAAAATGTAAATATAGTAAATTAACTTCAACACTGTAGAAAATTTACCACAAAACTGTACATAATATTATTTTTGATTTATTTCCAGGGCCGTCCTTTCTATCGAAACTTGACCGTGCAATGCAGTCAGAATTTCTCAGTGAAAGAACTTTAATGTTCCAAATTGGAGCCTTGCGAATGGAAACGTTGAAGTAAGTGTTTCTTTGCTGTTTGGTGCGGTTTGGTGTATGTGCATCTTGAAGTTAGGAAATAAATTTTCTCTTGTGACAGTGCCGCCAGAGTTATGCATACAATTGAAAATCAAGACAAAAAAGATTCATATGATTCAAGAGACAAGACTGCTCTCCTTCAAGCTCTTGGCGTTAATCTGGCTGATACAGATGTTATGTCCTTTTGGTCCAAATGCTGCCTTAATATGTGATAGATTTATATAATCTTTGGTTGTTCCTTGTCAGTTTTCTCTGATGTTCCTGAATATATGTGATAATAATGTATGAGGCTGAGTGAAATAATGTTTTTTCTATTCTGAAACATAGTTAGCTTTGGAAATTAGCATACAGTAGCTCGCAGTAGCTGTACACTCATTTTAATTTTTTTTTTTTTTTGAAAAGTGTATGTGTAATGTTTAATCATACAACTGTATTCAAAGTGTTCAGTATTCATGGTTTTTTTTTTAGTGTAAGTGTAATGTTTAATCATACAACTGTATTCATAGTGTTCTGTATTCTAATTTTTTCCTGTTATTTGATGACTTTTTCCTGTCAATTTGTCTAGTCAGTCGTTTGCCGTCCGTGAATAAACTGGTTGCAACTGAAGCTGTCGTGTCCAAATCCAAACCCTGTGGTGTCACTGCAAACAGAGCCGCGCCTCCACGCCGAAGTAGTCTAGCGTGGCGTGACTGTCGGCCAGGCGCCACTGCAGCAGCCGCAGCTCCCTGTGGGGGTCGGGCCGCAGCGCCAGCACCCTCAGCAGGCGGTTCCTGGTGTGCACGGCCGTCACCCGTCGCCGCAGCCCCGCCGCCTCCCTCGGGCTGGGAGGGTGCGCGACGTGGCAGTTGTCGCTGGCCGTGGTCACGGGGCAAACGGGGGGCGGCACGGTGCGCGTCCAGGACCCCGTCAAGGACACGAGCAGCGCCTCAGCCCCGCCCCCGCACTCCGCGTCCTCGGCGCTCAGCGACTCGCAGAACTTGCGCACATCAGCGTCGTCGGCGCTCACCTGGAGGGGGAAGGTCACAGTGGCAGAAACTACTTGTCGCACTTGATAAAGGCGACCCCATGATTCGCAGTGCAGTCGTCCAATAAATGGCCAACTCGAATAAAGCGAGCTTATCATTGCCCGATTCCGATTTCGCGCTGTACCAGGAAGCACTGCATGCTCCAGCAGCGGCGGCCGAGCAGGCTGAAGAAGCCGTCCGTGTAGAGGTGGGGCGTGAAGGCCACGATGAGGTACTGCAGGCAGACGCACTGCTCCAGCACGGACTCCAGCACGCTCTCCTGTACAGGCAGTGTTCCAGCTCCGCTATGGTTGCCCGTGCGACAAGTCATGCCCATGCTTGATCGCCCTTGTCACCGCAGTCCGCACCTTTCCTTCGGCGCCGACCTGCAGGTGCGCCGCCTGCCGTCGCTGCGACACGTTGCACGAGTCCAGCACCAGGGTGCGCAGCTTGCGGCACGACTCGCACACCTGGGGTCAAGCCACGGTTCAAGCCACGGGGTCAATGCGACGGGCACCCTGAAGGGCACCCTGGAGGAGCACAACGAGGACGTCGGGACGCGTCCCGCGGCCGACCTGGGCGAGGATGAGGTCCACGTCGCGGCATGCCACGAGCTCCAGCGTCCAGAGCCCAGGGGTCGCCCGCAACAGTTGGCACACGCTCTGCGCGGAGTAGTGGTGGAAGGCCGCTGGAATCGGGAGTCGTGGTGTGTTTCGCGGGCCCAGTCCCTACGCTCCGCGCGGCCCTATGCCCTTGCGCCCTACCGTCAAACGTGATCTCCCGCCAAAATTGGCGGCTCCTGGCGAGACGATGCCAGGCCCTGCACACGGGTGCCACGTGGAGGCTGAGTTCGCGTTGGTCCAGCTCGGAGAGGATCTTGAGCAGCAGGTCCTGCGAGAAGGCAACAAGGAGGGTTGGCAAACCAGTCCAAGGAATTGTCTTGGGGTATTCGGTGGCGCCGCAGCCGAGCCGCAGCCCACCTTGGGCAAGTCGTTGATGTGCACGGCTGGCGCACTGGGTGGTGTGGCTGGCGGCGTGCTGGGCGGCGCAGCACTGTGCAGTCGGTGCGCCTTCATCGCCAACCTGTAACGACCATTCAGTGCGGTAGCATCCGGCCATGACAACATTTGTAGTATGCGATCGATGAATCATCGAAAACCGAACCGCCGCCTAGTGTGCCTACCTAGGGGGTGGCTCCACGGGAACGGGCTCGACAGGGCGCGGCGGGCAGTCCAGCTTCCTGTACCTGAGGCAAGGGCCAACGGGCAAGGCGTTGCGTGGTGTTGCGCGCGACGGGCCGATGGTGGCACGGACTCTACCGCCACCCCCATGGCACTCGGGGGCCCATAGAGTAAGCGCGTACCAACCTGCCAACCCCCCTGCGTGCGCGCCGGCTGGCTATGCTGGCCACGACGTAGAGGCTCGTGGCGTGCCGGAGGTGGCGGCTCGCCGCCGTGTAGGCCGCCACTCGCGACACCTGCGCCGGCAAAGGCAAGACTGGGGTGGGTCCGTGCGGGGTTCAACCTCCCTTGCTGCGCGAGGGCGCAGAGCTCGCGCGCACCAGCTGCCTGATTCCGGGCAGCGCATCGTCGCTGTCTTTCTCGCACCTCTACGGAACCCCCCATCAGACAGACAGAGCGGCGAGAGCGCTGCCCGAAATGACCCTGCAGGCGGTCGACGCACCTGCTGCAGCAGCCGTTCGCGGCTCCCCGCCGCGTTTCGAGCGGCGTCCTGTCTCTCGAACCAGGCCATGTTCTTGGCGACCTGCGCCAAAGGTTTTCTAGTTGCAAACAATGGGGGAAAATCGAGAAAAATGCAACCAAAATAATAAAAGACCATAACAGTGGGGTCAACGGCAACGCCCCTACTCTACCGTGTGCATAATGGTGCACGCCTTCCGCCGCACGTAGGTGTTGAGGGACTCGCTAGACGCGCGCTGCACCAGGGCTTGGTTTTCAGCTACCTCCAATTTTGGCAGCGAAGTTGGCCTGCCAGGTTCGCCGGCACCACTCTCCGCGACTGGGCGAACTAGAGCGCCCCGGTCCCCTCCCTGCCCCGCCAGCCCCGCCAGCTGGCCGCTGCACCGGGATTCGGCGTCGTGCATCTCCAGGCTGGAGGAGGCGGCGGCGGCGTGGACGGATCCGGACGCCTCGCTGTCGACGTCCTCCTTCACCTTGATGACCAGCAAACGCCATCAGTCTCACCTCTAAGCGTTGCCCTGGCGAACCCAGGGACTCACCATCAGCCGCGTGTCGGTGGCATGCTCGCCGCGGCGCCGACGCACCGAGATGCTGATGTTTGGCGACTGCACCCGGATGCAGCACACCGCCACCCCCCTGCCCCAGCGCCGCCACCTCGGCGGACACGTCCTGGCTGCCCTACCAACTCGAGTCGCTCGAGTCCTCCGGGGCCGCGGCCTGTCGTCCCTGTCGTGTTCGACATACACCGAATTGCTGGAGTAGTGGCCGGGCCTGCGGCGGTGCGGTGCCCGCTCACTCGCTCACCCCGTGCCCTCGACCGCGCGGCCCTGCCGGCACTGCCTGGCCTTGGTGGCCTTGGACAGCGACGGCGTGCCCTCCTGGTCTGCGGGCGGCGGCGACGTGTCCGAGGCCAGTCCCGGACTCATCCTGGAGGACGACGCGGAGGGTGGCCTGGCGTCAAGCCTGGCGTCAAGCCTGGCGCCAACGTCCCCGAGGAAGCGCATGGTCTGCCGGGTCATCTTGTGACGGACGTTGGCCAGCGCCCCCAGCAGCGGCGTGTCCACCCTGCGGCACGTGTCGTTTAAAGTCCTAAAGCCTTTAGGACTCTAGTGTCGTTGTGTCGCGCGGGCCAGGACTAGTCGCAGCTAGTCGCCACCCTACCTCAGCGGGGCTTGCATGTTGTCGGCGAGGACGTGGCCTCAGGGGCCTCGGTCTGCTCATCCCCCGGGACTGGTGGACCGCGCAGCGCCGCCGCCGCGCCGCCCAGGGCTCTGTCACGCATCTCCAGCTTCATTAGTATCACGGCCCTTTGCGTTCTGAAACGTAGCCTCGCCCTTGCAAAGCAAGATGGTACCGCCTACACGCTGCAAGGCCTGCCTGTCCTGCGTGCAACTCACCTGTGTGTCATACATGTGATACGGTAATTTGGAAAAGTACGCGAAAAAACATTTAAAATAAAAACAAAAGGTTCGGCGGGTGTTAGTGTTGCATGTCTCCCAAACGACCATCTCACTGGGGCATTGTCGGGCCCGGCTGCCTGGCCGCCTCCTCCCCGTTCCTGCCCTCCCTCCGCGTCGCGCCGTGCCCCAGGCCGTGCTCCAGGCCGTGCCCTAGGGCGTGCTCTTGGTGCGTGCTCAAGGCCGTCGTGCTCGAGCATCGGAAGTGGGCTCGTCCTTGGCCCTGCGTGGCCTTGTGCGGGGAAGGCTGCGAGGCGCGCCGGTTACGTGGCCACCGTTGACGTGTACCCCTGAGCGGCTGTCTCCTGCCCGACCTGCCCCAACCTTGGCGTGCTGACCACAAGCAACTTGCCATGATGCAACGGCCGCCAGGCTGGGGTTCCAAAGAAGATGACAAAAAAGACGACAGTTTCCATTTACGTTTTTTATTTACAGCCTGTACAACGCAACGCCTCGGTGACTAGCGCGCCGCGTCCCGACTAGCGGACCTAGCGGCCCTTGCGCGGGGGGCCGCCCTCCTCCGGTTCGGGGTTCTTCTCGTTGAACTCGAGCGCGCGCTGGATGGCCTCCGGGATGGGCGGCGGCGTGGGCAGGTGGGCGCCGGCAGGCACAAAGCCGTTCTCGTCGGCCGTGTAGGTGACGGAGTAGGTCTGGCCGTCGTCGCCGACGTACGAGAAGGAGCCCTGCACCGACTCGCCCTCCTCGCCGGGGGGGCCCTGGCCAGGCCTGCCCTGCGCCTCCGCCTTGATGCCGTTGGCCGACTCGTACCTGCAAGCCGTCAGCGCGTCAACGCGCCATCGCGCCATCTCGCCACAGCACCCGGCCACCGCAACGCCGCAACCCTCAGGACTTACGTGTAGGAGAAGGTGCCGTCGAGGTTCACTTCGCTCTGCAGGTTGACGATGGCGATGGGCTCGCCCTGGGGCTGGGCAGGCCTCTGGGGCTGGGCGGAGGCCGCGGCCAGGACGCAGGCCAGGACGAGGATCTGCGGAACAAGGTTACTGTAGACGGCGAGCACACGCGGCGCGGCCCGCGGTCCGACACCCAAAGGGGCCGAAGGTGACCGAAGGGGACCGAAGGGTTGCCACATCGGGGTGATGCACGGGCCAGGGTGATGCACGGGGACAGGGCGCGCGTTGCCACAACACACGCCACGCCCTGCGTGCCCTGCGTGCCCTGCGTGCGCTGCTCCAGTGGCGGGGCGGAGGAAATGTCAAGCCTCATTGGCCAACGCTCAGTGCACACGGCACATACGGCACGCAGCGGCAGCGGCCCAATTATCGGGCAGAAAGTCTCGTCCCCCCCGCTGCCGCCGCTGGCCCGTCCGGCACGGGGGCAACACCACCCGCCGATGCTTGCATTCTACTGTCAAGCTCGCGGCCTCGACGTCCACGCCTCCGCCTGCCGCGCCCGCCGTCACTTCCGCCAGTCCGAAGTCAAGTCGCTCATATCCATTGCACGACGGCCGAGTTTGGCTGTCTTGGGCGCTGCAGCGCTCTGCCTGCCGAACTCGGGACCCTGGACTGCCCTGGACCCGAGTTGCCCGGGGCCCGGCCTTCACGTCCTTGCAACCCTTGGCGCACTGCGGCACTGCGTACTGATAAGTGGCGTGTGCCATAGGCAGCCATAGGCAGCCATAGGCAGCCATAGACTGGCTGCTGCTTGTCCGCCCCGTGCACTCCGGGGCCGGCCTGCAGTGCTCGCTCGTCGGCGAGCATCACTTCACGAACCACGGAAAGGTTGGCCCAGGAAACAGCGCGGCGACGGCGGCGGCGACCGGACCGGCCGGTGCGTTGCACGCACTGCACGCGCGTCGCGTCGCGCTCGAAGCACTCACTTGCAGAAACACCGTTGCATCGCATTGCACTGCAAGGTTCGCACACTTGTCTCACTGCACTGCACACCACTACACTGTTCTCGCTGCGCTGTGCTGCCGCTGCGCTGGGATCCAGGAGGGTGAACACTCCTCGCCAACTCACCGAGGGCCTCATCGTGGACTGCTGCAGCACTGCTGCGGGCTAGGGCTGCGCGGCACTTAGGGCGTGGGCTGCGGCGCTAGCTTGGCTAGCAGACGAAGACTAGTGCAAGCCCGTCTCCGATCACGTGTGCTTATATACAGGGCTTGCACAGCGGCGGCGAGGGGCAGCTGAGGGGGTCACAGGCGGGGCCCGTGGGGGCCGGAGGGGCCTGGGGGGATCAGCCTGGCCGAGGGGCCCCGGGACAGGGGAGCCCCGAGGGGGACAGGGGCCGCGGGGGCCGCGCATGCTGCAGACACGACGGGGCGGCACGGGGCGGCCAAAGGCCACGGAGGCAACGGCTTAACACGGCATCGGCACTGTCCTGCTGCATGCCTGTGCCTTTGCCTGCCATGCGCAGCCCGCCTCAGCCCGCCTTTGTCCGACCCGACCGTTTTCGCGCCACCGCTGCCCTCAAAACTCAAAACACACTCCAGTCTCCTTTCGGCGCGTTGGGAGGCGCGGGTACCGCTCCCGAAACCGACGCGGTGCGGCAAGCTGCAGGGGCTTGGCGAGGTGCTTGGAACCGCGGCGGAGCGCGTCATAGGTCGCTTTGTTGCTCGGGCGTGCCCGTGCCCTCGGGGACGTTGGGGGCCCAGCGTGGGCGGGGCGGGGCGGGGGCGGGGCGGGGCGGGCGGCTGACGCCGGGCATGCTGCAACGCGGACACAAGGCGGAGGCCGGCTGGCCGGCCACTGCGGAGATGACACACGCGACACGCGCGTGCGTGGACATGGACACACATTGTCCATTGAAGACGCCTGTCACAGCGCGGCTGCCGCGCCACTGCGATGACGGACGACTGGCGAGCCGTGCCCCGCCGTGCCCCGCCGTGCCGATGCCGCGATAGGCCGACGCGCGGAGGGCCTGGACGCGCTGATGGACGTGCCAGGTGTGGCGCACGTCGCCGCCCCGCCAGTGGCCTGGTGCCTGGGCTCACGGGGGTGACATAGGCCATGAACAATGGAAAAGGTACCTGGTACTGGTACTGCTCTATCTATCAGTTGGCGTGCATCGCTGTCCGGGGCCGCGCCGCCAACATGGCCGTGCTGCCGCGCCGCCGCAGCAGGGCCGGGGCCGGGACCGCCGGGACGTGGCGATGACCGCGCTATGCAGTAGCATGTCGCATGTCGCTGGGGCTGGGGCCTCCCGACCGCTCCAGTCCGCTCCAGTCCGCTCCAGCCGGTTCAGGAAAAAAGTCCGCCGCGCATCCCCTTCACCATCCTATGATCAGTGCAGTCATCGCGATCACGGCCGTGCCCGCCGTGTCCATGTCGTCGGCGATGGAGAGGCGCGTGCTGCCTGCACGGCGTGGCGTGGCGTCTCGGCGTTCGCGCAGTGCGCATCCCGCAGAAGCCGCCACAATGCGAGACGCCGCCGCCCAGTGGGTCGGGCTGCCGACCACCAATAAATGGAATCTGTCTCATTTGAGGTCAGAGAGCAACCGCCATGTCTCGTGACATTAAATGAAAGCAATCGAACGCAATGGCGCCGTATGTAAGACAAAGACCTAATAAGCATTTACATCTGAGAATATGTAAACCGTTACAACATCGAAGGCAGGGGGCTCTTTATAGCCATTGCTCGTTGAGCTTTTGTTCAATAGGCAATAAAAGAATAAACGGCTCACGAAGTTGCTGAAACCGACGCTGCAAATAATGCATGTAGATTTGGGTGCGTGAAGGAGAGTGGCCATGCCCGCAGCCCTGCAGCCTTAGGACTGGCGTCTCGATGAAGGCGTTGGGGACGTTCCGCCGCGTTCCGCCGAGGCGTCGGTCGGGATCGCACGACGCTGCGGCGCGCTGCGGCCCCACCCACGCCATGTATGCAAATTGGCGCCGCGCGTGTCGGACAGGGGGAAGGGGGGGGGGTGCCATGCCGCCGTGACCCGCGGGCGTGCTGCACCGCCACCGTTCGGCCCGAGGCTGCCCGAGGCTTTCGGCCGCCCGGCGCCGCCCCTCCACGTTCTCACGCCAGGTGGCGCTGGTGGTTTCGGCGGCGGGGCGCGGCTACCAGCAAAAAGGTCGAGCACCGGCCGCCCCGCCGCCCCGCCGCCCCGCCGTGATGGGTGACGGCCTGGCACGACATGCCTGCCTGGCCCTGCCTGGCCCTGCCTGCCGGCTTATGTTTGCAAATAGAAAACACGCCTTCGCACGTCGCTGCGACGACGCCGCGTCGTGAAATTCGCTGTAAACCCCGTTCTTCAGCAAGCCGTACCGGCTGCCGTACGGGCCCTGCCCTGCCAGCTTGTTACAGCATATTGGGCAACGCGAGACACCCCCTTAACGAGTCTGCTGGAAGGGGAAATAAACGGTTCGATTCATTGAGAGTTTTGAATGGTTTATTTGCAAGTGGAATGCACAGGCGCGTGGCGGCCGGCGGGCTAGCCGCGGCGCTGCGCTCCGAAGGGCTGCTGGGCCCTGGGCGCGGACGCGGCGCTGCCACCGTAGTCGGCGGGGTTGACGCCCTGCTGCTGCAGAGCCCGCACGATGGCCTCGGGCAGGGGTGGCGGTGTGGGCAGGTGGGCGCCCTGAAAAGCAAAACCACAACAAATGTTGGTATCACCCAGAAAGTTTGCATGTAAAAGCTGGTGTGCGGTGCCAAGAGGTCGACCGCCAGAGTAGCTGACCCGCAACACACGTCTGCGGGCGCGGTCTACCCTGCGCCTGTGACACAGAGCGCCTGCGGAACGCAGGATAGGCCGCCCGCAACACACTCGAGAGCGCCTGTGGAACTCAGGGTAGGCCGACCCGCAACACACTCGAGTCTGCGGGTGCGGCCTACCCTGCGCCTGGGACACAGAGCGCCTGTGAAACTCGGGGCAGGCCGACCCGCAACACACTCGAGCCTGCGGGTCGGCCTACCCCGCATTACCATTACCATTAAGGGCTAGTCCGACACAAGCTCGCCTGCAGCCTGGGACACAGAGCGCCTGTGGAACTCAGGGTAGGCCAACCCGCTATACACTGGAGTCCGCGGGGCTGCGGCTCTCACCTGAGGCACGAAGCCGTTCTCATCGGCGGTGTACTGCACTGAGTAGGTCTGTCCGTCGTCGGGCGCCACGAAGGAGAACTGCCCCACCACGTTGGTGCCCTCCTCGCCGGGCGGCCCGTTGCCCGGGCGTCCCTGCGCGCTAGCCTGGATCCTGTTCTCCGTCTCGTACCTGGAAACGGAACGAAACGACAGCAGCCAGGTAAAGGAGCTTAGGAACGGTCCGTTGGGCACTGGGACGTCACTCACGTGTAGCTGAAGGTGCCGTCGGGGCTGATGTCGCTGTCCAGCCTGACGATGGCGATGGGCTTCTGGGCGCCCAGCTGGGGGGCCGCGCCGCACGCCGCCAGGAGCGCCGCCAGCACCGGCAGCACCGCCCAGGGGAAGCACGCCTGCAACGCAGCAACGCACGGCCGTTAACGCCCTGACACCCCTCCCCCCGCCTCATCGGCGTCATCGGCGTCATCGCTGGAGTGTTGGCGTCATAACAATAGAGCACGCGGAAACCGCTAGGATTCTTTCCCAGTCTGGCACTCACGCACACTCCCAGCAGGGAAAGGCGCGAACACACTCACACACACACACACACACACACATCCGCGCGGCCTTCACAAGGGCGTATCCTTCCATTGTTTGGGCTGGGCGGGCCGGCCGGACCCCGCGCGGGTTCGCATGCCGCTTGGCGCGTGGCCGCCGGGGAGCCTCCAGCCCCGGGCCTCCAGCCTCAAGGCGAAGAAAGTCGGGCTGGCGCCATGCTGGCGCAGAGCGCGCAGAGCGGAGGGCAGGCGTCTCATTTGCCATTCTCGTTTTACAAGGATGAAGCAAGCGGCCCGCCGGGACTAGCCCAGACCAGCCCGGACCAGCCCCGACCAGCCCAGACTGGCTCGCCACGGCTTATTCGCTCGCCAAATCTTTTCCTCTGGGCGTCTTGGCTGGGCAGTCTGAGCAGTCAGCCGCATCATGATGAACATGGTGATGGTGGTGCGGCTTCCACGACGGGCTGCTCTGGTTGTGCCGCGCCCCTGCCGCGCCCCTGCCGCGCCCCTGCCTCCTGGGTCACGCTCTCCCAGTAACCTTTGGACGCAGTGCGCGACGCGCCAAGTGCCCAGCGCGAACTCTGCCGGCTATTTATGCAACGTTATTGACTGAGCGAACCGCCGCGACCGCGTTGGGGGCTTCCTTGAGCCGGGGCCGGGCCGGGTCAGTACGGGTCGAGTCACTTGGACCGCCTGGCCAACATGGCGAACGAAATCACTCACGAACACATCGGTGTAGGATCAGATGCTCCCTCAATCCTGCAGGCTCGTCAACGCCGTGAGGCTGAAGGTCTAAGCAAAGAGGGGCTGATCTCAAGTCGAGCTTGTTTCCACAATCCTACAATCCTCTATATCAAGTAGCAAACACACACAAACACACGCACACGCGCGCACACACACACGCACACACACAGGCACACTCACGCACTCACTCACACACACACGAAAAAGAAACAGCAGCAACTACAAGCCTTCAACAGCCCCAGGCTGCACTTCTCAAATACTCCTTTCCAGCGCGCTCCTGCGTGACTGCGTGATAGAGAAATCATCGCGACACGAGGACGGTAGGCGCGTCCTGCGGCTGCTCCAGGCTGCTCCAGGCTGCTCCAGGCTGCTCCAGGCTGCTCCAGGCTGCTCCAGGCTGCTCCAGCAGGCCGCGCTGCTGTTCATTTGCAGTCCGGCGGTTCCGTTATTGCGATCGGCCGCACACTACGCGGGAGGCGCGTCCTTGGCGTGGCGGGGCGTGGCGGGGCGTGGCGGGGCGTGGCGGGGCGTGGCGGGGCGCACTGCACTGCACTCACCTTGGAGACCATCCTGATGTTGGCGAGATGAGATTCAACGGCTAACTGACATGCGGCACCGCGCCGTGTCAGACTTATATAGCCTCCCACCCCGCGCGGGGCGCAGCGGGGCGGCGAGGGTCGGCGGGGGGCAGCGGGGGGGCGTGGCGGGGCGGGTGGGCGTCGCGTACGCTAGCCCTGGGCCGCCCTGGGCCAGGGCGGACACTGGTAGTGCTACTTCCCTGTAGTCGCTATCGTCGTGCTGAGGGCCCGCCCGGGGAGTCCGCGACTGAGTCCCTACGTCTTACTGGGTGCTTTCCCCGACGGACGACTCGGCAACCGAACCACCGGCCCGCGACAGGGCCCCGCGACGCGGCCCCGCGACAGGGCCCCGGCGGCGGCGGAAAGGGCGTGATGCGCGTAATGCCGCAGTGGCCACGTCACCGAAACATCAAGTTCCAGTTCCGGGCGAGACGACGAGCGCTGCACTGCAAAACCATAGTAAACCAGGATTTGCGGGAGTGGCGGCACCATTTAACTTTGGCGGTGCGGTCCGTCGTCGGCGTCCTGACCCGGCATTGTCCCGGAGGCTCCATGACCACGCCGTCATGCCCCGCCCCGCGCCACCCACCGGGTCGCCGCCGAGTCGATCGGGCGGCCGCCGTTCGCCGCGAAAGGGCTCATTGTCTGCGGGCCGGGCGAGGGCGGCCGAGGGCGGCCGAGGGCCGGGCGGACGCGGTAGGCCGTCATAGGCCGCCGTAGGCCGCCGTAGGCAGAGGGCCATCAACGCCCACACGCCACACGCCGGGCTGCGGGCCGCGGACTGCCACGCTAGACCTGGCCAACTCCGCGCAGGGAGGAACAGGCAAACCACACGCCGTACACTGAGAAGAATTGGTCACCCCCATCACCCTTAAAGGTGAGAAACTTCGCTGCCCAATGGTGACGAAATTCATCACCCGAAATGGTAACAGGCGTTGGTCGCCATTGGGTAACGTCGTCGGCGACGCCGTGGGGTCCCGATGGCGTCCTTCCGGGGCCACCCGATGACCGGAGGCCTCACGCCACATTGGGCCGTGGTGGCCCGGAAGGCGTCATGGGGGACTCACGGCGTCGCCGACGGCGTTGCCCAAATGGGCCGATTTTATGACTGCCCAAATTGGTCACCGCGGGCTGCCCAAATTGGGCACGGGCGTGCGTTAACCATAAAAGGCGATGGTGGTGACTCTTTCATTCTCAGTGTACTTGTGAGATCAAACCACATCACATTCAGACAACAAAACTGAAAACGAAGTTCAGAAAATTGTCCGAAAAATGAGTCGCCGACCTCGGTGAGATCGGGTGAGATTCGACATTCCACCGTCCTCTCCGAGACGCCGATCGTTCCGCACGTGACCTCAACATTTCTCAGGCCAAACTGCTCCGGGACGGCGCGGGATGACGCCCGCCAGGTCGCCGTCAGTCGCCTCAGCGGAGCATGGACAGCATGGAGCGCGCGGCGGGGCGGCGGAGGGGGTAAGCGTCCAACATTTCCCTCATCTCATGATCGCCACTCGTCACGGCGGGGGCCGCGGAGGAAGAGCGCGCCGCGGCTGGAAAGGGAAGGGGGGGGGGCGTCCTTCGCGGCGGTAGTGACTCTATTCGCCCCGTGGGCGGCGCGCTGCACGCCACGCACTGGGACGCACTGGGACGCACTCGCCATTTGCACTGCCCCTTGCGCTGGCCGCTCCGGAAGGCAGGGCGGGTGCCAAGCATCGCAAAGCATCGCCAATGCGCGGCCAGCCGTGGCCTTGCAGCCTCACAGCCTTGCAGCCCGGCGCATCGCGACTGGGAGCAGCGAGCCCCGCAGCCTCATTCCAAACAGTGCTCCGGAGCTCTGTCCTCCTGGCAACCCCACGGGACGCCTAAGCCCGACGAGTGCGAGAGAGACAGAGCGACGAAAGCCTACGTTCCGCGGCGCGACGGTGCCGACGGGGCCGACCGGGACAGACTGGGGCGAACAAAGGGGCGCGTCGTGTTATCGCGTCATTTGGTGCATGTGAATGTGGCCGAGTGCGCCAGTGCACCGGCCCACTTGACTCCACGCGCTAGGGTAATTCGTGCTGCCGAAGCGCGAGGCGTGGCGGGGCGCGCCGGGGAGGGGGGCGCGTCTCCCGGCCCTCTCCGGGCCCTCCCCGGGCCCTCTCTAGGCCCTCTCCAGGCCCGGCCGTGGCGTCACTCCGCGCCACTCTGCTCGCTGCAAAGGTGAAGTCCGTGCCACGAAGCGGCGGGCAGCGAGCCGCGCGGCCACCAGCACATTCCAGCACGGCTCCAGCCAAACCTGGGGACCGCAGGGGACTTGCGCGCAGACTCCAAATTCCACAGCCCCACTCGGGAGCCTATTTCCAGAATCCCGACGGGCGACGGCAGGGCCTGGGCAGGGCCCTTCACTCTGGACTCCAGAATTCCAGACCGCTCACACCGCACGCACTGCCACTGTTCAATTATCCCCAAGCACGCGCACTGCCCTGGACTGAGCGGACTCTACACTGCATACCTTGGTGTTCATGCTGGGGCGGTTGTCGTCGAAATATGACGCTGGTGCAGACTGTGGGCGCGTGTTGGGCAAGGCGCGGGTTATATACCTCCCAGGCACCACGGCGCCACCGCGGTCCGTGCGCCCGTGTCAATTGAATGGGCGTTCTGCCACCCCGCCCGGCCGCCCCGCCTGGCCGCCCCACCCGGCCGCCCCGCCTGCCACCTGACTGCCTCTCTGCGGCGACCCAGCGCCTCTGCGGTAAGCAGCCTCAACTGCATCAAGCATCAAACTGCCGCCGACGCCTCCTCGAGAGAGGACTTCCAAATCTGAGAACCTAGAACCCAGCCTGGACTGTCCTCCTGCCCAAGCATCACCGCTGCACTGCCTGGCGTGGCCTGCCCTGTCGAGCCTCTTGGAGACCGTCTTCCTCTTCCTCGCCGCGCTGAGGCGTGAGCCGTGCCTCGCCTTGTCTCGGCCGTCGACGCGTTTCGCAACCACTTAGCTTTGTCCGCTGAAAAAGGATCACTAATTTATGGCGACGGTGCGTGCTGCGTGTCGAGACCGCCAGGCCCGCCAAGACGCTGAGGACCGCGAGGACTGCAAGGCTGCGAGCACCCCGCGCCCAAAAACACAGCGCCGCGCTGTCACCGCCGGAGGTTTTGTGGCGGGAAGCTACCCATCGGGGCGTCACAGCCTGCCTGCCTGCCGGGCCTGCCACCAGCGGCGAAATGTCCCCGCAGGCAGCAAGAATGCATCCTGAAGGCAAGCCAAAGGCAAGCGCAATGCGATGCACGTGTGAGCACTGGAAAGGTCGAACACGTTTCGATTCGATACATCGTCTGATGAGTGCAGGCTGCGGACCGCTGTGGACTCCGCGGAGGGCGTGGATCCACAGCGTGGGACAGGAGGGGTCTCTGCGCGCACGAATCGCGGGAAGAGCATCCCGCACTCACAGCGCGGACGGAGTACGGAGTGTTGCGATGATCCACTCAGGTCCCCTGCCCAGTGCCCCGCCCCAGCGCGCGTCCCGAAAGTCTTCCACCTTCGCGGGCTGCGGGGTTCATCGCGCCGAGGGTCGCGCTAGTGACGTAGGGTGGCGGGGCGCACGCACGCCGGTACCAGTGACGTCGACCATAAACTTGGCGCAACTGTTTGGCGCAACTCCGCGTCCGCGTCGCGTATTAATAGCGCATCACGGTGAGGCGCGGTTGACATTCTCGCTCGCGGGGTAGCACTGCCAGCACCACCAGCACTCCAGCCGGGCCCCAGCGGCACCGCGCCCGATCACACCGGGGGCCACCAAAAATGAAAGCGAGGGCCGTGGGCAGCCGCGGGTCGACGGATCGGTCAGCGAGGGCAATGTTGGGGGCTTCTTCTCTATGCTGTCATGGCGACGCGGCCAAGCGATTAGTTATTCTTTTTATAAGCCGTCCGCACCCGGCAGGGCAGGCAGGCAGGCTGGCGCCGGCAGGTGGGTGCGCAGGCAGCGGGCAGGCAGGCGGGCGCCCCCTGAAAGCCCCTCGCAAAGACCGTCTGCCTGCCTTGACACATTCACCAATTTAGTCCGGCCGGGGCGAGACCTGTCCACGGCGGCTCCCGCTCCCCGCCAATGACTCCCCTTTTCCAATCCTCAGCCCAGCGGTGTGGCGGGCGTGGCGCCGCGTGGCGCCGCATGGCGCTCAGTGCGCGAGTCCTTCCCTCATTACGGGCAGCTAATTGCCGACTCGCCTCTCAACCTTTCGGCCTTTTGCCGCGACGTCTCTTTGACCCGGTCAGCCGGCGCCCCACCCGCCTCGCCCGCCTCACCCGCCTCGCCACCCGCGGTCCTGGTGCCCCCTAGCCGCGTCCAGCTGAGGACACTCGGACGTGAGAAATTTAACTGCGGGCAAATTCAGCGCCTGGTGGGCGACCCTCAACGAGACCGACGAATTCGGGCTGGGCGCTGGACGTCGAACGCCGTGCTCAGAGCGACAGCCTCTCAGCGCACTCGGCGACACTGACACGGGCTGTGGATGTGCTACGAGTGTGGTGGAGAAAAATCACCTCCAGAATAATGTTGAGAACCAGTGCACGCTCGACCTGGAGTCATGTTGCACTCTCCGCCTTCCACGCTCTGGAGCCGCTCGAGCGCTCTCGGGCACGCTCTCGTCAAGCGCGGTGCCTTGGCGTCTTCGCGGCCGCGCGCCGCTCGCCAAGGTCCGCGCTCCTCTCTCGCCTTGCCGCCTTGCCGCCTTGCCGCCTTCGGCTGTCGGAGTAAATATTTTGAAGCGGATCAAGGCGCTCGGGGCGCTCCGGAGCGCTTGGCGCCGCTTGGCGCATCGAGGAATGCAGTGGCGGAGAATGCCAAGCGGATCGCAAGCGCGTCCCAAGCGCCAAGCGGGGCGAAGGCGGCTGTCAAGCCTCGTGTCAAGCGGCCTGTCAGTCAGCAAAGCGCCGCAGATTGCATTTTAGCGGAGGGTTTTGCGTATTGTTTATGCCGAGACATTAATTATTCGTCAAGTCGCATCGGTTTTCGGCGACCCTCTGTTCGAGCAGCGATACGAATCTGTCTCCTGGTTTTATTCAGCTGGGTAATAATCGAGTGGCGGTGAAGGACTTGAGACGGGCTGAACACGGCTTGTTATTTTATTTCCGAAAGAGCATGCCGTTTCCATTGTGTGTTCAATTTGACCACCAATACAAACTCCAAATACTAAAGTCATAGTTTTGCTTCATTTGGCTCCTAAACAAGTTTCTATCACAGAAGTTTTGATCCTTTTTGGCGGCCAGCTCCCGGCCAGGCCGATGGTTGCGTCTGAAAATGACAGAGTTTCTGGCAGGGAAGCCGTGGCCAAAAATGAGACGCGGTCGTCTCTCAGGTGCGGTGTTCTCTTTCAGGTGTCCTTCCTGGCCTCTTCACGGCCTAGCCGCGGCGGATGTTGAAGGGCTGCGGCTGTTGCTGGCCCTGGCCCTGGCTCTCGTCCTGCTCGGGGTGCTGCCTGTTGTACTCGATGGACTTGAGGATGGCGTCGGGGATGGGCGGCGGCGTTGGCAGGTGCGCGCCCTGGGGCTGGAAGCCGTTCTCGTCGGCGAGGTACTGCAGCTGGATGGGGGTGCCGTCGTCCGCCGTGTACGAGTACTGGCCCTGCACGGACAGGGACTCGGGTCCCACCTGCTGGCCGCGGGCGTCGGCGCGGATGCTGTTGCTCGTCTCGTACCTGCAACCATTGGCAGAACCATTGGCAGAACCATTGGCAGAACCATTGGCAGCACCGTGGCCGATCAACTTGTTTTGTGCCGATGGGCGTTCATGGTCTGGACGAGAGCTGTACTCACGAAAATGAGAAGGACCCGTCCGGGCTGATGTCGGAGCTCTGCTGCAGGATGACGGCCTGCTGGTCCTGCGGCCGCTGCGGCGCCGCCTGCACCGCCACCAAGCACACGGCCAGCAACACCTGCAAACAGCCACTCATTGAGAGAGTGAGGCTGGCAGGGCGGCCCGGCGTTGTGTCACCGCGGCATCATTGATGGAGTCCGATAGCGCCGTTTGGCGGCCGCTTCCCCAAGGGGCTCCCACGGCGGCACGCCCCGCCCCGCCCCGCCCCCCCGCCCCGCCCCGCCCCGCCCCGCCCCGCCCCGCCCCGCCCCGCCCCGCCCCCCGCCCTCCCCCGCGGCGGCAGCGAGGCGTTGCCCAACGCCGTGCTCATCGGCGTCGCCATCCGATAGCGGTTTGGCCGCTCTGCTTTTTGACGCTTCCCGCCTGGAAGGCGCTTCCGTCTCCGTCGCCCCGTCGCTAGCCGCCCGCCCGCCTGACGCAACCAGGGCGAGGCGCCGCGGCTTGACTTGGCGGGGCGGGCCAATAGCGGCCATTGGGGTGCCGTTGCTCGATCTTCCGCCCAGATTGGACCCTCTGACGGATTGCTGCGCTGTTTTAGAGCTGAACTGGGAGCGTCACCCCGAAAAGTTTGGCACCTCCCCCCAAAACGATTCATTAAAAACTAAAAATACTACGGAATGATTCTTAAAGAAACCAGCATGGGCATTCCGGATTTTCAAAGTAACACTACACACGGCATCTAGGTGCCACCACACTGTGCCTGTTAGTCTCCGCAATTAAAATGTCCATTCTTTAAAAAGCGTTTGTGACTAATCTCGATGCAGCAGTTAGACCTGCATCTGCCCTCACGATTGAGCGGGAAGGGGGGGGGGGACTTTCTCTATGGGGGGATATTTCGGGACATGGAGCGGTGCAACGAGCACAATTGACAGAGAAATCCACACACGGCGTTTACTTGGGTGGCACTCCAGGCGTAATCCACAGCGCGATGCGCGATGTCTCCGGACCGGCGCACTGCTGCTTGGCTTCGGCGTGGGTGCACTCGGCACTCTGCACTCACCAGGGACTTCATGGTTCTCGACGTGCACGACACTGGACCTCTCACAGACTACGCGGCTGGAAGATGGGCGCCCCTCTTATAAAGTGCATCTTGCGTCTCACCTAGGCAGCCTCCCTATCACAGCTTGTGGACCAGAGCACCCCCTCCAAAGAGCCCCCGCCCCGCCCCGCCCCGCCCCGCCACGCCCCGAGATGATCCACGTCATGGAGGGGGGCAAGTAGCTGTCAGAGAAGTGGGCGCGGCGTGCGGCGCCCCTCGCGGTGGCTAGGCCCGCCCCGCCCCGCCCGCCCCGCCCCGCCGGCCAGGCCCGCCAGGCCGATCCGGCCGATCTCCTCCACGGCGGCCGATTCGGCCCGTTTGGCTGCCTGGCGTGCGGACGCGGCAACGCGGTGACGCGGAGAGGCAAAGGGCGTTCACCAGCAGGACCAGCCGGGACCAGCCGGGACGCGGTGAAAGGGAGGCCGGCAAGGTCGGCAGGGACGAGGGTCGCCCTTCTAGTGACGTGGACGCGCGGGCAGGGCGACGGGGCGGCCAGCTTCCCGAACTGCATTGACATTGATGACGGGTGGATGGATAATGGTGATGGACGCCGCCGAGGCCACCACTGCGTTCAACGCCCGCGGCCGTCGCGAGCGCTGCCGTCCAAGAATTCGTCTGCCGCGCTCAATGTAGCGGTCTCGCTGTCAACTTTTAGCTCCCCCGTTAAAACTTGGGGCCGAGTCGCTAATCTGTGTGTTGTTGGCGAGGAGCCTCCGCGATGACGGCCCGGGTTTTCGCTTGTTTTCTCGGCTGTAAAAACGCCAAACGTCCCGCGTTCCCGCGTTCCAGCGCGCAGTTTAGCGCTGCCTGCGCGGTGCGCGGTGCGCGCCCTGGCGGTGGCCTTATGCAACGCAGTGCACACTGCGGCGCCAGGCAGCGCCCTAATCACCGCCCTGTCGCGCTGCCGCCCGTCCCGGCGTCTCCCCGGTGGGGATAAATCAGCCTGCCGATACATCATTGGACCACTTGGTCGAGATGACGAGGACCTCCTCCGGGACCGACCGGGACACCAGACCGCGCCTTCTCGGCCTGCCCGCGGACGGGCCCGGGACACTCTCCCCAGCGGGCCGAGCGGGCCCAGGGGCCGCATGCAGGGAGCTTGGCACCGGCGGCCCTGGCGTGGCACTGCTGCTCTGCTGCACTGTGCACCACCGCCTGGCGGCCTGGCGCTGCACTGCCTGGCATTTGGACCGCGCACCGCACCGCGGGCACCGCGCCTCCAGAGGGGGGTGCATGTGCACGACGAGGCACGCCATGGGTCAGGGTCTGTGTGGCCAGCACAGGCGCGGCGTTGTTCGGCGTGGCGGCGTGCGGCGTGCGGCGTGCGCCGTGTAGCGCGGCGTTGTGGCGTTGTGCTGCCCCCTGCTCCCGGCGGTGCGATGGGCCGACGGGCAAAAGGTACGGCAGGGGCTTGTCTTGTCACAGGCGGTGGATGGCAGCTTGCCGTCCGTCACTTAGCTTCTGCTGTGGGCGCAGCCGTCGCGCCGTTACCCCGCGCTTGAGGAGGCCGGGCAGGGGGTATCGGCGATGACGAGGCAGGCGGGCTGCTGCCTGGTCCTGGTCCTGGCGCTCGGCAGGTGCGATACGAGGCGCGGTGCGGACGGGCCGCGCCATGGCTGCGCCGCGGTGGTAGGCAGCCCATTCGACTCCGCAGCGGCAGGAACCACGAAAGGCGGAGGCGGAGGGGACTTGGCAAGGGCCTTGGCGGGGAGGGTCCAGCTCCAGCGGTCCAGTCAGATCCCTGGGGACGGTGGTCGGCGACGAGGCCGTGGTTGCCGCGGGCGACACCTTATGCTGGGAGACGACGTCGCTCCGCCATGGCGCCGTGCCCAGACACGGCGGCCACCCCCAGGCCCCGCCTCTTGGCCGCCCCCAGGCCGCGGCTCGTTGGCAGCCATTGACAGCCGACGGGCGAGTCACGCAATGCGCCGCCCGGGGCTCCGGCCTGGCCCGGGGGCGGCGCGGCGGCGCGGCGCATCTGCAGCCAGCGGCAGCCGGCGGCAGCGAGGGTGACGGACGGGCCGCATGACGCAACGCGCAACGAGCCCGGGGATTGATTTCAGGCAGGTGCACCGTGGCCTGCTAGTGCATCCGCAGCATCCGCAGCATCCGCGGCGTGGTCCCCAGAGTGACAGGAACTCGGGCCGCACCGCCTCGCCACCACGCCCATCGGCCGTACGGCGAGGCGGCGGCGCCGCAGTGCAGCGGCGGGAGGTCGACGGCCGGGTTGCGCAACCGGCGGACCGCCCTCCTGCTCCTCCGGACCGGTGTCGTCCCGGAGCGTCCGGGGAGTAGAATCCGGTTTCAAGGACGGCACTCTGCCGCGCTGCCCCGCGCCGCCCCGCGCCGCCCCGCCGCGGCCCGCAAGGCCAAGCCTGGCCACTGTGCCACTTTCGATCGCATCGCCGCGACGCGCCGCGGGGCTGCCCCGGCCGCCGCGACGCTCCCCGGTCGGCATGTCCGCCCCAGTGACTCACGACTCGCGTCCGCCGCCCGCCACCTGCATTCGAATCCGGACCGCCGCGGGCCGGCACTGGCACGGGACGACGCGAGACACCCCGAGATTGACCCACCCACGTACAGGACCAATAAGGTACACACGTCCAAAACAAAACGCACACACACTCACACACACACACACACACACACACAGAGAGAGAGCATTCGTGCCAAGGCGGGCCGTGACGGGCCCAACGGGAATGAATCAAACGACCGAATGCGGCGCGGTGAAATGGCCGGGGCTGGCGGGGCTGGCGGCGGGGCTCGCCTGGTTGGGACATTGTGGAAAATTTGGTCGGGGATCGGATCGGACGGGAGTGACGGGCGTGTGGACGCAGGACTCTTCGGCGGGGTTGGGACCCTTGGCGGGGCCACCCCCTGGCACAGAGACTGGCTTCAAGCCCGGCGTCCGCGCCAGAGTCACGAAGAGACTGCCCATCTAGTTCGGACGGTCGCCAGCGCATTGTGTCTCCGACAAGCAATAACTAGGAGTAATGACACGGCCGGCGTGTCTTGTCGCCGTTGCCATCGAGCGTTCATGCGGCCAAAGAGCGGCACAAAATATCTTGCCGTCCGTCGTTCATGTTTCTGGTGTGGCGGGGCCCTTCGCCCGCCCTTCGTCGGCCGATGATGAGCCACCGGGATGCCTCTGTGAGTCGGGCAGGCCGTCTGCACGGGGCGCGGAGCAGCGCGGAGCCGTCTGGCTCGCCGTGTCGCAATGGGCGGAGATGAGACGGGCGGCGGCGTATCTCGACCAGGGCCTCCAGGGCCTCCGTCCGTCCAGGACCCCCAGGGCCCGACCGCCGCCACCGCACCGCCGCCCTCCATCACGGCACGCCGACGGCACGTCACGTCCGTCTGCACCTCGGCCTCCATAATCACGGAGTGCACGGCCGGGACTGATTTGTCGCCGAGCGGTGTCTCTTTGCCAACACGCCGCCTCGCGACAGCCACCCGGCCGCCCGGCTCGGCCAATGGCGTGAAGGCAGAGACAACAGGCAACAGACTGGCGACAGACAGGCAACAGACAACAGACAACAGACAACAGGCATCAGGCAACAGGCACGGAGACGAAGCCGGCGAGGCCCCCGCACTGTCCCCGAACAGGTTCCGAGCGTGTCGAGTGCCGAGTCCGAGTGCTTGGTCCGCGTGCGCGTCGTGCTCGACATGTAGCGTCGGAAGCGCGCTGCGCTGGCTGCGCTCCACTGACCCAGTGCCCGTGCCAGCGCCGATGCCAGCGTGCCAGCGTGGCGCCCAGTCGCAGTGAGGGCTGAGGGCTGCAGCCACGCCGTGAGGACGAGCTGGCCGCGCGCATCTAGGGCACGGCCGCGCACGGCGCACCGTGCTGCTGCAGTGGCTGCAGTGGCTGCAGACTGCGTATCGCCCCCGCGGCGTCCCGGCCGTCCGGCGCGTCTCGCTGCCTCGAAGGGAAGGCCGAAAGAGAGGCGAATGTCGGCGCGGACGGATTAGCCTAGGCGCTCTTTGGAGGCGGTCCCTCTGCACGCCGATTCCGAGTCGTTTATATCGCCCTGTCTCTCTCGCACTCGCGGGGCCTTCCGTATAGGTGCGAGAGAGACAGAGCGACGAGGGACGGATGGGTCTGCTGGTGGTGGAGCGGCCGGGAAAGGGAAGGACACGTCGGGAGGACCATAAACTGGACGGTGACGCCATTGTCGTGGTCCAGGACGACGAGACGACGCTTGGCGCTGCGACGCGACCTCTTTGGCCCGGGGTTTCGGCCCATCGGCCCGCCTCGGAGAAATATGGCCAAACGTGGTCCTTTGTTCGCTGCGCCGGCTGCGCCGCTGTAGAGTCCGCGGAGGACAGAGGACCTTTCGGGGTACCGGGTCCGGGGAAGCTCGAGTGGCGGTACAGGCGTGCTGCAGGCGTGCTGCAGGCGGGCGTTACAGTGTGGGACCCCGGTTTGCGTCATGCGGCAATGCGAGGCAATGTCACTGTCAAGCGCTCCGTTTCAAAACGGCGCGCGTCGGCCCCTCGAGAAGGCTCGTCCTGGTCTTCCGATCCGGCTGCACGCAGTGCACCGCGCAGTGCACCGCGCAGTGCACCACGCAGTGAACGCCCCTCCACACGCGATGCCGGGCCCGGCCGGGCCTGTGGGCGGACCGATCCTCGAACCGAGCTTCCCGGTTACAGGCATTCCGGTCCATTCGAGGCGGTGGAGGGCTCCAAGCGCGCAGTGCTGCACAGCATGTGTCGTGCGCGCTGCGCCGCTGCGCCGCGCCTGGCCTTGACCCCCGCCCCGCTGGCTGCGCTCTGCCCGGCCAGCCCGGCCAGCCCGGCCCGGTCTGGTGCTGGACCTGGCTGCAAAGGCGTCTGCAGGCTGGAGGATGCGTCGGCAGTACTCCGAGCGGGTTTATTGCAGTAACGGCCAAGCCAAGTCAGCCGGCCCGGGCTCCGGACTTTAATGAATACATTAGTTGTTTGGCACGTGACGGGAATGAATGCGGTGCCGCGCTGTCGCCGGCCGTCCAGCAGCTTGGCTTGACTTGGGTCGGGTTGGATTAGCTTAGGATGGGTTAGGTTGGCTGCTGTTCGGCCAGCGCCTCGACCTTGCAGGCCTTGCAGCGGCTGGCTCGTTCCGGCGGTGCCGAACGTCGCAGCGGACTCGGCCATTAGCCGCGCAGCCGCGCCACCACCGCCACACCATTACGAAGCCAGACAATTTGAGGGTGTCGCCGCTGTCTGCGGTTTGCCTGGTTTGCACGGACCGCCCTCGGCCCTCGGCTTTGGCGGTCCTGATCGGTTAATTGGCGTCAGGCGGCCGGCCAGGCCAGCCATAAACCATGGCACGCGCTGCACACCAAACACGCTGCATACACGCTGCAAACACGCCGTCGGGCTGCAGAGGTGCAATCCGGTCGGCGTCCTCGGCCGGTCCCTCTCCGCCGCGGTGCCGCGGTTCGGCGACCACCTCGTCCGCAGCCTGCCGAGCCATCAGCTTACTCACGGCCGACGGCGGCCAAAGACTGGAAGGGTTTCGATGTGTCCGACAGTCGAAGCCAGCCGAGCCGCGCCAGTCCCGCAACTCGCAGGTCTAGGCCAAGGCGGCGCTGCTCGGCGGCTCGCGCTCGGAGCGGCGGACGGCTGTGCCCGGAAACGGAAGTGGAGTGGACTCAGTGGACATCGCCGCACGGAAGCGCCACGCGCTATCTCCCCGGGTCGGGACGCGGCGGGGTGGACGTTGTGGCCGTCGCCGGCATGGGGTAAGGGAGGGGGATGCAGACCTTAGGCCCGCGGGGGAGGGGCGGCATTAATGGGCCGGGTGTCTCTAGGCTCTAGGTAGTCTAGGTGTGGCGCAGGACGCGTTGATGAACTCATACGCATGATGCCACGGCGGCATCCCCGCCGCCCCGCCCGCCCCGCCCCGCCAGCCCCGCCAAGCCGCATTGTGGCGAGGCAGTGGGGATGTAGTATAAAGAGGGTGGAGAGGGTCCTATCTGCATCAGTGTATCATTAGCATCCCAAGCAGCCACTCAGCTCAAACATGCACAGCGTTGTGGTGAGTGCAGTTGTAGTGCCGTGACAGTGCAAGTGAAATCAGTGAAACCAGTGATCAAAGTGCTTCAGAGGACGCTGTGTCCGAACCGTGCCCTCCCTTGGATTAACGCCGTTACCACTTCTTGCTACTCTGCGCTCCGCCAAACAGTACACGCCCGTGTTGTTGTTGGCAGATCGCCCTCCTCGGCGTCGCCGCCCTGGCGTCCGTGTCGTCGGCGCAGCAGCAGCCGTCCTCCACGCCGGAACCCATAGCCATCGTGAAGCTGCTCAGCGACGTGCAGCCGGACGGCACCTTCTCGTACGAGTGAGTGAACCGTTTGGAAACTACTAAGATGCCTTGCCAGCACTGGGCAGGTTGCCTACAGGGGCCGACAGGGGCGCGGCCCAAGGATCTTTCTGGTGGACTTTGACACGACCCTCGAGCTGCGCAGCGCTTCGCAGTGCTTTCCTCCACTCAGCAACCCCGCTTGTTGCCGTCTGTCGCAGGTACGAGACGGCCAACGGCATCAAGGCCGACGCCCGCGGCGCCCTCAACAACGCCGGCACCGAGAACGAGGCCCTCGTGCAGCAGGGGTCCTTCTCCTTCGTGGCCGACGACGGCGTCACCTACAGCGTCACGTGGGTCGCCGACGAGAACGGCTTCCAGCCCCAGGGCGCCCACCTGCCCACGCCGCCGCCCATCCCCGAGGACATCCTCAAGTCCCTGGAGTACAACGCCGCCCACCCCGAGGAGGAGGAGAAGAGCGAGAGGAGATGAGCAGCAACTTTGTCTAGTCATAACGCACAAATGTAAATAATAAAGTTTTTTAAGATGATAAAATGTAAAGCGGCTCACCTTTTCTTTCACGCGACGGTGGAAATTTTTTAAAACAGACGAAAAGTCTACGTTCCTTAATTCAAGCCACGATTTCTACGCATATGATACCGTTTTGACCAAATTTGCGGCAATACTGCTCCCAAACTAAGGCGGAAAATCACACTCTGTAACAAAGACATCATACACGCCACTCCCTTAAAAATTTAGTTTTAAATAATATAAAATAAAAATTTGAACCCTACGACCCTCTCCCCCCCGCAATGGGGGTTCGAGCCGCCTGCTTAACTTCGGTGTTCGGATGGGAACCGGTGTATCCAGGCTTTAAACTGCTACCGCATAGTTCAGCTTCTGTAGGACCGCTATTGCCTTCTTACACATGAAGGACCGCCTTATGAGGGCAGCCGGCGATCGTAGGGTGACAGAGATAGAGAGACAGAGAGAGACAGACAGAGAGGAGGTTTGGTGGGAGCTTCTTGTTTTCGTAGGGTTGGTTGTGTACCCCATGGTACCCCCACTGTCCGGCGCTCCCGTACCGAACATACAGCGTTTTAGGCCAGCTTCAAAGGACTTATCATCGCCTCCCCGACGAGTCAAGGAGGCACCACCCGCAACCACACACCGGATGGTCTGGATTGATGGATCAAATACGCCATCGCTCCAGTGCCGAGGCCAACCCGCCGAAGCGGATTGCTTTTTAGACACCCACAGCGGAGTGGCCAGGTGAATGTGACTCTGACCACTACGCTATCACGCTTGTACGTCTCGCCGAGTGTTGGACGACGGGTTTGAGTTGCAGTGGGAGGAAGGCAGTCGAAAAATGTAATGAAATGATGGGATTCGATCCCCGTACCCCGCCATCGGGATCACACGACTTTACGCTCTCGGCCACCACGGCCCATGATATGTGCAGCGGCGTGAGGTGGGTTCTTGACGCAACAGAACTCGACCGACCCGGTCAAAATTTCGCAAGAATTTGGGGGAGTCGAACCGCCGACCCTAGCACTGGGAACCGACGCCTCTACTCCCTGGACCACCACGTCCCACGTTCAGTGTGGGCTCTCGTTCACGGGTTTGAACCGCACTGGGTGAGGCAGTAAAATTAAATGGAAATATTTGTAAGGAGTCGAACCTCCGGCATGTGGGCCTGTTGCACATGGCCTCAAACCACCACCCATAGGATAGCAAGTCGAAAAAATACTTTGGTGACGCTGGTATTCGAACGCCGGCCTGCGGTAACTCGGTCCCACATCTCTAACCTCTCGGCTACACCGGTTATAGGAGCAAACGTTCCATCGCGTTCCACACCGGCTATGATAGCCGAGAAGAGGTTAGAGAGATGTGGGACCGAGTTACCGCAGGCCGGCGTTCGAATACCAGCGTCACCAAAGTATTTTTTCGACTTGCTATCCTATGGGTGGTGGTTTGAGGCCATGTGCAACAGGCCCACATGCCGGAGGTTCGACTCCTTACAAATATTTCCATTTAATTTTACTGCCTCACCCAGTGCGGTTCAAACCCGTGAACGAGAGCCCACACTGAACGTGGGACGTGGTGGTCCAGGGAGTAGAGGCGTCGGTTCCCAGTGCTAGGGTCGGCGGTTCGACTCCCCCAAATTCTTGCGAAATTTTGACCGGGTCGGTCGAGTTCTGTTGCGTCAAGAACCCACCTCACGCCGCTGCACATATCATGGGCCGTGGTGGCCGAGAGCGTAAAGTCGTGTGATCCCGATGGCGGGGTACGGGGATCGAATCCCATCATTTCATTACATTTTTCGACTGCCTTCCTCCCACTGCAACTCAAACCCGTCGTCCAACACTCGGCGAGACGTACAAGCGTGATAGCGTAGTGGTCAGAGTCACATTCACCTGGCCACTCCGCTGTGGGTGTCTAAAAAGCAATCCGCTTCGGCGGGTTGGCCTCGGCACTGGAGCGATGGCGTATTTGATCCATCAATCCAGACCATCCGGTGTGTGGTTGCGGGTGGTGCCTCCTTGACTCGTCGGGGAGGCGATGATAAGTCCTTTGAAGCTGGCCTAAAACGCTGTATGTTCGGTACGGGAGCGCCGGACAGTGGGGGTACCATGGGGTACACAACCAACCCTACGAAAACAAGAAGCTCCCACCAAACCTCCTCTCTGTCTGTCTCTCTCTGTCTCTCTATCTCTGTCACCCTACGATCGCCGGCTGCCCTCATAAGGCGGTCCTTCATGTGTAAGAAGGCAATAGCGGTCCTACAGAAGCTGAACTATGCGGTAGCAGTTTAAAGCCTGGATACACCGGTTCCCATCCGAACACCGAAGTTAAGCAGGCGGCTCGAACCCCCATTGCGGGGGGGAGAGGGTCGTAGGGTTCAAATTTTTATTTTATATTATTTAAAACTAAATTTTATATGACTCCGTCGTGGGTACCATGTGTTGTTTTGTCGAATGTTGAGGGGGCTGGGGGCTGAGGCGGTGGTAAGGTTGGACAAAAAGAGGTCGTAGAAAAATATAACAGCGGGAAGGAGGTCGGACGAATTTCGACAGGTCGCACAAAAAGAGGTCGTACACAAACGATGTACACAGTACTCCACTGGAGTCGATATGCAGCGCTGCAGCGGACTCACGGTGGTGCGGGACGCGGTGCCGTACCGGGCCAGTCTCACCCGATCGGTTACAATGACGACGCGACCGGTCCGCCGTGGCGTGGCGAGGCGTGCCGTGCCGCACCGTGCCGTGCCCGCTCCACCATCGCGGGTCAGAGGGCTAATGAGCTATGTGCGACTGGAAACCATTTCGCCGCTTGCATTATCGTTTCGCAAAGCAGCGTGGCGTGTCTACGCTTGGGCGACCCGCACGGTGACAGTGCGCGTGACTAAGATAAGGGTGTCATGTGGTGCGGCCATTCAATCAGCCCCACTATCCATTGCGCAGTATTGTTTATTCCTAAATCAGGTACAATTTTTTTTCAATGTTTGAGAGACACTAGAGCCTTAGTTGCGGCCGAAGGCGGGCTTGGCGGCCCTGAGGGACTCGTCGTCCTCGCCCTTGTAGTACTTGGCGTTGAACTCGAGGGAGCGCAGGATGGCCTCGGGGATGGGTGGCGGCGTGGGCAGATGCGCGCCCTGGGGCTGGTAGCCGTTCTGGTCGGCCACGTAGGTCACGGCGTAGGTCTGGCCGTCGTCGCCGACGAAGGAGTAGCTGCCCTGCATGGCCACGGCGGGGCCCTCGGGGCCGGCCTCGGACGGCACGCCGCGGGCCTCGGCCTTGATGCCATGCGCCGTCTCGTACTCGTAGACGAAGCCGCCGTCGGGCTGAACGTCCGAGTTGAGGCGCACGATGGCGATGGGCTCCTGCAGCCGCTGCTGCTGCGCGGACGTGAGCGCCACCAGGGCGAAGACGGAGAGCACCTGCAACAACCGCCACTTGTTGAACGGCCAGAAAGCACGTGGGCCGAGAAGACCCAGGCCCGGCGGATGAGGCTGAGATCGAGGTGCCAGATGTCTACTCACCACACACTTCATGGCTGCTGTTGAGGTAAACTGTGATGGCCGGTCGGCCCGGGAATCGTTTTATACTGAGACCCAGTCTCCCACCACGACCGGACTCGCCACCCCCGAAATGGCTGGCTTCACACCGCGCCGCGCCAAAACAGTCCGACCTTGCGACCTTTTGACCCCGCCTGTGCGAACTTTGCCAAAGCTGGGCGGCAACTACCCGTTACCCGTCCCGACGACACGGCAACGTGGGTGGGCGCGGCGGCGGGGAGGGGCGGGACTGTCCCGAACTGTCCCGGACCCGGAAGGCCGCCGCAAACGAGCCAGCCACGATCCGCAAATCTATGTGATGTACAGCACAGTCCTGGTGACATTCCCAGGAACACGGCTCAATAAAACGACTTCTTCTCCTCCTTCCTTTTTGGAAAACGAGAGGGCTTTACACCTTCCAAAAGGGAGAGACTAGACTAGAGGCGGAGGGATCCTGAAGCGGGCGACGCCAATGTCGGGGCCTCCGTGACGCACTTGGCTGCCTTGTGGTTGCGGTCGGCCCGCGCCTGGCCCTCAGGCCGTCAGACCCTCGCTCCGACCACCACTGTGGCCGGAATAGACCCCAGCAGCCAGAGAAAGAAAGCACAGCCAGTGTTGCTCAGTGAGAGAATAAGAGAGCGGAGTCGAGCAAATAATCTTGAATCGTCTTAAATTCAACTGTATGTTGGCTCGATGTTGGGATTCAGGAAAATCGCCCATCCCGGATTCAGCTCCACCATGCCATTGAGTGCTCGCACGCCAGGAAGCTCCTCGTGGGCACGTACATACCAAGAAGAACAAGAAGAGACGATGGCCACAGTGAGAGGAGCGTACCGCGGAGAGTGCGGGGCGCGCCGTGGGCCGCACCACAACATTATGCAGAACGCACCAACTAAATGATTCACCCGAAAAAATTTCGTCGTCATGTCAGCAGAATCATGCAGGTGTTCCGGGATGTTCCGATTGTTACAGTGAAAACATGCGAGTGAGAGTGAGCTTCTTGGGACCGGACTACGCTTCCTCGCACCCCGCCATGTTCTTCTCTTCCTTGCGTTGTCACAGCACTTCCAGCCCTGCTCCGCTCTGCCCCGCACCTCCCCCTTGCCAATCACCTTCACATCCACATAGTTTGCAGCGCGCGCCGCAACCGGTTCCCGCGTTATTGGCGCCATCAAGAACATAAATATGAAATTAAGAGGCGTTTTGGAACGTGCCGACGGCATGGCGAGGCCCGGGGCGGCACAGTTTTCTTATTTGAGTTGTCGGGGCTAGTGTCGCCAGAACGTGGAGTTATTTTACGTGTTGTCATACTGTTTATGCTTTTTTTTTACCAACGATTCTGGTGTCTAAGGTTCATCTCTTATTTTATTTTGTTTTATATGAAAAACAAACATTGAATAGAATTTATTGTACAACCGACATGGCCCGCATGATTCGACTACGACTTGAAAGTGTGGTAAAACGACATATAGTCAATTATTGTTTTCTGATGCTTCTTAAAACGACCCGATATCTACTTGGTTGGCGAATCAGCCGCCAAAGATCCATGATTTTGCTGGCGTTAAAACAAAGGGGAAGGAAAATAGACGGGGATTTCTTATCACAGTTCATTTTGCCGTGGCTATTTACAGATGGACATATGAATCTAAAATACACACAAAAGTCAGTCTCTCAGTTCTTGGCCTCGTTCTCCTCGGGGTGGGCGGCGTTGTACTCCAGGGACTTGAGGATGTCCTCGGGGATGGGGGGAGGGACGGGCAGGTGCGCGCCCTGGGGCTGGAAGCCGTTCTCGTCGGCGACCCACGTGACGCTGTAGGTGACGCCGTCGTCTGCCACGAAAGAGAAGGAGCCCTGCTGCACGAGGGCCTCGTTCTCGGTGCCGGCGTTGTTGAGGGCGCCGCGGGCGTCGGCCTTGATGCCGTTCTCCGTCTCGTACCTGCGGCAGGCGGGAATTCATTTGAAATTGGAAATACACACACCAAAAAATTGGCGGTACTGGTGCAGTGGGTGCGACGCCTCGCGCGCCAATCGGCCGAGCTCTCGGCGGAACTCACTCGTAGGTGAAGGATCCGTCGGGCTGCACGTCGCTGGCCAGCTTGAGGATGGCGATGGGCTTGGGGGTGGCCTGCAGGGCATCCTGGGGAGCGGGGGCGGCCCTGGCCAGTGCGGCCACAGCCAGCACGGCGGCGAAGACGGCGACCTGGCGCGGTGCACAATGCATCGATTAGACAGACGAAACAAACGCGTTGGAGGAGGCGCCGCGCTTCGTCCAGCTCCTTACCAGAGTGTTCATTGTGGTGAGGTTGACGGTGATATGGCACGACGATCCAGCCGCCCCCCTGGCTTTATATACCGACCGCACCCTCCTCGGACAGGAGCCCCCTCCAGGACCCACATTTCGGGGCCCCGACGCCTCGCCCCGCCTCTCTTCTCCCCGCCACGCCCCGCCCCGCCACGCCCTGGCCTGCATGGCGCACTGCCCTGCCTTGCCCCCGCCGTGGCCAAGGAGGACCCATCACTGGGTCCACGGGTCAGGGGTCCCGGCGTGGGTCCCGGAGTCCCCACTCACCTGAAGTCCTCCCTGACGCCAGGTGACGGGCACCTCCGGCCCCTACCACCCACCATCCACTCCACCCCTCCCACGCGGCCACGCCCGAGTAGCACGCCCGAGTATGACCGGACGGACGGCTTGGTCTTCGTCGGATGCACCGCACGCGGCGCACGCGGCGCACGCGTGACATCGACGCCGCGGTCCAGCGCTCGCAGACACGCAGTGCGACGCGCGACGCACAGCCACGCATTTGGATTCTACTGTAAGGCTTAGAGGGTGTAACACGCTTTGCACGCCTTACACCTTTGCACCTTTGGACGTTTCGCACGCTTACATACCTAACAATACAAGAGACTTTAAGGTTTTAGCTAGCTTTTACTCGAGAGTCCAGAAACCAACCTAATAATAATGAAATAGGGCCCGGGGAAATAGTAACACAAGACGAGTAGCATCGCGGCTTTCATTAACGTTCATTGAAAGGAGATTTTTTTATTTGAACTGGACGGGACTGAACGGGACTGCGAACGGCACTGATCCAACTGTGCTTCACTCCACATAAGATAAGCTTCGTTTGCATGAAGTGCAATCATTGCTTTTGCTGGACTATTCGGTCTTCCAACTACGTAGTCTGCCGGAATCTATGATGATTTGGCTTACACTGACCTGTCCCGTTTCGTTTAATTAAACGCGTACAAAAACAAAAATTGGCATTTCCAGGTGGGGCAGAGGCCAAAGTACGAGCCAAAGTAGCCCTTTTCTGAGTCATCAGTTCAGTTGTCCTCGGAATTACGGTCACGGCCATGATTGTTCTCTAATTAAATTTATTTCCTTCAAATTTCTCGTAATGCGTACTCCTCTTAAACTCAAGGTATAAAGTGGCAACGCGTTGCGCTTCTTTGGGGATTGCAACCATGTTGTACAGTAATGCTTTACTGTAGTGAAAACCCAATCCACAATATCGTTCGGTCACGGTATGTACCGCGCAACGTACCTTAACAGCACCTCTTCTCTTTTGCAAAATTATCTTAATTATTTTACTTTGGCCACAGCGATCGACTGCGCGGGACATTTTATCCAGACTGTTAAGAATATGCTCACCTCGTTTGACTCATGGATGTTGTACGAGGAAGGTTAGGTTGGAGCAGAAAGGCATCTGTCGACTGTTAGTAGGAATGGTAACATGGCCTATTCCAAATCGTTAGCAGATAAATTTTCAATTGTGTGTTGGTATTTGTTTTTAACGGGTTGGTGCGCGGTTGTCGTGCCAAAGTGGGGGCAACATAAACAATTTAAACATTTAATATTTATCTTTTTATTATGTTTTTAGGGGTTGGCGGGCATGTCGCCGTTCAAGTCTTGTCAGGTACAAATGGCACAGGCATTAATCTAGATCTATTTACAGACACAGTCCGTCCTGCTTAGTTCTTCTCCTCCTCGGGGTGGGCGGCGTTGTACTCCAGGGACTTGAGGATGTCCTCGGGGATGGGGGGAGGGACGGGCAGGTGGGCGCCCTGGGGCTGGAAGCCGTTCTCGTCGGCGACCCACGTGACGCTGTAGGTGACGCCGTCGTCGGCCACGAAGGAGAAGGAGCCCTGCTGCACGAGGGCCTCGTTCTCGGTGCCGGCGTTGTTGAGGGCGCCGCGGGCGTCGGCCTTGATGCCGTTCTCCGTCTCGTACCTGCGACAGACGGAAAAAGTGCGTCAAACAGGCGGCCCCAGTTCCGACAGTGTACGGCTCGCCATGCCTCCCCGGTGCACGCACGCCGCCACGTCGGCCTCCCGCGGCCGGTGGGGCATGCTGTACTCACTCGTAGGTGAAGGAACCGTCGGGCTGCACGTCGCTGGCCAGCTTGAGGATGGCGATGGGCTTGGGGGTGGCCTGCAGGGGCTGCTGCGGTCTGGCGTACGCCAGGGCGGCGAGGGCGAGGATGAGCACCTGTGGAGCAGCAGCACACAGTTATGGCGTGGATTCTATCTTGGGTTCCGATTCAATGGCTTGGATTCGAGATTGTAGTTTGCATGTCGTCGCCCCCCTCCCCCCGGTCCCTGCCCCGCGACCTACTCCACCCATTAGCACCTCCTAATTGGACGCGTGGGGTCCCGCGCCCCCCACACCCCGGCACGGCCCCCCGGCGTGGCGCGGCGCGGCCCCCGGGGCTCACTCACTAGTGGCGCAATGTTCCGGCTGTTTATTGCCTCTGACACTCCACTCAGCCGCGGCAGCCCTGATGCCCGTCTCGTTGTTTGGCCGTGATGCCATGCCGGTGCCATGGCGATGCACCGCGGCGTTACACAATGTCGTCACCGGCGGCCCAACGGCCGAACGGCGCCGCGCGCTCGGCCTCATCGCGGAGCACCCGAAGACACCCAGGTGCCTCCACTCGCGAGGGCCGGCAAATTATATCCATCAGTTCGATGCCGTCGGACAAGGCGGTACACTTGTTGGTGGGTGCGGTCACGTTATTCCTTTGGCGATGGTGGTAAATCCAAGGGAGGACGCGGAATCACTTCACTGTCACAATCCGTCGCACACTATCAGCACACTGTGGGCACACTGTGGGCACACTGCCACACTCACCGCGGTCTTCATTTTGCTTGAGTTTAGTTTCGCGGAGCGGGGCGAGACTGTCGAGACGCGAGCTCAGGTTGCGGTGGACAACTGTACCTCATTTGGGCTCCGGCGACCGTTTTTATACTTGCCGAATTTAGTCGGCGCGGAGGACCTGTCCCCACCACCGGCCGCCACCCCACTCCACCCCACTCCACCCCAATCCTTTACCGTCAACAAGAAAGGCTGGTTGGCAGTGACAGCGGCGGCCACGGCGGCCCCCTCCGTCACACGCCGGGTGTCCGGGTGGGGTGAGGATGGCGGGCTGGCCGGGGCGGCCACAGGCTGGGGTCAAAGGTGGCTCGCTACCTCCTCTCCTGTCGCATCCCGACCTTGGTCGAGACGATGACGTCATCGAGTGCATCACCCCAGCGCGAGGTGTATCAGAGGTGTATGCCTGTTGACAACCGCGTGTTGACGGCGTCCAAGTGGCGGCGTTTTGTTTGCGTTTCCTGGCCGTGCGAGTGGCCGCGTGGCGCCGCGTGGCCGAGCGCGTGTCGCTGGACCGGCCGAGGCACGCCACGTGCACGCCACGTGCACGCCACGTGCACCGCCCCCACGTGTCCGTCCGTGACTCCGCGGACACCGCGCGGCCCAAGTGGCCTAGTATCTAGAATAGCGGTGACCCGTCCGCGGCCTTGGCAGTGACCTCGCGTGGGCCGCGGGCCGCCAGGCGGGCAGTCCAGCCGGACCAGGATAAAATGTAGTCCGTTCACACGGTCTGGCCGGTGCTGACCCACCTCACCGCGCTGTGCCTCGCCGTGACGTAGCTGCCGCGTGGCCCAGCCCCCGCACCCGTCCGCCCGCAGTGTGGCGGTGGCGACGTGCGTCAGTGATACGGTAAAACTCTGCTTTAAATCAGGCATCTTCAACTTATCAAGTATGTGCGTCTTCAGACTATGGTCTTGTAACTTGAGAATTGCTCCTCGAATCTGTCAGTCGGTCGGCTGATCCCTGGGGGCCCTTGCACCGCGCCACTCCGACCGCGGGTGTGATGAATCCTCGACCTCGACCCCAAATCGAGACCGGACTGGCCAAAAAGGTGGTGCTGAACCGCCCACACCCGCCCTAGTTTCGCGAGCGCGAGACCTGATGCCGGTCCGCGGGGGCAAACTGGCGTCCTCCCTGAGCGACTTCTGGGTATGCCTGGTCCTCGTGCAGCCTGCCTGACGGCACGGGCCTGTCGCAACGCCGCGACACCGCGAGCACCAGGGCGCGCCGACCGGAGACGCCCGTCAACCGGAGTACGGAGTATGCCGCCGTGGCGCGTGCCGTAGCGCAACGAGCGCCCGCAGCTGGTGTCCTGGGGCCTACTTGGGCCCACTGGGACCAACTGGGACCACTGCCGCCGTCCCGCCCTGCGCGGCGCTCGGCGCCGGTTTAGGGGGGGGGGCAAAACGCCTGATAGTAGGCATAACCAGCATCATATGCCCCTGTAGGTATGCAAAATATACACAATCCCCCCCCCCTTTTTCCCTCCTGTCGGGGGCTCCTTAAACCGCGCCTGGGAGAGGCTGCCTTTTCATTGAACGGCCTACGGGCGACAGCTGTGGCCCTATCTTTTCGCCTTTCGTCTTTTTAGCAGATGATACCTTTACTACTTCAAAACATACCTAGAACATTACGAGACACTTAAAGGTGTCAGCTAGCTTATACTCAAGAGTCCAGAAACCAAGTGAGGACAGCACCAGACGAGTATCATCTGCTTCCAACGTTCCTTGCATGGAGATTTTTCTTAAACATTTAATAGATGCACTAATATTGAGTCTTGAAGACACAGTAAAAATAATTCGATAAAATTATCGGGCTCATTGGCAGAGCCAACAAATTTTGCGGAGCAGCTCAATATAGACCAGCCTGAACTGGACCACCAACCTAAAATTTTGACGCACACCTATTTCCTGTCTAACCAAGGGTCTACCTAAATAAAAATAATGAACGCAACGCTCGAGAGTCGTGCTTCCGGATGCCGGTACAATTTCTATAGCCTAACTTATTTTTTAGCGGAAAAGATTTTTTTTTCCAAAACAAGCATTTTTTTCTGCGTGACCGACGCCAGATTATTGAAATTAAAGGTCCGGTGCTTCGGACGCTGGATGACTTGGCCTGTCGCGGTGACACTCTTTGATCGCGGTGCCTGTTGTACGACGTGTCGCAACGACGGGGCGGTGTTCCTCGTTGTGACCAATGAGCTCGCCACCATCCTGGCTGGTATCTCACATTGCATCGGTCTGCTCCGCTCGGCTCCGCTCGGCTCCGCTGCTCCGAATGGCGGCGGATGCCTCGAGGACCGCTTGGCATTTCGGCCCGTGGCGTACGCGGCGTGTGTGGTGCGTGGTAGTGTGGCGCGCGGGACCGGGGTGGTGGGGGAATGCAATGAACACAAAGGAGCAAGTCGAGCTTTGGTCTTTTGTTGGTGAGATGGTTGTATTTACAGAGGGGCGGAAGGCGGGTTCCGGGTCCGCGGCGCGGGGGCGGACACGCCGGAAGGCTGCGAGGCTGCGTCCCCTCCCCACCCAGCGGCCCCGGGGTAGCCGGTGACCGCACCACCACTACAGGGCAGACATATTTCAGGAGAAAGTAAAACAACTGCAGCAGGAGGAACAAATTTTTGAGATGATATCGATAGTTAAATAAAGACTGAGGGCTGTTTGCTGAACCTAAGGCAGTTGACACGGTGGCGCCGTCTGGTGGCTGCGATGCTGCGGTGGCTGCATCGCTGTGGTGGTGCGGTCCGGGGCTGGCGCTAGCGCGCTAGCTGGCTAGCACTAGCGGCCCTGGTTGCCGTACAGGTTGGGCTGGTACTGGCCGCCGTCGTTGGGGTCGGGCTGGCGGGCCGCCTCCTCCAGCGCCCTGGCGAGCTCGGCGGGGATGGGTGGCGGCGTGGGCAGGTGCGCGCCCTGCGCCACGAAGCCCTCGTTGTCGGCCGTGTACTGGACGGCGTACTGCACGGCGTCGGGGCCCGTGTACGAGAAGGAGCCCTGCACCGAGTTGCCCTCGTCGGGGGTGCCCACGTTGTTGAGGCGGCCCTGCTCCTGCGCCTGGATGCCGTTGCCCGTCTCGTAGCTGCAACAGAGTAGGGGGCAGAGTGACACCTGAAAGGCCTGAAAGCGGCTTCGCGGGCTTGGAGATCGACTGCCAGTCTTTGGTCTTGGAGGGCCTCGTTGTAATTAGGCCATGGCGGTGACGCAAGGCGGCCCAGCCGCCAGGGCGCCAGGGCGCCAAGGCGCCAAGCTGTCTCGCCGTCTCGCCGCGGCGTGCCTGGCGTGCCTGGCGTGCACGGCATGACGGATGGACCTCCGCTTCCGACCGCCGCACTGAGCGACCGCCGCGTACCGCCGCGCCGTGGACTGAGTGACCTGTCCGTTCCGACGGCGGCCTGCTCGTCACGGCCACGCCGACTGCCGACCGCCAACGTGGCACAGTGCAGCGGTGGACCACTGGTGGTGTACTGACAGTGTACTGACCTGAACCGGTAGGTGCCGTCAGGGGTGGCGTCGTTCTCCAGCCTGATGATGGGGATGGGCGTGGTGTTGGGCTGCTGGGGCGCGGCCAGCGCCACGGCCACCAGCGCGGACAGGGCTACCAACTGAAACACGCACACCAACAAATTAGAACCGAGTCGAAACAGGGGTCCCTGTCCCGGCCGCTGCATTCAGACTGGTGGGCGCGTTTCCCACGGCGCAGCGCGGAGCGGGGAGGGGAGGGGAGGGGAGGGGGCGTAACACGGGAGCGCCGCGCCGCGTTCCCCGAGGGAAATTATCCGTGCGAACTGCGCGAACTGGGATTCGTTCGTGCGTATCACGGCGCTGTATCGCGCGCCGCGGCGGCCGTTCGGGGCCCTTCGGCTCGGCGTTCGGGTTCTGGCGGGCCGTGTTCGGGTTCGGGGCCTCGGCAGTACTGGGCCATTCGGCGTGCTGGCCATCACGAGAGACGGGATGAGCGCGTGCGGATCAGGCGCGCGCCTGTCTGTCTGGGTCGAAGTCGAAACAATAATTCGGTTAACCGCAAAGGTCAATGAGGGCTCGCGCCGACGCAGCCGACGCAGCCGACGCGGCCGAGCCCCGCCGCCTCCCCGCCCCTCTCTCCCGCCAAGGACGCGCGAGCCCTCATCTCGGCCCTCTGCTTGGCTCTGTTTGGTGGGCGGCGTGGTGCCGCGCCTCACGCAGCTGCAGCGGGGGCGCAGCGCCGTGCGGACAGAACCGGATTCGCCACTTTGGCGGAAACTGCCCCGAACTGTCCCGGCCGCCGTCCTGATGGCCGCCGATGGCGGCGCGGGCCGCGGGCCGCGGGCGGGCCTCGTGGGACGAGCAGGCACAGCGGCCAAAGCGCGAGCACCGAGAGTGGCCGAGTTGGGCAACGGTTCTGCCGAGTCCAAGAAGAAAGGGAAAACAGCGAGGAGAGCACGTGCTGAAAAAAGAACCGAACTCGTTATTACTACGGTCGGCGGTCTTGTCACCTTCCAACGATGTAATTAGAAACCGGATCCCAAGGTCGCCCAGGCGCCTCTCTCCCACACCTTTTCCGGGTACCTATTTTCGGCCCACCGAGGCCAGAGTTCGCGGCTGTCCGCTGTCGGACCGACCTGGAGCGGAGGAGTGAATCCTTTTTGACGAAACCGAACGCCGGTGAGTTTGTGCTCAGTGTACGAGTTAACATATTGCCAAAGTGCCCCACCCGCCGCCGCGCCCCGCCACGCCTCGCCACGCCCCGCCACGCCCTGCCACGCCACGCCGCGCCCCGCGGTGCTGTCTGGATGAGCTGATCGCAATCTGGGCCCTCGGCCTGGCAGCCTGGCCGCCTGGCCTCGCCCTGCGCCCCTCCCGGTGTCCTCACCGTCCTTACCGTCCTCACCGTCCGACCTCACACAACACACGCGGCCCACTTTCGTGTCCTTTCGTGTCCTTTCGTGGCGGACCGGCCTCTGCCAGGATGGCAGCCTCCCTCGGGATGAGCATGAGCTCCGCCAGGCCTCGCCGCGCCTCGCCACTTCGACACAGGCGTGATAGACACCTGGCTGGGAAAGTGCCTTCGGAGATTGAACAGTCCCGTTTCCCAGCAGCGGGGCGGGGCGGGGCGGGGCGGGGCGGCCGCCAAGTGGCAGCGCCTTTATGAAGCAATGCGGGCGGGGCGCGGGAAAGGTCGAAGTTGAGCCGGCGGGGCACCCGGCTGGGGCGGGGGTGGGGGAAGGGGGCAAAGAAGGCCAGTAATTGATATAGCGAGCTCTGCTAATCCGGCCGGGCCGAGCCGAGCCGAGCCGAGCCGCTTCGTGAGCCGGGTGGATCAGATGGATGCGATTGATGCTATCCGAGGGTGCCACTCGCGATTCGCGGCCGGAGCGGCACGGCGCTGTTATGGCTGCGGTGCTCGGTGCGCGGTGCGCCGCCGGGAACGGCCGAGGGACGGCGAAGGCGAGGCGGGGCGAGGCGCCCGAAGGCACCCGAAGCGAGGCACAGCGAAGGCGCACGAGGGCTGGACGAATTGCGACGTTCTTACGATCGCCGCGCATCGTCGGGAAGGCCGCGCGGATTGCCTTCGACTATCGACCAGCCAATCGCCATCAAACACGACGGCGACGGGCACGGCGTGTTTTCCAAAAAACTATCGCCTTCTTTCTCCGTTCCCAAATCAATGCCGAACTGTTTCGACACGAGTGCTTATTGTTCGGGGTTACAACACGTTACGTTATGAGCACTGCGTGGCGTGGCAGGGCGTGGCGGAGCGAGGCGTGATGGTGCGGCTGGGGGGCCCAGCAAGGCCCGTGCGTTGATGTCTCTTTCACTGGCACTAGTGGCACTTTTTCTTTTCGTCACTTGATTTGATGCGACTGTCGCGACAGTGTCACGACGTCCACGACGTGCTGAGTCAAAGGCAAATAAAAAAAAGTTTGTCGGCGGCGGAGACACAAGGCTGCGGAGCGGAGGCCGGCGGGGAGTCGAAGATGGTCGAAGAGCTGGAATGTCCCGATCTGCAGGGCCTATGCCCCTCGAATCGATTGCACTCCAAGATGAACTTCCAATCATCTCGCTCCCGTTAAGAACAGCTGGCTTCGAGGACGAATGCAACAATCTACTGCTGGGCCTCACTCCTGAATCAATATCCTGGAAAGCCAGCGCCCACAGCTTTGCCTCGACTTCAAACAAGCAAAGTCCGAAAACTAAACCGCCCACACCTTGGCACACCCCGCTCGGCGCGCGCACTAACACATTCACACCCGACCACCCACACACGCGCGCGCGCGCTCTCTCACACACACTACAGACGCGGGCGGCTCCGCCGGTCGGCACTCTCTCCCGGTAGTGATCCAATTAGAGCGGACTCACCACGGCGACTCGGCTCATGGCGACGACGGTACTCCACCTCGACACAATAAACGGACAGTACTCGCCGCGGCGGCCATGCGCCAGCTTATATATCAGACTAATTCGGCCGGCGGCTCGGCGCCCCCTACCCGCCTTGCCGCGCTGCCGCGCTGGAAGTAGTGCGCCGTCCCCACCCTCGCCCCGCCCCGCCCCCTCCGCCCCTCGGCCCCTCTCCGCGCGGCGCCCTCCCCGACCTTCCCCGCCGGCCGCGGGAGGGGAGGGCGTGGCCGCGGAGCCGCGGGGCCGCGGCCTGGCGCCGGGGATGGCCGCCCTGCCGGCATCGCCCGGCCGCCGACCACCGCCCCGACCACGCCGTCAGCTTCGGGGGCCTCGGGGGCCTCGGGGACCTCGGGGACCTCAGGGTGGCGGCGCAGGCTGCAGAGTGGGCTGCACCGGGAAAGTCCTCACAGTGGCTGGGCGCTGGGCTTCTGGGGTGGCCTGGGGATCGTCCCGGGAGGGTATCTGGGCTGGCCGGGGTGGCCATTGGTCCGCGCACCAATGCGTAGCATGCGTAGCAGCCAAGAGCGAGAGCTCCGCGCGGCCGGCTCGCAGATTGCTGCTCGCATAATGTGTGCACGCTGCAGGCTGGCTGGACCGCTGCGCGTTGAAGTGTCGCGCTGTCGCGCAATAGCCACCCCCGTGGCCGCGGTCCGAGGCGCTCTAAATACGTTTACTTTCAACGGGTGGGCGGCGCCGTGCACGGGCCGCCCCATTTTCAATTCGCTTCCCCCTCCCCTCCCCCGCCGTCTCGCACCCGGATCAATGTGAGGAACGCACTCAGCTCGGCGTGGTGCTCCGTACGTGTACAATGCCACGTTACATGACTGCATGTCCGTCGGCTGAAGAGGACGTCATGCCTCGTCGTTTCGGGGAGGCGTTTACGTCACGGCGCCGCTGTCGTGCGCTGTTCGCCCTCCCCGAGGCCCTCCCCAAGGACGGCCGCGCGTTCAACGGCCGAAATTTGAGCGCCCTACTTGTCCGCCCCGCTCCGCCCCGCCTCGCCACGACACGACACGACACGACCGGAGCCGGGGCTCGTTTATTTTGCTCCTCGGTTCCTTTCTTTGGTGGTCGCTGGCGGGCTGGCCGCGTGGACGGCCTGACCCAGTGGACCCAGTGGGGCACGGGCGGCACGCCGTTGTGACACGGGGACCACGGGGGCCACGGGCCACGGGGGCAATGATGGCGCGGCATTGACCCGGCCAGTGACAAATGAACGACCGGCCGGCCGGGCCACGCGGGCACACTGTGTGGCACACTCACACACACCAGGTCTCTCGACGCCACTCCGCGCCACTCGCACCCACGCGGAACAATCGAACAGCGCGCCGACCGGCCGACGCCACGCTGGTGGTGCGCCACGCACGGACCAGCTCAGGCGCGGCTAAAGGGGAAAAGGGGGGGGGAGTGTCGCCCAGAAGTCTGAAGCGGTCTCTGGCAAGGGGTACCCAACTCAAGATAATCATTGCACTTTTGACCAATTTAGCGAGAACACTGCTCCCAAACTATCAGCGGTCAAAGCCTTCCCGAGGCGGGGCATGAAAGAGTAGGGTCTTCAGAATAGTAAGGCGTCGAGGGAGGCCTTTGACCGCAACTAAATTGGATGCACTGACCGCTCAAAGTCAGCAAAAACGGTGATTTTCTGAAATTCATTCGCTTTTCGACCATTTTAGCGAGACCACTGCTCCCAAACTATCAGCGGTCAAAGCCTTCCCGAGGCGGGGCATGAAAGAGTAGGGTCTTCAGAATAGAAAGGCGTCGAGGGAGGCCTTTGACCGCAACTAAATTGGATGCACTGACCGCTCAAAGTCAGCAAAAACGGTGATTTTCTGAAATTCATTCGCTTTTCGACCATTTTAGCGAGACCACTGCTCCCAAACTATCAGCGGTCAAAGCCTTTCCGAGGCGGGGCATAAAAGAGTAGGGTCTTCAGAATAGTAAGGCGTCGAGGGAGGCCTTTGACCGCAACTAAATTGGATGCAGTGACCGCTCAAAGTCAGCAAAAACGGTGATTTTCTGAAATTCATTCACTTTTTGACCATTTTTGCGAGACCACTGCTCCCAAACTATCAGCGGTCAAAGCCTTCCCGAGGCGGGGCATGAAAGAGTAGGGTCTTCAGTATAGTAAGGCGTCGAGGAAGGCCTTTGACCGCAACTAAATTGGATGCAGTGACCGCTCAAAGTCAGCAAAAACGGTGATTTTCTGAAATTGTTGGCTGAAAGCCACACCGTGTTTTGTGGCCGCGACCTGCCTCCTTCGGTTTGAGAGGGGAGAAATGTAGTTGTTGACTTGAAAATGGGTACATTCCGCATTGCCTCTTCATTTTAAAAAAATATCGCGTTGTTGGTGGCAGTTGGCTTGCCCTTGCCTTTTCAGTGAAACGACGAGCGGACGCGCGGAGCGCAGCGCGGTTTGCCGCGGTTTGCCGCGGTTTGCCGGACACGGCAAAGATCATTGCCAATGTAAAGTTCACTCAGGCGCGTGGCCTCACAAGTTGAAAATTTCCTGCACGTCTCAGGTATGAAATAATTTGTCGCTGCCCAGACTTTCCCCGGCGTGCTCCTCTGGCTCGACGCGCGCTGACGCGTCACCGCGTTTTTCCTTGGCAAGTGTCTCAAGCGTGCTTGATATGCGCGGACACACACTCCTCGCGCTGCGGCGCGCTGCGGCGACTCGATTGCTGTATTCGGAGGAAGATGAGGAGAGGAGGCCGCGCAGCAGCGGCGCGGCATTCCGACTCGCGCGTCGCGAAGGTCTCTCGCGCGTCTCCAGAAATCGGGAAAAAACACGCCTCGCTTTGTCCAGTGTGTCTCACCTCGCGGAGCAGAGAGAAATGTTTCTTCTGTTCGTTTTCGTGGCGTAAATGTGTAGCACAAGTAGGCCGTCGGCTGCAAATGTTCCCTTTTCTGACGTAAGCCGTGTCTGATGGACTCGGCTGCCCGGTCACGAAAGTCCACCGAGACGTCGCCCTGCAGCCGCACGCAGTGGTTCTTCTTTGACGGCACGCAAGGGCCAAACGGCCCTCGCTGCCAGCACGAAGGGATTGCCGCGCTTCAGACCACGAAAAAGGCCCATTTTGAAAGGCTGTGTTCGAATGTGTTTGTAAGCGTCTCATCGAGAAGTTGGTGTGTTGGGGCCCCACGAGGACGCGACGGCCGGGCCAGGCCGTCCCGCAGCGCATCTCCGCCGCTCGTCTGCCGGCCTGCTTCGCCTGCTTCATAATTCGCTGCCGGACAAGGACGGCGAAGGCTGCAGCTGCAGCGTTTTCGAAGCAAAGCCGGTGCTGATGCTGGACTGCGGCCTGACCGCGGGGCGCTGCTCGCCACGGCGCGGCCCCGCGAGGAGAGCGCGCTGGGCGGCCAGGCGGCCGGGCGGCTGGGCCGGTGGCAGTGCAGTGCCATTACTGGCGGCTAATCCTCAATGTTTCAATTCCAGCTTCCAGCCGCGTGCGCGAGCGTGCGCGATATCGGCGGGGCGCGGGGCCTTGACACGCTTTCGCCCGGCCGCGCGCTCTGCTCCTGCCGCCGCTCCTGCTCGCCACCCTCAAGTCCGAGATTTATTACGATTCCTCATTACTTCATCGAGTCACAACAGCGAAGCGTCGCGCGGTGGCGCATCGCGACGCGGGTAATCCTAATTTACTCGCCTGCCACCGGGGAAAGGGGGAGGGGGAAAGGTCGGGGAGGCACAAACGTGATGTTTATGCGGAGGCTGTGATCGGCAGTGTCTCGGCGCGGTGCGCTACAGGTGTGTGGCCACGCGTGTGTGGGGCGAGAGAGATTGAATGCATGTGTGACATTTATACACTCGCGTGTTGGGCCCCCACCCTGCCGCGGCATGCCGTGCTGCGAGGCTTCCTTCTCTCAGTCTTGTGCCGAGTCGGCGTTGCTGAGTGTGTCGGGGTGGGGACTGCTGCTGCACCACTGGGAACCCACCCGAAATGACAACTGCGCGCGTCTTACCCGTATCAATGAGCACCTCATCAAGCATTTTATTTTAGAGTTCAGTTCCAATGTTCGCATCCACTAGCGACCCGCCCTGGGGGGCGGGGGCGCGGGGCCGCCCTCGTTGTCCTGCTCGGGGTGCGCCGCGTTCCACTCCAGGGCCTTAAGGATGGCCTCCGGGGTGGGCGGCGGCGTGGGCAGGTGCGCGCCCTGGGGCTGGAAGCCGTTCTCGTCGGCGAGGTACTGCAGCTGGATGGGGGTGCCGTCGTCCGCCGTGTACGAGAACTGGCCCTGCACGGACAGCGCCTCGGTCTCGGGGTTGCCCGCGTTCTTCAGGGACCCCTGCTCGCTGGCGGCGATGCCGTTGCCCGTCTCGTAGCTGCGGACACACGACGCCAAGGCCGTCAAGGCCGCCTAGGCGGAAGGGGGTCCGCGGCGCTACTCCGCGGCACTGCGCGGGGCGCGCGGGGTATCGACGCCGCGTCCCAGGAAGGGCCAGGAAGGGCCAGGAAGGGCGGGGAAGTCCAAGGGCCGGCGAGCGTCCGGTCCGGTCCAGCACGGCGGTACCTCCCGGCGCCAAGGCGGGCCAAGGCGCTCCAAGACACTCCTCGGCATGGAGTAGCGACGGCGTATACTCACGACCACTGGAAGGAGCCGTCGTCGTTGATCTTGGACTCCTGCTTGATGATGGGGATGTCCTGCTGCGCGGGCGCGGGCGGCCTCTGCTGCGGGGCTGCACCCGCCGCGGAGAACAGCGCCTGCAACCGGGAAGGTGGGGCGGCACATCACCACGACGCCAACCCGTCGCGAACGAAGCGAGCCGGGAACGCACTGCCATTTGCACGCTCAGCACCAGTCATGGGGTGCCTGGCTCATTTCTTGCGCGAGTGACAGTACCTACAATGCAGTGATAACGGCCCAGCTCGCGGCGAGGGTTGGTTCACTGGGCCACGCGGCCGGAGGCGAGGTGGAGGCGGAACGAGGCGGCGTGGCGGCGTGGCACGCCGCCAGCCCGCGCGACGAGAAGCGCGTAGCGCGAAGCACGGCAGTGATGTCTCACTCACTTTCCTCAATGCTCCTATTCCCTGAATGCGGAAGGCGGAACTCCGAGAAGAGTTTTGAGGGGCGCGCCCTTCGGGTTGGCAGTCGGCCGCGTGGTGGCGGTCTTTCGCTGCCGCGTACTCACCACCGCGATGAACAGGGCGAACAGCATCTTGAGGGACTTGACTCTGACGGGGACCGACGACCGCGATGTGGGAAGCTGGTCAAGCTGGACTAGAGAAGTGACTGCAGCGCGGGTACGCGACGCACTGGCGCCCGTGCCGGGGTGCGCCATCTTTTATTCGCTGGGGGATTTCACTTGGCGGACCCTCGCACTGCGTATGCACCGCGACGCACTGCCACCCCCTCCACGGCGGTGGTCATGGTGGCCGTGGTGCAGCGTGGAGGTGCAGCCGGGTAGGGGTTGCCGTCGGTGCAGGCAGTCAGGCCGTGAGGCTCGCCGTCAGGCAGCCGAAGCCGAGTGGTTGACAAATGGCGGTGCCCCAAAACAAAGCTGCCTTGGCGCTGGCGCGCGCTGGCGCTGCGGGTGTGCTAGTCGATAAAACTGCAAACTGCAAACTGCACGCGGCGGGGCTCCGCGACACGTTTCCAGGATTCCGCGGTCGGGGCCGGCGGGGCCGGCGGGGCGGGGGAGGGGGCTGCACCGTGTAGTACACCGTGTAGGTGAAGGTGGTCGGGCGGCCGAAAAAAGTGGCGGGGCAGCGGCAAGTCAGCCAGCAGTGCGCCGCGGCGCCGCGACGCCGCTACCTGCATGCCCTTTCGGCCTACCGGCCTATCGGGATGACTGATTCTCGGCGGAGCTCCGCTAGCGGGCCGCGCGGCCGGTGCCTGTCGGTACGCACACCGGCCCAGTGGCGCAGTCCAGCCGCGAAGGCACTGCAGTCAGCTGCTCGACCCCGCGACCCGCCCCGCCTGCCCCGCCGCGGCCAACAAGGCGCGCAAGTTCAAGCACCGGCCGACCGCGGCTTGGGAGTATATCGTGTCGGACCTTCTTTTGTCGGGCCTGGCCAAATTTCACCTGCACTAGAAACCTACCCCTCTACTTCACTTCCGCATCCAGGGTATAGTCATTGGGGCAACACAGTCACCTCACACCGGCCACAGAATTGGCCCAGTGCGGAAAGGCATACGTATTCGGCGCTCGGATCGGGCGATCGATTCCCAGCACTCGCACATTTTTACTGACTGTACCATTGCGGTTCGAACCCATGGCTTCAAAGGACTTCGTTCCACAATCTCATCCATATGAACCGTGGTGGCCGAGAGCATAGAGACGTCGGATCCCAGGCCGGGAGCGCAGAGGCGTCGACCCGCATCTCCAGGGGCTAGGGTTCGACACCCAGCAATTCTTTATATTTTGGGAGTGACTTTCCCGATGCGGTTTGGACCCGTTGCGCCACTCGGCTCACCCGGTGAGCCGCGGTGGCCGAACGTGTAGAGATGATTCAATCCTACACGCGGATCGAGCGATCGAATACCAGCTTCCCGCTCTTTTTGTCTGACTTTACGGTTCGGACCAGCGGCTTCAAAGGCTCCCCTTCGCACAAAGTCACCCATGGGCCGTGGTGGCCGAGAGCGCAGAGGCGTCGGTTCCCGACTGCAAAGTCCGGGGTGCGATACCCAGTACGGGATCGAATATTTTGACCAAGCTTGCATCGCAAGAAGGCGGTTCAAGTATACAAAATCGGCCGTCTGCCAGCGTGCCTCTCATAGCCCAGTGGTTCCGCTGCTGGGCAGGGTGACGCAGACTCCTGAGTACCAGTAGCATGGCCCCTGAGTGGGAAGGGGGCCGGGGATCGAAACCCGACTACTGGGAAAGGTGGCAGCCTGGCCTACTATGAGAGGACTCCTCCACATCACAGATGACGTGACCAATGACGGGGCCACTGCGGTTTAACTCTGAGGTTGCTCCTGTGATGAGATGGGGGAACTGTCTGGTGAGCACCACTCCCGCAGGGAAGAGGGCCGGTTCGCCGGGGTGCCCTCTTTCGCTGAAATTTTCTTTATCGTGTTGGTTATTTTCAAATTTTTAATAAAATATTAAAAAAAATTAACAGATTCAGCCATTTTGTTTTGGGAAAATTGCTCTGCAGCCATATCGTAATTGACGTGGCTAGGCCCAAAAGTCCCATCTGATTGTAGCTTTCTAGGGATGGGTGGTTGAAGTATGTGTAAAACAACATAGTCAGCGGAATTTGGTTTTCAATTTATTCATGCCTTATTTTTCATTACAAAATATTTCCTTTTAAACTATGCTACCGTCCATCATTAGATACTTATTCCAGTGCGTGCAGTGCGTGAGTTTTTCAGTCTGTTTGCAAGGCGCTGTGGTGGGCCTCTCCTGCTTGGTACCCTTTGTACCCGTCATGTTGTGGAGGCACCTGTTGTACCGGTCACTATGGCACATCATGTTCCTTCCGGACTCCGCCCGGACGGGGCAGTCGGAGTCCCCGTCCGGCCCCCCTTCCGTCTCGCCTCCTCGAAGGCCCTCTTTTATCACATTGGTCTCCCTGAGTCAGTCTCGCGGTCTCGGTGGCAGCCTAGAAGTGGCGTTGGGGGAAATACCGCTGGTCCGGGGTGCTGCCCTGCAGCTCCTCCTCGGCGGGGGCGGCCGTGGCCAGGGCGGCGAGGTGCTCGTCGATGGCCTTCTGGAGCTCGGCGGGGATCGGGGGAGGGGTGGGGAGGTGGGCGCCCTGGAAGAAGGAAAAGTGCATCAGAAAGTGGCATTTGGATTCAAACTTGGCGCCGTCCGGGCTGGGTCGGCAACGGGGGGCCGGTTGGCCGTGACCGTCCAGCTGATTGGCTGCGTTTGGACGGGGCACGGCGCCAAGCGGCGCCAAGCGGCGCCAAGCGGCACAGGGGACCCTACCTGGGGCTGGAAGCCGTTCTCGTCGGCGACGTACTGCACGGAGTAGGTCTGGCCGTCGTCGCCGACGTACGAGTAGGAGCCCTGCACGGCGAGCGCCTCGTTCTCCTGGCCGGCGTTGTTGATCTTGCCGGATTCGTCGGCCTTGATGCCGTTGCCGGTCTCGTAGCTGCGGAAGCAAAGCAGGCTGTCAAGACGCACGCCGGCCGCAACACGTTGGCCGGTTGGATGTGCACCCACCTGTAGTGGTAGGAGCCGTCAGGGTTGATCTCGTTGACGTAGCTCAGGATGGGGATGGGGGTGGTGCTGCTGGCGGCATCGTCCCGGAACGCGAACTGCTGCTGGGGCTGCACGTACTGCTGGGGCTGCACGAACTGTTGGGGCTGCTGGACGTACTGCTGGGGCTGCTGCACGTACTGCTGGGGCTGCTGGTAGTACTGCCTCTGCTGCTGCTGCACCTGCTGTAGCTGCTGCTGGTACTGGTTGAACTGCGGCCGGGCGGTGGCGAGGGAGGCCAGGGCCAGGGTGCACAACACCTGCAACAGGCACTGCATTACCGCCACGCCCCGTGTCGGCCCTCGCGGCGAGCCCAGCCATAGCCCAGCCAGCCCAGCCAGCCCAGACAGGCTAGCGGTCTTCCAGTGTGTCGGCGGCCCAAGGTCGCTGCCCTGAACGTGAGAAACAAGTGGCTCGCCACCGAGAGGGGCGGAGAGGGGGAGAGGGATTTAGTGGGATTGAGCGGGCGCCGGAGTCCTGCGAGTCGACGGACACGGCGCTACACGGGCCGTTCGATGAATATGCAGATGGCGATGAGCTTTCTGCAGTGGGTGCTCAGGCCTCTCTCTCTCGCACCCGTGGGGCGTCGCGTTCGAGTGCGAGAGAGACAGCCCGACGAGACAACGCCGCTCGGAACGAGCCTGGCGCGGGGCCGCGAGCAGGCGCGGCCGCGAAGGGCCCCGTTAGAGCGCTGCAGGCCGCAGTCGGGCCGCGGGCTGCAGGGCTGGAGCGGACTGCATCGACACAATGCGCCGACCTCTGGGCGCGGCGGGGCGCGGCGGGGCGCGTCGTTCGTCCCGCTGCATTTCTTTTCACGGTCGCGGCTTGCGTCAGGGCGGCCCTCCGGGCCCTCCGGGCGGCCCTGCAGGCAGGGGTCCCCGTGAGCACGCCGCCAACGCGCCGCCAACGCGCCGACGGTTCATCGCCCTCTTTGGACACTGCAGCCCATCTGCATGGAACCGGTGGTGTGACAAAACCCGAGTCAAAAACAGGTTCCGTGACTCCTCCGCGCGCCCACCACCACCAGTGAGCCACCAGCGGGCCACCGTGACCACGGCGGCCGCGGCCTCTCCGGGGCCATCCTTCAGACAATGACAGGGCACAGCGACGTCTGGCCGTCTCGTCGTTTCGGCGCGTTTCGACGTTTCGACGTTTCGTCGTCGCGGCGTTTCGGCGGTGCCGGCCGCGAGCCGCCTGCTTGTCATGCAGCGACGCCCCTCTCCGCGTTTGCTGCACTTTACAGCCGCCATCGACGGCAGGGAGACGCGCCGCGCCGCGTCGTGCGGGGCGTAAAACTTTACGACGCGGAGTAATGAAGCGCGCGGGCCGAATAAGCTCGAATAAGCTACAAAACTAGGATGAGTCCGTGGCGGCCTACCGGGGCCAGTGCGGTCGGACCCAGGGCGAGCAGCAGGGCAATCGGGCGAACGGCTCACGAGCATGTCTTTCGGCTGGCCCGGCGGCCAGGGCGCGGACTAGCGTTCACTGTTCTGAGATAGGTTGTCGCGGACTCAAGTCGGACTGGGTGATCGGGCCCGCGACTTAGGCGGCAAGGCCCCGGGCGGACTAAGCTAAGAGTAAATCAAAGAAGTGACAAGGAGTCACGGCGCGCTTTAATTCGGGCCCTCGATTGTCTGACTCCGCTGCGAGGCCCGCCGAGACTCCGGGCGCGAGACTCCACCACGAAAATGGGAGCGACATTGTTTCTGACGGAAAAGGCAGCGCCCGGTGTGGAGTAACGCGAAGTAACGCGAAGTAACGCCCTCATACAGCCCGGCCGGCCCAGCCTCATTCAGCAGGCGGAGAACGAGGCGGCCAAAAGGTCAGCGCCTGCAAACTACCCGCGCCTTCTCACGCGCGTCCAGCGATCACTCTTTTTACACGCTTCTCGGGGGAAACGGGGGAAACGACGCGCCCCGGAGGAAAGTTGCGCCCGGGGAACGCGAAGAAGAGCAGGGGAGTGCGTCGACGGCCACCGACGGCCACTCACCAGGGCGTTCATTTTGGGGTCGAGGAGGACGAGCACGGTCTTCTCGGGGAAGGGACGGCGGAGGCTGAGCTGGGCTGAGCGGAGGTTGATAGCGAACTGAGTGTGCCCTTCCGGCCGGGCCTTATATATGGCGTCTATGTGTTCGGCGTTCCGGCCGTTCTGGGCTTGCATAGCCTGGCCCCGCCCGGTCCCGCCCTCCCACCATCGGCCCTTGGCCCTGCAGGCCCTGCAGGCCCTGCAAGGCCCGCCCGGCCCTCCCGAAATGCAGCGCCCTGCCCCACCCCGCCGTCGCGATGCATCCCGCCTGCATCTCACGGCCAAGGGCAGCGCGGGCCGGGGCGGGGCGGGGCGGGGCGTTGCCTGCTGGCCTGCTGCAGCGCGGGAGGGAGGGGGACCCGGCGGACCCCCGCGGCGGCGCGCGGCTCCGTGTCGCGCCGGCCATCTCAAGCACCCGTCATCCAGGACGGCCTGCACGGCCTGCACGGCCCGCGCGGTGTGCTGCGCGAAAAACAATAATCGTGACTCTGTACTCGTGGCCGCGGCCTGTCGGCCTGGCGCTTCCTGGCGGGCGGGCCGCTGGGAGGCACGGTGTGAGGCACGGTGTGCTGAGAAACCGACTGCGCCGCCAGGACGCCGCGGGCTGCCCGCCTGTTTGACGGCAAAAATGGTCGAACCGAGCGAACGTGATGGATTCGGCTTCCTTATCGACGGCATGGCGGCCCGGCCATCTCGTCGGGGCGGCAGGGCGGCAGGGCACAGGGACAGTAAATCAACGGCCCCGCTGCGCCGCGTCGCTACCTCGATGCCCTGTTGCAGTCGGCGCGGCGCGCCCGGCAGTCGCAGCGCCTCCAGGCACGCCCTGCGGACTGGGCTGTGGACCCTTTGGGCACCTCGCGCTGCCTTGCACACCTAGGACGCGACAAAAGCTCTTGCCGTGTCTCCGCACATTTCTGCAGTGCGGCCAAAACAGACTCCGCACACTGCGCCTTTAAGAAATAATCAGTGCGCGAAAAGGGCCTTAAAATACTTGGAGCCTATCAAGTGGGTGATTGCATCCGATTCACTGGATTCTTCTTCGTGCAGCCCACGCTGCTGCGGCGGCGCCGGGGGGCCGGGGGGCCGGGGCCGGCTAGAGGGCCCACCCGCCCGCGGCCAGCGGGGAGTTTAATCAGGCTGACAGTGAGCCCGCCCCGCCCACCCCGCCCCGCCCCCCCGCCCCACCCCGCCCGCCACGCCCCTCGGAGCGCGTTCACCTCTGACCAGCCATGTCAGCAGTTACTCAACCTCTTGTTAGTGTGTTTAAAAAAGCGACTGCACGCGACCCAGTGCTGCGCGGTGCTGCTGCTGCCTCTGCTGCTGCTGCGGGATGCGTCCGTGCGCCTCGCGTTGTTTGCGGTTCGATTCGCACCTCACCCCACCGGCAGACTTTTGCGCCAAATCGCGCCGAGCTCCACCCGGCTCGCCGGGGGTTGTGTCTTGTCTCACGCGGCCCCGTCGCCCCGTCGCCCCGCCAGCCGCCACCTCGTCCGCGCGGCCTTGGCTGAAATTTCGCGCGGCATCGCCTTGCTGGTGTACGCGGGGTGCGGCTGTACACTGATTCCGAGAGTCGCTGTCGACGCTCTGTCTCCCTCACACGCATGGGGCGTCTCGCGTGGGTGCGTGAGAGACAGAGAGGCGAGAACGACTCTCGGAATGAGTCTGCTGGTGCGGCGGCGACCCCTCGTAAAAGTGATGCACCTCCGTCACGCAGCGCGCAGCGCGCCGCAACACTGTTGCCGCATCACTGTGTTCGCGGACGCGCGGACGCCTACACCTCGCACGCCGTGCCGTGCCGTGCCGTGCCGTGCCGTGCCGTGCCGTGCCGTGCCCCGCGCGCCGCGGCAGTGCGGTGTCCTGCAGTGTCACCTCGCGAGGCGCCCAAGGACCCCGCGCGGAGCCGCGAGGAGCCGCGAAGCGATCGGAGGGAAAGGAGAAGAAAGGCGAGGACGCGGTGAGGAAGCGGCGCGGTGTAGGGTGTCCAGTAGTGCAGTACTGCAGCCCCCCGAGGACACGACAAGTGCCAATCGCCAGTGGCAATCAAAGGGGACACTTTACAACTTGTTTGTTTTGTTTTCGAGCATTTTTACAGCATCTTTGAGCAGTGAAAAAGTTGAGCCCAACTTACAGACGTCATTCAAAAGTTTCCATCTGCTTTCTTTGTTTTTTGTTTTTTTTTTTGCAGTCCTTCTTTATTTTTATCAAGCTGATTTGTCTGTGTACGAGGCAAGGTATCTATCACCGGCTGTCTCTAGTGCAGCAGAGCAGTCCAAACCTGATCCAGAGACGAGTGCATCCTTCGGCAGCCACCTGCCTGCCGCCGGGATCACCTGGGCCCGGCCTGGGCCGCACGCCGCAACGACAACGCGTCGACGACTAAACGCCGACCTCATCAAATTAATGTAACCCTTTTTCATCATGGGAAATCTTTCGGCACGGTGGATTGAGCGATTGTGGGGTGGTCCGCGGTCCGCCGTGGCAGCCGTGGCCCCTGCACTCGCAAGACCGGTGGTCGAGACCGTCCGAGACAATCGGCGCGGCGCGGCCAGGCGCCAGGGCCCGCCGCGTGCGCCTGGCGTGGCCTTGGCAGTTGGCCGCCGCAATGCACTGCATGGAGCGGTGGCGGCGGCGCGGCGGCGCGGTGGCGCAAGGCGCTCAGGAAGCCGCTTGGACGTTTGGCCCAGCTGAGGCGGTCGCCAAAACTGTATCGAGTTTCCCACGGCCAGGCGGGGCGGGGCGGGGCGGGGCATGGCGTCACGGGCTGACCGTGGGGCGGGGGTTCCAAGAACGACACGGACACCTCGTCCCACGCGCCGCTGCCCTCAGCGTGCTCGTAAGAACGAAAATAATAATAACAACAACAAATTTAAGCAATTTAAGTAATTTTCGTCCAAAAAAAAAGAATATTAACACAAAGTTTAACGTAAACGCTCCGCACTAGCCCTTGCGTGCAGGGGCGGCCTGGCCCCCTCCCTGGCTCTCGTCCTCCTCGGGGTGGGCCTTGTTGTACTCGATGGACTTGAGGATGGCCTCGGGGATGGGCGGCGGCGTGGGCAGGTGCGCGCCCTGGGGCTGGAAGCCGTTCTCGTCGGCGATGTACTGGACTTGGATGGGGGTGCCGTCGTCCGCCGTGTACGAGAAGCCGCCCTGCGCGGACATGGCCTCCGCCTCCGGGTTGCCGAGGTTCTTCACGGCGCCCTCCTCATTGGCCTTGATCTGGTTGCCCGTCTCGTAGCTGCGGGCAAAAAACCAAGGCAGTGTCAGACAGGGGTTCGACTCCCGGCCCCGGCCTGCGCGTCCTTGCGTTCGCGTCCCGTCCTGCAGCGACGGAGGTGTCACCTGCGGAAGGCCCCGGCTCTCGGGAGTCCCGGGACGAGCGCAAACAATCCTGCCGTTAAAGTGCAGCAGCAGGCTACGCCTCACGCCAAGCCTCACGCCTCGGACGAGTCGGATGGGCCATTGGCCATTGTCACTGTAACGGGCCTTCGCTCTCGCTCCTTACGCGGCGACCGAGGCGACGCCGCAAGTGTGCACAGTGTGCGCCCAGCAAAGGGTGTGGGCGTCGAACCTCCTCCTCTCCCGACAAGCCACCTGGCTGCCTGGCCGCCGAGCTCACCTCCACTTGTACGAGCCGTCGGGGTTGATCTCGGAGGTCTGCGAGATGATGGGGATCTGCTGGCCCTGCGGCTGCTGCCCGGGGGGGCCTCGCGGGGGCAGCGCCCTCTGCGGGGCGGACGACACTAGCGCCACCGACGCGGCGGCGACCGCGAGGAACACCAGGAACACCAGCTGCAAGAGGAACAGGAGCCCTGGATGAGTCGTCTGCTTCATCACTTTGCATCCCGCGGACGCTTCCGCCCAGCCTCCCAGCCATTGTTAGCGGCCGCGGCTCGGCACCACTCGGCACCGAGGCGGGCAGGCGCCGCGCACCAAGCTGGCCAATTACAGCGTCTTCAAGGACGCAGCCAGGTTTTCAAGTCCGGCACTCAGAATGACCGGCGCAGGCACGCAGGCAGGCTGCGTTCAGTTTCGACAATGTTCGTTTTCCTACTTGCCGCGCGCGGAAACGATTGGTTCTATTGATTTGGAGATAGAGCTGATGCAGCCGGGCGCCGACTTCAAAGGCACCTGTGAAGGCTGCACCGGTCAAGCCTTAGTACCACAAGTCCAGGATCGGCTGGGAGAGAGAAACCATCCCGACACTCGCTCCCGACTATGGCCTGCGACTCTGCGAGCTGACATTTGACTGCGATAGTCAACTATCAGCTGTCCCAACTCAAATTACGAACTGTCACTAATTTATTCAACACTTGGTTACTTTCGGCTGTAAAGAACACTGATTTCGGAAGAAAACTGCCCGCTGTGCTTAGCGCCTGTGGATCCGAGGGTAGGCAGTCCCGCCGAGCACGGCAGCTCTACAGAGCGGCCCAACCACCAGGCGCTCCGTCCGGAGCCCAGCGCCAGCCCGGGCACGGGAGGCGGCCGCGCGGAGACAACTTCCAGAGTAGGCCCTAAACCACTCGCTCCTCTCCTCAGCCTCCGGGCCTCCGGGCGGGCAGCTTTATTTTCGTCACTCGGAATGAGGAAAGGTGGGCCGGTGGGCCGGCGGGCCGCCAACACCGAGTGACCGCGCAGTCCCTCACGCGGTGTCGTCTTCCATCACGTCGAAAGATAATCCAGGTAACTTGATGGCTGCAGCGACTTGACCTCGATGACCTTGAGACGTCCGGAGACGACCGCGTGCAAGGCTTCGAAACTCCGTCCCCTTTTTGTCTTGTTTGCCGTCTCACACCGATCACTGCGTCCACTGCGGCGGACCCCCCGCCACCCACTCACCGAATTCATAGCGATTCACTGCACTGGTCACTGGCAATGGACACGCGGCGCGGACCCGGCCACTTATATAGTCAGGCAAGTACGTCTGAGCCGTTCGCGCACCTCGCTGCACTTGGCGCCAGCCTCCGCACTTTTATCAGCGATACCTCAAAGCAGAGGCTACAGCCGCATCCAGCCGCATCCCCTCCCCTGCGACTCCCACGCCCGCCCCGCCCCGCCCCGCCCCGCCCCGCCCCGCCCCGCCCCGCCCGCCACGCCGCCGCGCTTCCTCCGTCTCAATCGCCTTAATCGCCCGCGGCTTGGCTCGGCTTGCTTGGCGTGGCTTGGCGTGGCTTGGCGTGGCGGTGCACGACGCCGTGGTCAGTGTCCGCGGCGTGGCGGCGCGGCGCCTCGCCGTCCGTCCACCACACTCGATTGTCTCCGCGCGACGATTGCCTTTTCTGCTTGTCCTATCCCATTCCGCGGGGCCCGGTCGCCGTAAATCAACCGCCTGCCTTTCACCCCTCACGGCCGCGGGGCGGGGCGGGGCGGGGCGGGGTGGGGCGTCCGTTTAGCTCGGCAAGTTCCTCCAGCTGATTTGGGCTCGGTAACCTTTGCCTCCCAATCCGTGCATCTGTATGGAACCGCCACGCCACCCTGGGCTGCCATTAGGCGCAATAAACATTAGACATTTCGGCCGCCGGCTGGAGAGGCTAGCGGGCACAGCCTTCGGGGGCTTCCGTCAGGCCACGCGGTCTTGCGATTTATCTCCAGTGATTAATACGCCGGGGCCGCGAAAATTATTTTTCGGTAGTTTGCCGTAGACAGTAATGACAATAATCTTCTCCCCTCGTCGAGGACGCGCCCGGCCGCGCGGCAGAGTCAAAATTTTATTACGTTATTTAGACATGTTTACGCGTGGACACAAACAGGATCCGGAATCACTCATTTCCATGGAAGAATGCGGAGTGACGTCACCGCGGCGACGCGCGGCGCACTATGGAGCCACGTGGCCGCCGCGGCCGCCGAGTGGAAGTCCTCGGGGGCTCGGGGACCAGTGTGCAAGGCATTGCAAGGCGGTGCAACGGGGGCGGCGCAAGGTCGCGGCCTTGAGGGCCTCGGCGCCGAGCGGCCTTGAACCACTGGAGCGGCCTCGGCGGGGGTCTCGGTGGGGCCACGCTCGGCCTTGTCCGTGTCCGTGTCCGGCGGACGGCACCGACGGCACCGACGGGACGGGGCCTCGGGGGCGTGCTCGGCGTGCTGCCCTGCTCCATGCCGGCGTCCTTGGCTTGCATAGGCACCCGCTCTTGATTTATCGAGCAGGGGCTTCCCTTGGGGCGTGGTGCGCGGTGCTGCGTGCTGCGTGCGGCGAGTTCACTCGTTGGCCGGCCGGCACTGGTTACTGGTTGCTCTTCTCGGTGGGGTGGCGGCACCTCGCCGCGCTGCCCCTCGCAGGGTGGCAGGGCGGTTCCACGACTCGGTACGATTACATCAGTGTTCGATACAGGACTCATCTCGAATTGTGTGTTACGCAATTGTTGCTGGTGCGGCACAGTGTTCCAAGCAACTAGCGCGGACAGGGGCGGGGACGGGGGCCGTGGGCCGAGGGGCCGTGGACACACTCGTGCACTCACGCCTTCTTCGTGTGGACCGTGTCACCGCCGTGCTGCGGGCATCCGTTCTGCTCGAAGCACTAACCGACCGTCCTGGCGTAACCGTGGCGACGGGCGGCGGCGGCGCAGCGCCAGTGCCGGCGGCGGTAACGTTTCACGTTTTTGCCAATCACCATCATCGCCTTGATGATGTGCACGAACAGCTGCAAGCCGGTGCCACTGCGCCAGGCGGACGCACTTCGCTTCGCTTCCCAATCGGAGCGGGCGACATAGGTGGAGAAGCCCGGGACGTTTGTCAGGGGAAGGCTGGTGCACCGGGCGGTCCCCCCCCCCCCTCCCACACCACCCACCGGCAGCCGCGCGCGATATTGGGCATTCCCCTCTTCGGTATTTTCGGAGAAGTCGCACCCGTCCGGGCAGACGCGCCCGGCCCCTCCCCTCCAACGGTGACCCCTCACCTCCGTAGGTCACTGGGCGGCCTTGCCTACATCGCCTGCACCACGGTGACGCCGCCACCCCGCGCCGCCCGCCGCCCGCCGCACTCGCCCAGGTAATTTTGCATTTTCTTCTTTTGTCGCTCGACGCTGGAGGGGGAGCTGTTGCCGCACCTTGCCACCAGGGGCGCCACCGACTTGGCGACGCGATGGCGCGGCGGCGCGGGACGCGGGGCGGGATGGCGAGATGGCGCCGCACTGCCGCATCGCGCTCGGGGCGCTCGGGCCCTCGGGCCCTCGGGCAGGGAGTAGCGCCAAAGCGCGCCAAAGGAGGAAACGACGCGGGCGAAGCCACGCCGGCCGGATGACGCGACGCCCTGCCGCGCCCTGCGCACGTCCTGCCCGTCACGACGCGGTGCACGCGGCAAGCGCACGACGCGCCACGACGCGCACCTCGCAAAGGTCAAGGCCGCGGGGCCGCGGGGCCGCGGAGCCGCGCGTCGTGGCGGGGCACCCAGCCCGACAGCCCGCGGCCCCGCGACTCCGCGGCTCCGGCACTACTCCGCGCGATGCGGCGCGATGCATGTCTCCGAGGCGCGGGGTGTGTCCTGCGGGGTGTCCTGCGGGGTGTCCTGTGGGCCGGGCGGGCCGGCCCCTTTGCACAACGCGCCCCGCCAGATAGCGATTCCAAACAGTGGATCGTCGGTGTGTCTCCCTCGCACTCGCATGGTGCCGCGTAGGGGTGCGAGGGAGACGGCGCTCTGCAGGTCGTTACCGGTGCCGGGGTGATGGATGGCCGCCGCCCGGCCGCCGCCTGCTCCCCTTCGAGCTTCGCCGCTTCGCCTCGCCTTCCGGTGCCGGTAATTAATCTCCGCGCGGCGCGACGCAGCCTCCTCAAAACGGCCTGGACCTGGAGTGGCGCATGGCCGCGTGGCTCCGCGCCGGATTGCCGGATTGCCGGATTCCTCGCGGAGCACAGCTCGTTTCCGTCCGGCCAGTGCTTCCGGCCCGGCCGCCTCGGCACTGCGTCGTCGCGGTGGTCGCGGCCTCGCCGGCCATCTCTCTCTCCCTCTCTCTCCATCTCCTCGGCGGGCCAAGGAAAACGGGCGGAATGCAAATGAGGATGGTCCGGACTCAGCCGAATTGCGTTAAGTGACTACTTTGGCGCCGCAGTCCCACAGCAGTCCGCACTGCAGGTCTGACCGAGCCTCGCCTCGCAGCCACTCTCGCCTCGGGCCTTCGCAACAGCACGCCGTCAGTCTCCACCGTCTCGGCGTTGTTTGGCGGGCGTGGAAAAAGCCGCATCTCTCGGTCCGGTGGAGATGCCTGGCGCACGGCGGTCCCGGGCTCGGGCTTTGAGCCAGCCTGCTTGGCCTGCAGCCTGTGTGCACCCTCCAGGAGGGCAGGCAGTCCTCACGCTTCGCCTAGATTGCAGTACTCCAAACAAGCAAAACATTCAACAGAAAAAAAAGCTTGCTTTTCGGCCTTTGAGGCGATGCCGCGCAGGCCGCGCAGCCTGGTCGCCGTTTGGGGCATTTCGGACCGGTTTGGCCGCGCCTTGAGGCGCCAAATCGGCACGTCATAAATCATGGACATCTCCATTCCATTCCTTTACCTATTTTTCCACGTTCTGGCGCCACGGCAGGCCGGTTATGTCAGGAGGCACGCGCGCGCGTGTGTGTGCGCGCGGAGATGGAAGCAGAGGTCGTGAGTTTTAAATTATTTTATTTCTTACAGAGTAAACTAAACACAACAACATACAACAGTGATAAAAACTCAACGAATGATGGAACAGGCACGTGAACGAAACATGACTAAAGTCTCTGGTAACTCTCAGTAGAGCGCTCGGTGGCGCGTGAAACGACGCACCGATCTTGTCCAGCGCGCGGCTCGGTGGCGGCGGTGGCGGCGGGGGCAGGCCTACGACGAGTCGTCGACGACGACGCCATTGCGGCCAGACTTGTGGAGACGCTGGTTTTGATTGCTTTGTACCCAGACAGGATGCTGCTCCAGGCTGCCGCTGGCACTACCGCCGCTGGCACTACCGCCGCCGACTGCCGTCCTTCTCGGCGGGGCTGCTGGCGGGGTTGGAGTCGGGCCCGGGGTGCGCCGCGATCCACTCCAGGGCGCGCTGGATGGCCGGCGGGATGGGCGGCGGCGTGGGCAGGTGCGCGCCCTGGGGCTGGAAGCCGTTCTCGTCCGCGGTGTACGTGAGCTCGATGCGCGTGCCGTCCGGCGCCGTGTACGCGTAGCGCCCCTTGGCGGACTGCGCCTCCGTCTCCGGGTTGCCGGCGTTCTTCAGGAAGCCCTCCTCCTCCGCCACGATCTCGTTGCCCGTCTCGTAGCTGCGGGGCACAGGGGAAACAAACGCATTAGTGTCGCCTTGGTGTGGGACCGTCTGGGACCGTCTGGGACCGTCTGGGACGGCCTGGGACGTCGCGATAGGCCAGTGACTCATGCTGACGCCCTGCTCCGCCCTGCTCCGCCCGCCCCACCACCATCGACTCCTCGATAGACTCTCGTCCTTCCGCGCGGGTTTCATCACGTCCGCGCGGACGGACGAACCGAGCCTCCAAACTCCGTGTGCGCGCCTCCGCGCCTCTTCGGCCCTCTCCCTCTTCGCTCACACACACCATCACCACCACCGCAGCAGTGTGTGATCGGACATCGATCACGATGACATCACGATGACAATTTTACTGTGCAGCTGCCGTGCTGGCCTGGGGGCCGGGCTGGCGGCGGGATGACGCCCGGTGACTTGCATTGCACCTGCCAGCCTGCCAGCCCCGCGGCCCTCGGCGCCTTGAACCCCAGAGGCACCATTCCGACAGTACGAGACACGACGATACGGTCCGCGACGGCCCGGCCTCGGAGGGTGCGCGGGTATGCGACTGCACCGCGTAGAGGAGAAAAAGTAATTTTTAAAAAAGAAACAAAACAACAACAACCGATATTTGGCCCATTGGTGCCGCAATGACGCAGCAGCATCGCCGTGCAGCGCGTCCGGGCATGACCCGTTGCTGCTGTACGCTGCCCGTCCCAGTCTCTCAGTCTCGCGACCATTTCCCGCTGTTTTTCTGCTTTCCAATTTTTTTGCCCGCGCTGACGCCGCGCTGACGCGTCTGCCTCGCACAAAACACACCTGCTCGTTGCGAGCCTCAATTGTTTCATCAGCAGAGGCACCGAGGCACGCCAGGACGCCGCCGCGCACTGTGCTTGATGCGAGTTGTAGGCTCCGCGGCTCGCGGCTCCGCGGTGCCACTGTCTCTCTCGAACGCCCACGGGACGCCTCATGAGTGCGAGCGAGAGGCGAGACTGCTGTCGTGGCCGCTAAAGACCTCCCGCTCTTTAATTACACCTCACGTCGACCCGTCCAACAGCAAACACGGCGCCAGCCAGCAGCCCGCGGCCCGGCAGGCCCGGCAGGCAGCACCTACTCGACGAAAGCGCTGAAAAGACGCACGCCTTTGCTCGAGAATCTCTTGGCCTCCGGCAGAGCCAAGGCAGAGCCAAGGCAGAGCCGGCAGGCCGGCCACGCCAAGGACGCGCACGAGGACGAGGAGGGCGCCTGCACCGCCTGCACCGCGTGCACCGACCAGAGCCTTGAAGTCGACCTCCGGAGATGAACCTGGCCGCCAGCAGGTCCTGCCTGGTCCGGCCTGGTCCTGTGGTCCTGCCTGCCGGCGCCCAGGCCCTGTCTGGGCCAGCTAGGCCCTGCGCGCGCTCACACGCATCGCACACCTGTTCCATGAGGACGAGTTTTGGGGGTATTCCTTCCCGAGGGCCTGACACGACGCGCTGTCTGTCTGTCTGTCTGTCTGTCTGTCTGTCTGTCTGTCTGTCTGTCTGTCTGTCTGTCTGTCTGTCTGTCTGTCTGTCTGTCTGTCTGTCTGCCTCTGTTCTGCCTGTCTGCCGTCTGTCAAGTCAAATTAGAGCCAAAAATTGAAATATGCCTGGCCACCTGTTTCAGGGGATTTTTTTAACGCTTTTGTTAGCCCGTTTGGGTCTAAGCCCTGATCAGCCCGGAGGCTCCGCAGATTGATTCCGATACTACACTGTCGTCGCCCTGTCTCTCTCGCCCTTCTAGAGCACGAGCCATGAGTGCGAGAGAGACGGAGCGACGACGGTGATGTGCGGAATCAGCCGGCAGCCGCCGCGTCACCTTATTCGTGTACACAAATACCCGGCGAGTGGTTTGCGGTTGGTGGGGGTGGGGTGAAATCCCTGACATTTAAAAAGCGGCGCGGCCGGTGGCGGGAGGGGGAGGAGGGAGGGGCAGCCGCAGCCCATAACATTATTTCAGTTTGCTCCTCTCCGGTCCTTCGCGGTCCTGAAAGGGAGGGGCCGCGGTGGGGGTGGGGTGGGGGTACAGTCCGAAACGATTCGCATTATTGAACTCCAGCGCGGGGCTCGGGACCATCGAGACCGTGCCTAGGGAAGAACGCACGGCGGAGGAGACGGGGAGGGGCGGACTGGGGAAGGTCGGCTCGGATCGGAGGCTCTTTGCGGCAGACATTTGAGCGGCAATTTCGTAACTCTTAAGCCATGCCTCAAGCGAAGCCTAGCGAAGCCTGGCGAAGGCAGCCCCACGCGTCCACGCCGCACCCCGCGCCGCGCCCCGCCACGTCCCCGTGCACGATCGAGCACGGCGATGAGACCCTCTTCGCCTTCCTCGGCCTGCTCGGCCTGCTCGGGCCACGGCGACGACTGCCTCCAAGGCCACGCCACGGCCGCGTGCGTGCTCGGCGACACGGCACGGCAGACTCCAAGGCGGGCACAGGGCTGGCCGGGGGGAAGCGCTCTGCTCGGTTCGGCCGACACTTCCCAGGTGGGAAGTCGCAAGAAAAGGTGAGTCGTCGGAGATGGGAGAGTCTCTGCGCGGATGGGATTCGGCGATCACTCGGCCTTGACCTGCCCCTCACCTCGGCTTCGCTCTTCCTCGGCCGTCCTCGGCTCACCCGATGCTTTGTGGCCGTCGGTGCAAGCAGGTGCAAGGGAGCCCAACTAGGAGCGAGCGCGGCCGAGGGCCCAAAGTGCGTCTTGTCCCGCACCTCGCGCATTGTCAGGTGTCCGCGCAATGCCGGGCGCAGCGCGCAGCGCCCAGCTCCAGCACTGGAGGCGCGTGGAGGGGCGTCCCAGGATGCTGCGGCGCGGCGCGCGCTCTGGCGGCTGGAGCCGCAAGTCTGCCGCAAGCCCCGCGCCGCGGGAAGACATCCCATCCGGCGCTGCAGCCAGTTGGGTTGCCTGCCGCGCGGGACCAGCTTCGCGGTGTTCACTCACCTCCACTTGTAGGAGCCGTCCGGGTTGACGCCCTCGTTCTCGTACTTGATGATGGGGATGGGCGACGTGCTGGGCTGTGCCGGCTGGGCCGACTGCTGTGCGCACACCGCGGCCAGCGCCGTGCTCAGGACGAGGAGGCTCTGCAACAACATTCTCGGCGTTACTTCGGCGTTACTTCGGCCACCAGGCGGTCCAGCTTCGGAGTTATGCCTGTTGTCCGGGGCAACATAATCTTTGTGAGGGTGCTGGAGTGGCCGGAGGGGCGCGCGATGCACTGCAAAACCAACACGCCACACCTTGCGTCACCCCCTGTTGCTGATGCCACGCCGCCACGCCGCCATGCCGATGCCGCCTTGTATTTGGTTTTGTTGTTTGCGTACAAGTGCCGTGCCCTCGCCATATTCGCGCGCGTCCATGTGTACACTGTACACGCGTGTTCGCGTGTGAGTGCGCGCGAACATAAGTGTCCGTAAGTCCTCTGCAAAGATCGCGCAGTGCCGCGGTGCCGCATCCCAGCCCAGCGCAAGGGCCCCGCGAGGCCGGCCCGCCCAACGCTTTGCTGGGCGCGTGGGGACTGTCGACGGTCGCCTAGTGTCCGGGACGACCAGGAGGGCGCCCGGGACACCCGCTTCAAAACCGTTTCGTCAGGCCGAATGAAGTGACGAAGTGACGCAAGGAGTGACTGAGTTACTGGACTGAGTGCACCCCTGTCGGCCCCGGCGGCCCCGTCGCCCGGAGCGAGGCAGTGCCAAGCAGTGCCAAGCAGTGCCATTGAAAGGGGAGCGGAGGCGGAGGTCCCTCGACCCGACAGCCTCACCGAAGAACAGTACTCACTCATTTTTTTTCTCCGTGCAATCTTTTTTTTTCTGCGCCCGTTCCTCAAAGGTTCCCAATCGAATTCACAGCGTGGCATTAGTCACCCCTTTGCCCCCCCTCTCTCCCCTCTCCTTCACACACACGCACACATACACCCATGCCCCCCCCCCCCACACACAGAACCCTCTTGTGCAATTTAATTGGCGAGCGATAGCGAGCCCTTGCCGTGTTTGGGCGCTCCAAAAAGTGACTGGTCGTGCGTCTGTCTGTCTGTCTGTCTGTCTGTAGCGTACACGCTCACGTTTCTCAGCAACTACAACACTAATAGTTACCAAATTTTGCACCGAACATCCCCTAAAGGTCCCACAGGGGGAGTTTATCTTATATTCACGATTACTACCGTTTGAAATATTCAAAACATCTTTTTGAATTAGGTTCTTAGCGTGGTTAGGTTGGCAGCATATATAGCAATTTTTCATACTGGCGGCCGCGGCTCTCAAATACGGGACTGGCAAAACATTGGCAATTAAAACAAAATAGAGAGGAGAAGGGCTTAGAAGTGAGTTCGGTCTTAGTTTTTCGATATTCTAGAATGATTGAAACCCCTCCGGAGTGTCAACACAGTGAAATACGGAAAATGAAAGTGACAATTATTACGCGTTTCGTCCGTCCGTTCGCCCCTCCCCTCCCCCGCCCAGGGGAAATTTTTAGTCAGTGGAGTGTGTTTGATCGTTTGATAATTGCAAGAATGATTTGGTCTTTTTAAGTTTTGAGAGTGTATTTCCATTTTTATTCTCAGACATTATACTTTTTAGTTTTTGCTTTGCTCAATAACAGTTAGAAAATAGATCAATACAATCTAAAAGTACAAACCAGACACTAATCTTGCCAAAATAAATAGTCTTTGCTGACTCTTGGCACTGACTCTGGGGAAAGGCTTCATTGCAATGCTGTAAGTTTACTATAGTACTAACCTTAAAGAAATTTTGGTGAGTGAGAGTAGCGCATACATGGTTTGACATTGACATCTGATTCAATGTGACGATTCAGTGACTTGGTCATATGATTTCATGAGACGATTCTTTTAACTTCATCATACATTGTCTGCGACAACTGGTAATTTGTGTCAGTCATGGTTTGAGTTGGCTTTTTTTAATTTATTCAGAATGTTAGGTAAATACTTGTGCTATACTGTTTTAAAGATTAAATACCACATCATGACTATCATTATGAATAAGATTAACTTGTTTTTAGCAATAAGTGGGCTCGACATTGAATTCAATAGAACGATTCATTGGATCTGACAGAAGGTCTTCTCCGTAAAGAAGTTGCAATCAGCCTGCCTGTAAATGTGTCTTTTTTTAATTAATTGAGATAAATCAATGTAGTTTTATCCACTAGTTTAAAATACAAGGGAGATAAAAGGCTTTTTTGGTATTACTTATAACATTGTGTATTCATAAGTTCAATAACAAGGAGATATCGAATGGTAATTGAAGCATTTGTGAATCGTATTTAAATAATTCAATGCTGGCTGTTGAATGTTACTCGACTGAGTAACAGTGTCAGGGTTCATGTTACGACACAATGAACAGGAAACACACTTAGAAATTGCGAAAATGACTTCCCAAATTTTATCCCAGACCATTACTTTTCCCAAAAATTTTCCAATTTTTGACCAAAATTTTGAAGTCGAGTTTTTCATAGTTTTCCCGCAGTTTTGGGTGTGCTGATCACGAAAATGACTTCCAATTTCATCCCAGACCTTTACTTTTCCAAATATTTACCAATTTCGGACCAAAATTTTTGAGTCGGGGTTATACATAGTTTCCTGCAGTTTTTGGTGTGCTGATCACGAAAAGACTTCCAATTTCATCTCAGACCTTTACTTTTCCAAATATTTACCAATTTTGGACCAAAATTTTTGAGTCGAGTTTTACATAGTTTCCTGCAGTTTTTGGTGTGCTGATCACGAAAATGACTTCCAATTTAATCCCAGACCTTTACTTTTCCAAAATTTACCAATTTTTGGGCCAAAATTTTTGAGTCGAGTTTTACATAGTTTCCTGCAGTTTTTGGTGTGCTGATCACGAAAATGACTTCCAATTTAATCCCAGACCTTTACTTTTCCAAAATTTACCAATTTTGGACCAAAATTTTTTAGTCGAGTTTTACATAGTTTCCTGCAGTTTTTGGTGTGCTGATCACGAAAATGACTTCCAATTTAATCCCAGACCTTTTCTTTTCCAAAAATTACCAATTTGGACCAAAATTTTTTAGTCGAGTTTTACATAGTTTCCTGCAGTTTTTGGTGTGCTGATCACGAAAATGACTTCCAATTTCATCTCAGACCTTTACTTTTTCCCAAAAATTTACCAATTTTTGGGCCAAAATTTTTGAGTCGAGTTTTACAAAGTTTCCTGCAGTTTTTGGGGTGCTGATCACGAAAAAGACTTCCAATTTAATCCCAGACCTTTTCTTTTCCTAAAAATTTTCCAAATTTTTGACCAAAATTTCAAAGTTGAGTTTTTCATTGTTTTCCCACAGTTTTCAGTAAGAGACATGAATTCGGCCCTTTCGTGACGGAAGACACTGTATTGGCCTTTTCTGCAAATTCTTCGCCATCTCCTATAAGAATGTGTTCAGAGCATCGCTCGCCTACTACGCGCCCAAACTAAACGGCGCGTACCCCTAGTTTATAAATTTTTGACGGCAGCAGCGGCCGTTTGAATGACGTCTGTTTCTTGCACGCTGCTCCAGATCCAGGAGATTAATGCTCTTCCAAATGATTGTGTCGGAAGCCCCGGAGGCTCTTCACTATGCCCCCCCCCCCCAAACCCCTTTCTATATTCCCGACGCCAGCACCCGCTGACACCATCACGCCGACGCGACTTGCTGGCAGGCACACGCCATGTGGATCCTTGCTGTTTACTTCTCATCCGACGGTCCGAGCGGTCAGGACCAACTTTTTTTTGGCAAGCTTGAATCTCCCAAATTTTGCCCTTTCATTCCAAGCGCTGGCGAGCGGCGCTTGGCGTGGCGCTGGGCGGCGATGGAGCCTTGGAGGAGCCCTCCTTAACTACAAGGCGTGGGCCGCGGGCCGGCGCGCCGATTACCGCCACCAGCCCGACCAGCAATTGGCTTGGCGAGTGCCGTTGCAGCGCGGCAGCCAGAGCCCCAGCGCCCGCCACTCAGCCCTCGGCCGGCCGAGCCACGCCGCGCCGTGCCGTGCCGTCGCGCACACGCCCCACGAACCGACGGGGTGCGCTTGGCAAACCGACGCGCTGCTCCTCGTCCGTCTTTCCGTCCGTCCGTCTGTCCGTCCGCGCGGGGGCGCCGGAGGCTGCGACGCGGAGGGCGGCCAGACAAATGAGTCGTCAAGGGACAGCGCCTCGCTTCGACAGGTCGACAGACAGGCGGCTGGGGACCGAGGCGTGACAAGCAGTGGCGAACCGCCGCGCAACGCGGCCCAGCGCAGCGCTCACTGGCCGTCCCGCCGTCCGGCGCCCAGTGTTTGCCGCCAGTCACTTTGCGGAATCTAAAAGCCACAGCGCAGGCCGCAAGCAGCGGGAAGTGGCAAGCCGAGACCAGCCGAGACGGCCGGTGCGGCCCAGCGGGCGCAGAGCGGCACGCGCAGCAGCAGCGGGTGGAGCTGAGGCCAGCGCCTGCGGACGGGAGGGCGGGCCGCCCCGCAACGCACGCACGCTCGGCGGGAGGGCCCATGCTATGCTCGCAGGCGACCCCCCTTCCCCTTGGCGTGCAGGCGGAAGGCTGCTGGAGACTTGAACGCGGGGCCAGACCAAAGCCAGACCCGAGGCCAAGCCACGGCCAGACCACGGCCAGACCACGGCCAGACCACAGCCAGACCACGGCCAGACCACAGCCAGACCACGCCAGACAAAAGCCAGACCACGGCCAGACGAGCCCACGTCGCGTCTCCCGACGCGCAGCACCAAGGAAGCAGAGGGAGGGAAAAAGATATGCAAGCTTTCAGAAAAATTGGCCACGTACTTTAAACTGCGGTAAACAGAGTCGGTTCAAACGGACGTTGGTAAGCGAGGCACCTTCCAAGGGCTTGAACGACTATTTTTTCGAAACGACTTCGACTAATTTCATGTCATGCATGACCACTTGATAAATAACTGAATAAATAAACTCATTGTGTCGCATCCCATCAATTGACGGAATTTTATGACACCACGCACACGAAAATCCTCAGACGGCGGCGATGAAAGCACTGAAATCCGCTGGGCACACTTTTTCTTGCTTGGTCACTTGCTGCACAGTCGCACACACTCACACGCACTCTCTCTCACACACACACACTTGGGGTACGAACCGTGGCGTGCATGTTGGACTCGCTTCGGGGTTGGGCGGTGAACGAACTAGTGACTGCCTGGCGGTCCGGCCCACCGCCGGTACTTATAGCCGCCCACCCCCAGCGCCCCAGCGCAAGCCCCGGCGCGCATCCCTACCGCCTCCGAGGCGGGGGGCCGCCCAGCACCCAGCACTAGCCCGTGATCCCCCCGCTGCCCCCGTCGCCTTGTTCTCTCCTCTCTCCTCCTCCTCCTCGCCCGCGCCCCCTCTCCGCCGCCGCCGTTCATTCATTCATTCCCGGCGCCGTCTGGATTCCGATTTCCCAAAACAAAGTGATTGCGGTATTGTCCATCATGCGTAGCGCGTGGCGGCGGGGCGGGGCGCGGCGGGGCGGGGCGGCGGTGGGCCAACGGATAGCGTTCCCGCGGCCGGCCGCCGTAATTAGGAGCCGCGGTGTCATCGGATGTTATCGCCGGGCCCTTCCATTATGCGCGTTGCGCCACACATACGCACACACTCACACACTCACACACTCACACACACGCGCGCACAAACACATACACACACGAGTTTTCGGCGGTGCTCATCGTTTGTCCGACCTGTCCAAATTTCACTTGCCCGTGAATCGGCTGAAAATTTTGTCCCACCTTCTTTTGTCCGACCTCCGTTTTGTCCGACCCACTTACACCGCCACACGGTCAGGCTGCAGCTAGAGAGCAACTAGGATTAATACATCTCAACAACTTCGGCCACCGCAGCTCACCCGGTGAGCTGAATGGCACAACGGTCCAAACCGCATCGGGAAAGCCGCTCCAAAAATATAAAGAACTGCTGGGAGTCGAACGCTCGACCGCCGCACCTGGAGACGCGAATCGACGCCTCTGCGCACTCGGCCACCACGGCCCATAGCTTACACTGTGCGAAGGGGAGCCTTTGAAGCCGCTGGTCTGAACCGTATAGTCAGACAAAAAGAGGGGGAAGCTGGTATTCGATCGCTCGATCCGAGTGTGGATTCCAGACATCTCAACACTTTCGGCCACCGCGGCTCACCGGCAGAGCTGGGTGGCGCAACGGGTCCAAACCGCATCGGAAGGGCCACTCCTAGCAAAGAATTGCTTGGAGTCGAACCCTAGCCCCCGCGCGTGATCATGATTTCCTCGGGATGCCACAGTGTGCAGCCAGGAGTGGGACCTGCGACTTACTCTCTAGAATCGGCGGCGGCTGAGCGCGCAGAGGCGTCGACCCGCACCTCCAGGGGCTTGGGTTCGACTCCCAGCAGTTCTAAGTATTTTTGGAGCTGGCTTTCCCGATGCGGTTTGGATCGTTGCGCCATTCAGCTCACCCGGTGAGCCGCGGTGGCCGAAGTTGTTGAGATGTATTAATCCTACACTCGGATCAAGTGATCGAATACCAGCTTCCCCCTCTTTTTGTCTGACTATACGCCACGGTTGGGACCAGCGGCTTCAAAGGCTCCTCTTCGAACAAGGTCACCCACGGGTTGTGGTGGCCGAGAGCGCAGACGCGACGATTTCCGACTGCGAGGTCCGGGGTTCGATACCTAGTACGGTAACGAATATTTTGACCAAGCTTGCATCGCAAGAAGGCGGTTCAAGTATACAAAATCGGCCGTCTGCCAGCGTGCCTCTCATAGCCCAGTGGTTCCGCTGCTGGGCAGGGTGACGCAGACTCCTGAGTACCAGTAGCATGGCCCCTGAGTGGGAAGGGGGCCGGGGATCGAAACCCGACTACTGGGAAAGGTGGCAGCCTGGCCTACTATGAGAGGACTCCTCCACATCACAGATGACGTGACCAATGACGGGGCCACTGCGGTTTAACTCTGAGGTTGCTCCTGTGATGAGATGGGGGAACTGTCTGGTGAGCACCACTCCCGCAGGGAAGAGGGCCGGTTCGCCGGGGTGCCCTCTTTCGCTGAAATTTTCTTTAAAGTGTTGATTTTACTTCTGTTACTGTGAATACATTTTGTGTTGAAATGTCTTTGGTTTGTCCTGCATCCAGTCTTGATTGACACAGAGAGTGAGCCGCGGGTGTTTAGATCAGCAGCGTGCGGGCTGACGAAGACCGGTGCGTTGCTGCGGGCGCCGCCGAGTCGCGACATGACGGCAGCGTCGACGGGGAATTGGGCGCAACGCGCCGTACGCAAAGGTCAGTCTTTCACTCACTTTGGTGGTGCACCCGCCACGCCCCGCCACGCCCCGCCACGCCCCGGTCCCCATGCGTCCTGGTGCATCTGTCGGTGGCGGTGGTGGCGGCGCCGCATGTCCCTCGGTGCGGCGCTGCACGGCGCTGCACGTGGGTGGCGCTGGCGTGCGCGAATCGCGTTGCGCAAGCGGGAAGATGATCCGCCAGTGTTCGATCCCGGTGGACTGCATCAGCGCCCCGGGCCTTCCCGGCCTTCCCGACACGCCGGGCCGAGCGGCCGAGCCGCCGTGGCGCCCTGGCGTGTGGAAGCCGGGAAGCCACGACGGCCTCCTCATTAAAATCGGGTCGGGTCGAGCCGCCTGGCCTGCGCGCCGCCCCCGCCCAGCGCAACGTGTGTCCTCCTCTCCTACAAGTGTCGTGTTCCCCCGGCGGTCCACGCAGTCCAGCCGGGCGGCGGCGACGCCAGGGCGCGCGGGACGCGGCGTGTTCGCCGTGTCACACTGGAAGGGCATGAGGCGCCCCCCTCCTCCCACAGGAAGAAATCAGGGCAATGGGACTGGACGCACCGCGACGCACCGCGACGCAGCGTTGCTGAATCGGTCTCACTGACGCAATGCGCTCCTTTTAATTAATTGCAAGTCATACAGGATGAGTCGCCGGCCGCCGCAGTCGCGGGGTTTCAAGTTCTCTGCTCCAGAGCGCCGGGCGGGGTGCGGCGGGGTGGGCAGCGCATAGAAAGCCACACGGCACGCCGCGGCCAGTGGGGCTGGGCGGGGCAGGACGGGGGGAGGGCTGCTAGGATTTGAACGGAACGCTCGCACCGCGGCACCGCCTCGGCACTGCCACTGCCGGTTTGGCCCGAGGGAAAGTGCGACATCTTTGCTTCTTGCACTGTGCTGTGCTGCGCTGTGCTCGGCGGTGCTACACATATCGTTGCGACACGACCCCCCCCCCCTCTCCTCCCCCTCGGCCAGGGCGCCATCAGTCTACCATTTGTCAGACACCTGCTGCCGCCGGCCGCCGTCGGCCTGCCGAGCGCGGACTGTCAAAACGCGCCGATCCGGGCCGCCAAGTCGTAATGACCCGAAGAAAAATGAAGTCCGCGAGGCATGCCAAAGGACGCCGCGGCGCCGCTGCCGGACTGCGACACTCGGCAGAACTCGAAGAGGCTGGCCATTTTCAAATCGCGCGCCATTTTGAACGGAACTCGCTCCGCTCGCACACGTAAGCCGCGGTGCTCGCACCGCCCCCGCCCGACGTGCCGACGTGCCGACGGGCCGACGTCACACACTTTGCTCTGTGCCTTTGTTAGCCCCCCCCCTTACCCCCGCCCCGCCCCGACCTACCTATAGCCTCTGATGACTCGTATTGTCACCGGTTCGAACAGGAAACATCTGGCATTCGGACACTAAAAGAAAAGACGGAACTATAAATATTTCTGGACGTTGCGGTAAGCTGCGTCGGTTGCCAGCGTCAGCAAGTGTCAGCGAGTGTCAGCGTCAGCGTTCTTGAGTGTGCTCGGTTTCTCCACCTATGATGTGTGGGACGGGACCCGATTTGATTGTCTTGGACTAACGAACGAACCGTGCGAAAAGAACCCTTCAAACGCGTCTATTTTGCCCTCCGGGCGGGCCGGGCGTCCTTTCAGCCCTTCTCCCTCCTGTCCTTGTTGCCCTTCGTCGCCTCGTCTCATTTCACCGCGTAAACGTGTTGGTTGCCCAAGTGGCAGCGGGGCTCCGAGGGGCCGCCAGCCCGCCAGCCCCAGGCAGCCCGAGGCCCCGGCCGACCCAGCCCAGCCCGCGAGGTTTAAGGTCAGTCGCAGTGTGGGAGTGCGCATAGGCAGCAATAGGCAGCAACAGGCTGCGTGGCGGCCGGGCGTCGAGGGCTGGGCCCACCTGGGCCCGCCCAGTGACATCACGTTCATAGCTACGCGGTGCGCGCTCAAAATGTTTCCATAATTTATGCTGCATGCTGCCCGCTTGCGTGTGCGCCGGGCCGCGCAGGGCCGCGGATGAGGTAATTAGGAAATTCAATTCCAGCGGGAAGGGGGTCGTGTCGTCCTCGCCGCACGACGCGCGGCCGGAGATCGAGACGTCCTGTGTTTGGTGCTGAAAAGCGAGGTCGAGGCGCTGTGGAGCGAAGTGCACTTGCAGCAGCCCGGTCGATGCGAAATTGCCCGGCACTTGCCAATGAGTGGCCGATTTCTCATCCCGGCGGTGCGGGGGCGGGGCCTGGAGGGCGGGGCCTGGAGGGCGGGGCCGCGCAGAGCGTGCAGTGCAGGAAAGAGCAGGCCGCGCCGGTCTGAATGTGTGTTCGCGGCGCTCGCGGTGACCGATAGCGGGATCACGAGGCCAACGACAAGGCGGCGCCATCACGCCGCGAGAAATTGCTGCGCGCGCAACTCGCAGGGCTGATTCCCCGCCCACCTGCTGGCCTGCAGTCCCTGCAGTCACTTCATTTTCATTTCATTCATATCTTATTTATTTTTTTTTCGTGCGCGCCGCCAAACGCAACCCTCCATCCTCCCCGCCCCGGGCCCCTCGGCACAACAAAAGGATTAAGGATTGGGACGCGGAAAATTTGAGCAACATGATTATCCAGCGCGACGTGTACACCCTGACCTTTCTTAACGCCTCACTGGCGTCAGCCCGGCGTCGCCCGGCGACAGCCCGCCAGGGCCTAGCGCCAGCCGCCACAGGTCGAGCTGCGTCTCCCTCGCACCCGCCGGCCGTTCCACGGGGGAGAGACTGTTCAGGATCTCCAGCCCACAGACGCCAGGTGCCGCGAGACGCGCCGCGCGCCGCGGCCTACGAGAATAGGCTAATCATGACGGGGATAACTGCGGCCGGGGAAAAAAGAGAAAGAACCGCCGCCGGTGGTATTTGAACCGGGGGCTGTTTTTGCGCCCGTCGCAGGTTCGGTGGGTCGCGCTGATCGTTCGCCTACTGTACACGCAGCAGTGACTGGCCGGGGCCGGCTGGGCACTTTAGACCAGTGTCGCCTTCCGCCCAAAGCCTGCCTGCAGCCTGCTTCGCCCTCGCCGTCGCGCATGGCCGTCAAGACGATCACGACGCACTTGAGGGTGCCGCTCGTCCTGAACACGCAGACACGCGCCCGATGCCCCTCTCCCTCCCCACTCCGCGATCCCCGACCGTGACGAGTGTTTGTGGCCGAGGTGGGAGGTGAGGCAAGCGGCGACCCTCCCCGGGAACACGGCGTCGATCCCCGTGGCGATCCTGGTCCGATACGCCGCGGCGGCCACGTCGGCGACCACGGCGGCGGCGATTGTGCGCAACAAGCCGAACACCAACCGGCACTCGGGCGGCATGCCGGTGCAGCGGGTGCACCGGGCGGCTCGGTGCGACCTAGCCGGTGTGGGACGATCGGGACGACGGTTGTACCCCCACGACGGTGACGTGTGGAACCGCACGCCCGCACGCAGGTCAAGGGGCCCTTGGCCACGTCGGGCAGCCACGGGCAGCCACAAGCCCTTGGCCAGGCCCGCGGCAAAAGTTCACGGCGACGTAACCTTGCCTGCCTCGCCGTTCGGTCGTGGGTCCTGGCCGTCCTGGTCGCCTCTTGGGCGCCCCGCCGTGGCCGCGCCGTAAATTCGGTCCTGCCGATAAATCGGAGCCCAGACGGGAAGAGTAGTCCGGAGTAGTCCGCAGAACACCGCCGCCTTCCTACCAAATTAACCAAATTAATGGAGCGCTGGCCGCTCAAATAAAAAGGTGACCGCGTCGTTTACCGGCGAGGGCGTCGCGGTGCGCTGCAGGATGCGCGAGCCTCCGCCGTGGGGCCAGCGTGCCAGCGATGGAGCGGATTGAGCCGCCACACGTCACCGGGACGCCGCGCCGCGCGGCGCCGCAGGTGGCAGCACTGATTGTAGGTTAATTACCAGGGCGGCGCGGCGGACCCGCGAGTGCGAGCGGGACGGCACTGCCTCAGACCTGCGTGTACGAGTGAGACGGCATTGGAGGTACCCGCGAGTGCGAGCGGGACGGCCCCAGAGTTTCCTCGCGTGTGCGAGCGAGATGGCAAGGGCCTTCCCGGCGGGCGGAGCGGGGCGGTGCGGGGCGCCGCGAGACAATGTCATTGCATTTAAAGCTCGCGGGCCTTCGTTGTATAACACGGCGAGGGGCGAAGCGCGAAGCCAGCAGTGCCACGCAGTGCAACGCAGTGCCGGAGCAAGCCGGTCGGGCCCTCCAGGAAGTGGAAGAGGAGGACCATGACCCGAACACACCCTCAATGGCGAATCCATTACAACGCCCCGCGCCGGTCAGAGGCGCAGGCCCTCGCAAGCCGTAGCCGACGGCTGGCGTTCGGGCAGTACTAACCTACTCGGCAGCACCACAGACATTTTTGTCTCTGGCCGTCTGCTTTGCTAATTGTGTCCCTGGCCGGCGGCGAGAACAGTGACCCGCTCCAGATGGCCAGACGGCGCCAGACGGCCAGACTGTCCGCGGCGAGCAATCGCCGTCGTCCTCGTCGTCCTCGTTCTGCCAGCGCGTCCCGTAATGGTAATGGTAATCGCGTCGCGTCAGCCCACCGCACAGCCACGCCAGATGGGTTGCATACTCGCCCGGCGCGGGGCGGCGAGGACTTTTAGTGTTCGTTGAACTTTGCTTTGCGGTGCTGCGGAAGGGCGCTCATTGGCCACCTGAGAGGACATGTTTCGACGGGGGAGGGGGGGGCGTTTTCAGTGTTTTGAAGTGGATTGCGCTGGTAGAGGAGCAGGGCCAGTCCGAAGGCCGAAGGCCGCTCCGATTGTCACCTCGCCGCGAGTTTCGGGTTGCCTGCAGGTGGGGTGGCGGGGGGCGGGGTGGGGTGGGGTGGGCGGTATAAAGTGACAACACCCCTGGCCGGACGCCAGTGTTCGAAACAGCAGCCCTCACTGCACCGCGCCACGATGGTAGGCCGATTGGTGTGTCCGAATGACGATAGTGCGATTCGAGTTGGTGGTGTTCAAACGGATGTCGTGTGTTTCAGCTCGCCGTGCGCGCCATCCTGATCCTGGCGCTGGTGGCCGCGGCCTCCGCCATGCCTGCGGACACGGCCGCGGACTTGACCGTGGCCGCGGACGAGAGCGGCGTGTCTCAGTGGAATGAGCCAGCCATCGCCATCGGCATGTTCAGCGGCGGCCGGCGGCGCAGGTAGGCCAGCATTGAAACTCGTCCTGCCCATGTCCGGTCTCTTTCTCGGCGAGTTCGCAGTCAACACGCCCTCCATGACGCTGTGCAGGTCGGGTGACGACGTCGCCGAGGGTTCCAGTGGGCCGGCCCCGCTGCGGGAGCGCCGCCAGGAGGACCTCTACGAAGACTTCTCGGCGGACGCTTACGACGACGCCGACGCCAAGAGGGTGATGCGGCGCCAGGCACCCCGCCGTGGCATCGAATCGCCCTTCGGCCCGACCTCGGACATCGAGGACCGCGTCAGGCGGGAGGCCCAGGACGAGAGCCAGGAAGACAACGGCCCCGTGGACAACGACCACTTCCCCACGGAGGACGAGGGCAAGCGCACCAGGCGGGCGTCGGAGGACACCTACTTCGACGATAATGAGGATGGCGACGACGACGATGTCGCCGTCGACTTGTCGGCGTTCGCCCCGAGGAAGAAGCGGCAAGTGGTCGGCCAGGACGTGGCCACCGACGACGACGAGGACGTGTATCGCGACCTGGACGACCAGCCGCTGCCAGTGTGGGCACGGGGCGCCAGGGATGGACGGCAGCGGCGGCAACTGGACCAGACCATGACGTCCATGGACGACGACCAGCCTGACTACATCAGGGAGCCTCGGGACTCGGAAACGGCCACCGCAGCGTCCCCCACCGAGGGATCCGACGCCGCGACAGAGGTGCCAGAGCGGGACCAGGCGGTGGAGTCCGTGACTGCCAGTGTGCCCCAGGAAGGCGATGAGAAGTTGACGACGACCTCCTCGGCAGCACCAACGCCCGGCAGCAGTTCAGAGTCCACGACCTCCGTGCAGCCGCTGCGCGAGAGGCGCGCCCCGAAGCCTCAGCGAGGCCGCTTCGACGGCTTCGTGCTTTCCGACTTCAGCGGTTTCCGCGGTGGCCGCTCCGTCCGCGTGCGCCGCAGCGAGCCGTCAGAGGCCGCGGTGATCAAGTCCCTGCTGGAGGCGCCCATCGACGAGAGCATCCTGGGGGAGCTGCCCGTGAGGCGGCCACGCCAACTCACCGAGATGCTGCCGCAGCCCGCCGGCGGGGGCCCTGTCACCTTCCTGGTGCCGCTAGCCGCGCCACAGCCACCCTCCGCCCAGGGCGAGGACGCCGTCAACGCCAACGATGCCGTCCCCGAGAAGGTGCTGCAGATCTACACCGCGCATGAGCCGAGCCCTGTGGCCGAGATGATCCCCACTACCACCACCACCACGCCTGCCCCTTCGCCCGCTGAGGCCCTGGTGCCAGTCCTCGTACCAGAGTCCGCCGTCAGCGGCATCCTGGTCCCCAGCAACGCTGACGTCCACGTTGACGTCATCGCACCGGACGCCGCGCCCGCCGCGGCCCAGCCTGTCGCGGTGCAGCCTGCTCTGCTGCAGCCCGCCGTAGTGGTCCAGCCCGCAGCAGTCCAGCAGCCTGACGCGGCGATGCCTGCCCGAGACTCTCCTCAACAGGGACAGCCCCTTCTAGTCCTGCAGCCTGGTCCAGTGCTCGTCGACCCGGTGACCCAAGTCTCCCCCGCGGAGCCCCAGGCCCCACAAAGGCAGCAGATGTCGGCTCCCTTTCAGATCCCCCTGCAGGTTCCTCAGGACGTGTCTTCCATGAAGCAAGAGGCGCCACAAGAAGTGCCTTTGGAAGTACCCCAGGACGCCGTGCCAGCCCCCCTGGTCGTCTCGCAAAAAGCGCACGCCGTGGCCGTCACCGAGGGACCGGACGCCGCCAACGCGGCCGCCACCGCTGCGCAGCCCGACTGGCCGATGTCTATGTCCGTGCCCCAGGAGGTCGCCCAGCCCATGCCCCTGGAGTGGTTCCCCCAGGCCCCCAAGTACCCCGCCCCGTTCGAGGCCCAGGACCAGGCGCCACCGCGTCAACACTTCGACGTGGACGTCAGGCCCACCGGCGGCTCCAGGTGGACCGCCACGGTGCCTATCCTGGAGAAGACCATCCAGCTGCACCCGGACGGCAGCTATGTGTACAGGTAAGAAGTCATGTTCATAAAAATTGAAATCGTAAACAAAATGCTGCTTGTCACTTCTAAACTGATGGGGTCCTGTAGTTACGAGACAGCGGACGGCGTGCGGGTGGCCGAGGCCGGCGTCCTGAAGGAGGTCCCCGTCCGGACGGAGGAAGGCTCCGCGAAGTCTGCCGGCGCCGCCCCCGCCACCGTGCTCGCCAACTCGGTGCAGGGCGGCTACAGCTACACCGCCCCGGACGGCACCTACGTCAGCCTCAGGTACGTCGTGCATGCCCCGCACGGAGCCCGATTCCAACGCCGTGAACCTAATCCGTATTTCGGTCCCCAGGTACCTGGCCGACGAGAACGGCTTCCAGCCCGTGCTGGGGGAGTCGCTGCCGACGACCAGCTCGAACAAGGCCCGGGCGGCAGTCCGCTTCGACGAGAACAAGTAGCGACTGCGGAGCCATGCGCCACGCCAAACCTATAAGACTGAACGACGCGAGTCGTGGGAGGGAACTATTTGTAATCATGTGTAACCAAGTCACCAAAAAATAAAATGCAGTTTTGCGCCGTCACACGCGTGCCTCAGTGTCTGTGCTTGCCCGGCCCGGCCCTGAGTGACTCGGCACCGCAAAAGCAGTCGCCTGACTGCGAGGGGCGAGGGGCGGCAGGGGTCGTTAGCGCGGAGTCGCGACTGAAAGACGAAGACGACTGCACTGCCCCTCGCGAATTGTGGCGAGGAGCAGACGGAGCGAGTTGCCTTCGCTTCGGTCCGGATGGGCAGAGCGGAGCGAATGAAGCGAATTTCCCACACGTGTGGAACCAAGGTATTTGATGCGAGGAGACCTTCCCCTTTCGAGGGGGAGTCATCCCTACCTCGCAATGAGAGCCCCCCCCCCTCTCAACCACCCCGCCCTGGCACGCCCAGCCAGAAGTGCCTCGATGACAACGCCCATTGCATCATAATACCGTAGGCTCGTGAACGACGGCGCGGGTACCCTGCAAAATGTGGACAGAAATAAGCTGTGGAGGCGCAATTACTACATCTTCTCTAAGTAACCGCATCCCTGCGGCGGCCCGGCCCGGCCCGACCCGGCGTGGCACGGCGCGGGCTTGGTGGCTGCCTAGGGCTCGGGAGGCTTGGGCCACGTGCGGACTAGTTTACCCTCACGACCACCGTTTCACTCGACTGACATTGCGAGTATTCACTGTTTTACGGAAATAGCACTTATATTACCTGTCGAAATGAAGACATTACACATACCTAAAGGACAGGAATAGCCTACAACCCGTAACAGCCTCACCAAAAATATTGATTGTGTCTTGTCGCTGTTTCCTTTTCCATGTAAGAGATGAAAGAGGTGGTTCTCAACAGCTTATGCTGGTCTGTGTAGGAACTTCTGACAATGTCAGTCGTTGGATGCAAGCAGCCACCACAATATTGGCTTGACACTGGCCGGGTGGGGGCTGGGCCCCGCTGGGGCTCAGTTTGGAAACACCGCCGTACCTGTAGGGAATGAGCTCTGATATGCAACCGCGAAACAACAAAGAAAACGGCGGGTCGCGTTTGTGGGCGCCGTGCCGAGCCGTGCCGAGCCGTGCCGAGCCCAGCCGTGCCTGCCACGCAACGCCTCTCTGCAACGCGGTCGTCATGAAGCTGCAGTTAATTTTCGTTGATTTTGGAGGCACGCCGAGAGGCGAGCCCCAAGGCCTCAAGGGCGCCGCCGTACTTGGGCAGACACGCGTGCTTCGAGCTTCGCGGCGCGCTTCTTGGCGTGGTGAGAGCCCTCAAGGCCCGCGCGGCTTCGGCCAGGGCAGGGCGAAGCGGCTACCTGCGACCAAAACTGCTTCAAAGACAAGGAGGATCCAGAAATGCATCGGACGCGATGACGTCACACCGAAACGGGACGCCACTGCGCTAGTGCTGCATCAGAGCTGCACCAGAGCTGCACCAGTGCTGCACAAGGGGTGGAGGGCTTGGGCTGCCGTCGCAAGGCGTCTCGTCGCGTCGCCGGGCGTCGCAAGGTGATGGCTGTGTCGAAGACCCCGCCCCGCCCAGGCTCCTCTCTGCTAACCTCAATCGAGGCTGTCTTCCTGCACGCCTCCCCGCCCTGCTCCAGCATGGCTCCAGCGTCGCCAAACCAATTTCCCCGCCGACGGAAGGATAAGTACACTGCCAAGAGTTTACAGTGTAGAGTCTTCGGGCCGTTGGGAGAGGTAGCCGGCATGGAGCCCACGCCTGAACCGTTGCTTGTCCGGCGGGTGCCAAATGAACTTGTACTACGCATTACGACGTTCATACGAGTTTTAAAAGGGGTACCCTCTCAGCCAAAATACGGTAGCTGTCGTGGCGTGTCGTAGCAGCCTGGCCCAGGCCTGGCCCCCTCCAGTTTCACCTGCTACTGGAGGCGACGGACTCCCCCCCTTGGACGGCACGCCCCCGCGCTCACCCTGCACTGCGCGACTCCAGGTCGCAGAGGGGTGGGGGATGACGCCCCCCTCCCCGATGTATAAATAGGTACAGGGGGCCGCCCTGGTGGGAGAGTGGCTTTTTCCTCGAGTGGGTGCATGCCGCAGTCATTCGCCTCTGGATTAGCGTGGACGACACCGCCCCAGGCTGCCCCAGGCTGCCAGACTCCGCGCTCTGGACACCGCGCGGCGCCCCGCGACGCCCCGCGACGCCGCCCCGTCATGAAGACCCCCGTGAGTCGTGCACTGCCGTGCCTCTGCGTCGCTCTGCGTCCTGTGTGTAGTGACGTGTAGCTGACGGTTTGCCGCGCCCCGCAGAGATGGCTGTGTCTGCTGCTGCTGCTGGCGTGCGCGCTGTCGCCGGCCCTAGCGCGCAGCGCCCGCAGCAGGTCCAGGGCGGCCTCCTCCAGCACCACGCCGACGACCACGACGTCGTCGACGACGCCGGAGCCAGCGTCCAGCACCACGGTGGAGGTGTCTTCCACGACGGAGGAACTGTCCGCGACGAGCAGCAAGCCTTCCTCGACATCCACCGCCACCCCCACGACAAGCACGACCACTGAGGAGCCGGCGTGAGTACACCATTCCCAGTGTTACACATTTCTGTCAGATGAACAAAGCTATGTTCCCGGAATACACAAGGTAGGTGTACGCCAGACCGTGTCTTGTCGTCCAGGCTTCGCGATGCTGCGCCAGTTTCGACAATCCACGCCTGGCGTTTACACCTACCTTGGCCTGCGGCGCAGGAAGCAGGAAGCTTGACTTCGTACAACCTAGGAGTCTTTCGGTCCTGGTTTTTCCGGACGCGTTACCGTGTGTGCCGACAGTTGTTTGACCATGCCGGATAGCTGGAAGCTAAATCTATTTTCCACTGCACCAGGCCCTCGCCCACATCAACGACGGCGCCTTCGTCGACCACGACTCCGAGGCCCGCGGAGCAGCCTCGGCCTCGGCAGGACGGCAAGCAGTCGGCCAAGATTTCGGCGTCCGGCGCCTCATCGCGCGCAGAGCGGTCCGAGCGCAAAGACGCCCGCAGGGAGCCCAAGCAGGACCAGCGGTCTGCCAAACTCAAGGACGAGAAGAAGGGCGAGGCCAAGGTGGAGGAGTCCAAGAGGAAGGAGGCCAGGAGGGACGAGGCCAAGAAAGAGGACCCGAAGGACGAACCGAAGAAGAAAAGGCGTGACGACGAGGACTCCGCCGAGGAGGAACCGAGGCGCAGGCGGCCTCAAGTCAGCGAGGAAGACGACGAACCAGAAGACGGGCGGGTGGAGCTGAAGAAGGACCCGCGGCAGCGTGCCAAGTCATCGCCATCCACCACCACTGCCTCCACCACAACCTCCACCACCACGACCTCCACCACCACCACGAAGGCCCCTCTTGTGGACGACACGGGCAGCAGTTCAGAAGAGGACGAAGAGGAGGAGGACGAAGAGGAGGAGGCGGATGTGAAGCCCTCGTCCACGGCCGCGACATCAACGTCTACGACGACGACCACCACCACCACCACTGCGGCGCCCTCCACGTCGTCCTCCACAACGGCAGCATCCACGACGACGGCCTCCACCACCACGAGCAAGCCCAAAGCAACGACCACGACCACGAGCAAGCCAAAAGCAACGACCACCACACCAAAGCCCACCACAGCCAGGCAGCCTCCGCTGCCGGTGGTGAAGCAGCAGCAGAGGGAACGGGAGCTGAGGGAAAAGAAGAACAACGAAGAAAAGAAGAAGAAGGACGACGAGAAGAAGAAGAAGGACGAGGAGAAGAAGAAGAAGGACGAGGAGAAGAAAAAGAAGGACGAAGAGAAGAAGAAGAAGGACGATGAGGAGCGAAAGAGGCAGCTCGAGGAAAAGAAGAAACAGGAGGATGAAACAAAGAAAAGGGAAGAGGAAAAAAGAAAGAGTGAGGAGCTAAAACAGAAGGAAGAAGAGGAGGAAAAGAAGAGAGAGGAAGAAAAGAAAAAGCGGGAAGAACAGAGAAAGCTAGAAGACGAACAGAAGAAAATAGATGACGAACAGAGAAGAAAAGAGGGTGAGGAGGAAGAAAAGAAAAGAAAAGATGAGGTCAGTAGCAAGGACAATTTGAAGAAAGAGGTCGAAGTTGAGAGAAAGAAAACTGATGATTCAGAAAAGAAGGCTGAAGAGAGAAAGGAGTCTGTGAAGTCCGAAGGGGAAAATCCAGAGAAACGGAAGAAAAAGGATGAAGACGAGGTCGATGAAGACGACGATGAAGATGACGAAGATGACGAGGAGGAAGAGAGGGAGCGAGAGCGAGAGAGAAAAAGGAAAGAAGAACGCAGAAAACGGAAGGAAGAAGCTAGGAAACGGAGAGCAGAGGACAGGAAGAGGCGATCGGACGAGCGGAAGAAGGACGAAGACGACAAAAAGAAGCGAGACGAGGCGGCGAAAGACAGAAAGGAGCAGCCGAGGCCCAGAAGCAGGGACGGCAAGGACCGGCAGAGAAGCAGGGACAAGGACGCCGAAGACACCCCCAAAGAGGAAGAGAGAGACGCCGTGAAGGACGCCGCCAAGGACGCCGCCAAGGACGCCGCCAAGGACGCCGCCAAGGACGCCGTCAAGGACTCCGCCAAGGACGCCACCAAGGAAGTCGCCAAGGACACCGCCAAGGACACCGCCAAGGAAGTTGACGCCGATCAGGACAAGGAGAAGCGACAGCGCAAAACCAGAGACAGAGCGGAAGCCAAACCCGCGCCAAAGGAGTCGAAGAAGAGCGACGTCTCCGATGCCAGCAGCTCCAACAAGGACAACTCCAGCAAGGCTGCAGAGGCGGACCCTCAGGTACGGACACCAGTTGCACTATCTTCCTGTGGTTACGAAGTCCCAAATGTCATGTTAAACTGTTTCACTTCCAGATGACGTTGAAGAAGCTGGAGGAGCAGCAGGAGGAGGAAGAGGGGCGAGAGGATGGCGCCCGGGCCGCCGCCGCGCTCAAGGTGGAGAAGAGGGAAGAGTCCAAGTTGGAGGCCGAGGAGGAGGCCCGGGCGGCCAACACCACCAGCGAGGAGCCTGTGGCCGCGGCGCCGCAGCAGGAGGCCGATGACGGCCAGGACGAGATCACCACGGCGGACGACTCGGAGGACAAACGTCTCGAGGCCGAGGTGCAGATGGATCTGAAGCGGCACCGCGGCAGGGACACCAAGGCCCACAGGGACGCCCACAGGGACGTCAAGAAGGACGTCGCCAAGGACGCCACCAAGGATGCCTCCAAGGACGCCACCAAAGAGAGCGCCGCTGAGCAGAGGAAGCGAAAGGAGGAACCGAAGAAGGCGGACAGGGGCGACGACAAGAAGGAGGCCAAGAGGGACGAGGCGAGGCGGAAGGGCGCCGAGGCGAAGAGGGACGACCGCAAGGACGACAAAGCAAGGGACTCCAGCCACGAGAAGGCCACAGGTTATATTGTCAGCCAGATTAATCGATTCTTTTTCAAGTTTTTGCACATTGTGATTTGTTTCCTTCGGACAACCAGGTTTGGAGACGGCTGAGACGACGTACCCCAGCCAGCCACTGCTGCAGAAGGTGTACGCCAAGGAGTCCGAGTCCACGTCCGACGGCCAGTACGTCGCGCAGCAGTCCATCCAGTCGCCTAAGTTCGTGCCTCAGGACCAGGGCCTCCAGTCATCCACCAGCACGCGGCAAAAAAACTCTCGGTAAGGAGGGCGGGGCGTTGTGTCTGGGTGCAGAGCTGGGAGCTGGGGTGCCTCGTCTTGACTTTGTTTTCTGTCCCACTTCCCCGTCTCTGCAGGCAAAGGGTACCAAACCAAAATTTCCTCGCACTGCAGCAGCCGCTCCTGCCGCAGCAGCAGCAGCAACTGCAGCACCAGCTGACGAAGCATCGGCGCGGCCAGCAGCAGGAGCAGCAGGAGCGGCCGGACCAGCAGGACGCGGAGGGCGGCGACGCCCCCACCACCTACTCGACCACCACCAGCACCACGCCCTTCCCCATCATCCCCATCGTGCACTTCGACAAAGAGCAGAGTGCTGACGGCAGCTACAAAACCAGGTTAGTGTCTAGCGCCGTCCGGGTAGGCAACACATCGCTCTCGGTCGGGTCGACCAGGAGCGCCGTGGCGGTAGGCAGCCCATCCGGCACCACCCGGCACGCCCTCGAGCAGGTCAAGGCAGAGCGCCTTGGGGGTAGGCAGCCCAGCCACCATGGCGGTAACGCGCACTGCCTGTGCACGGCGCTCCCAGCGTTCCCAGCGCAGCGGCGGCGCTCGAGGGAAAGAGACTGGGGTTCGAATCCCGCCCACGGCATGCAAGAAGCTGAGCACAAAAAGTCGCTAGCAAGACAGAAGATGCCTACAGACCAGTCCAAACAGAAAACGGTTTGCAGTCTAGTTTTGGACCCGCTGTTTGTGGGGCAAAGCAGAAAGAACGAGTGAGTACATGAAAACTGTGGCTGCCCTGTTCCAGCTACGAGACGGCCAACAACATCTACGCCGAGGAGACAGGTTTCTTGAGGAAGCAGGGCGCGAAGCCCGAGGGCGACTCCGACGAGGTGGAGGAGTCATTGGTGCAGCACGGCTCGTACTCGTACACGGCCCCCGACGGCAGCCTCATCACCCTGAGCTACACGGCGGACGAGATGGGCTTCCGCGCGACGGGCGACCACATCCCCACGCCGCCGCCAGTGCCGCCAGAGATACAGCGCTCGCTCGACATCATTTACGCCCAAATCCAGCGCGACCAGGTGCGAAAACGAAACGCGACGTCTGAAGCGACGTCCGTGGCGGGGCGTGGCTTCGAACCCCAGTCGGGCAAGCTTTTTCAATTCGCGTCGCCGAGGAGGGGGCGTGTCTGGTGGGCTGGCCATGAAGGTGAGGGTAGTTTTGAACACGGGCTCATGTCTGCCGCTATTTCCAGGAAGAGGCTGAGCGAGAGGAGCGGGAGGAGCGGGAACAGCAGCAGCGCCAGCAGCAGGCGGGCAGCGCCAGCGTCCACCAGGAGGAGTCCGTCGGTGCGCCGAAGCGCTTCGCCAACCACCGTCATGACGACGTCGACGACAACGCCTCCAACAACGACGCCAACGATACCGTCAACGACGCCACCAACGACACCGTCAACGACGACCGCGCGGCCCGCGACGAGGAGGCCGTCGTCAAGAAGCTCAGTGGCGCCAACAAGCGTGGTGGACGGCGTCACTAGGAGGCGCCACGTTCGGCCCGCCTCCTCCAGCACCACCTCCTCCAGCACCACCTCCACCTCCACCACGACCACCACCACCACCATCGCGACAACCCTCACGACACCCACCGCGGACGTCGCCACGGAAGTCCCTGATCTTGACCACGATGTCCAGGACGCGCCAAGGCGGGGGGCTTCTCGTGGACGAGGCTGGTCCTGGACATCCACAAGTTCCTGAGCGGGCGCGAGGCGAGGCGGGCTGGTCCGAGAAGGGCTGGTAGAAGGGCTGGTTCGAGGCGGGTGCCCGCAGGCAGACGGAGGCCGCGACCGCAGAAGCAAGCCGACTGACGGGAGCGGGCCTTCGGTGAAATTATTTGTAAAAAGATAGGGAAGACTGACTGTGGATGGCGGCTTGCCTTCTCACCTGTTGTTGTTCTTTTGTTATTGATTTTTTGTTGACTTACAGACTGAAATAAGTAAATAAACCCCACCTTTTTACCGGTAGCGAAGGCAAGTGCAAGAGGGCACTTTGTTTTGCTGCAAAATAAATATGTGGAAATCGCTACCATTGTCTTTTCAAAATTCTCGCCTGGAGTAGCGTCAGCCACATCTTGAAATTGACGGCTTGGCCGGGGTCGGGGCAGGGCAGGTTCAACGCGCAGGGCGTGCAGGGCGAGCGGGGCGTGCAGGGCGTGCAGGGCGTGCAGGGCGTGCAGGGCCTTCTCGGAGGCGAGAATGATGGGCGTCGCGCGGCAAGTGTTGCTGAGCACACAATCCACACGATCCGATCGGCGTGCTGCACTTTGGCGCCTCACTGCGTGTTTACCTTTGGCAACAAAGAAACTGTCGGGCCGCCGGACGCATCCACACGGCATGCCGCCGCAGCGCGAAGCAAAAACCAACACTTTTCCATCCCCGGCACGCACGCAGCCATCCCGAAAACAATGCAATTGCAGCCGGGCGAGAATTTACGAGGTGCCGGCCTGACCCGCCAGGCTGCCCCGGCCCCGGCCGCCCTGTGCACTTCGGCCCCTACGACGCCGTGCCGGGGAAGCCGCCAAGCCGCGGGGACCGGACTTTCCAAAGCGTCAGGTGGGCGCAGCACGCAGCGCGCAGCGCGGACACACGAGCCCTTCGGCCCTGCCCGAGGCCCGGACGCCCGGACGGCCCGAAGGAGAGCGGCAGTGATCCCCAAGGATCCAGCGATCCAGTACGACACGGCCGGGGCGTCGCCGCGTCACCGCGTCACCGCGTCACCAAGCCGCCGGGCGAGTGGCTCCGGGCCTGTTGCCCGCTTGTAACTCGACACACTGACCCTCCAGGTCCTCGAGGTCCTCGTCTTCGTCCCCGCGGCCCTTTCCCTCTCGGCCCTTTCTCGATCGCCCGGCCGCCGATTATGAAGTGGGTCGGGTTTCGGAAGGCACCCGTAGCGCGCCCTTGGGTCGCCCGGGGCACGACGCTGCAAGCAGTGCCAGCCCCGCCAGCCATGCGCGCGAGCCCCTACAAGTAGTGGGTCACACATTTGGCGAGTGCACGGCCGAAGCCCCTCGCCTCGGCCATGATGGCTCGGCCCGGCCCATTCAAGCTGCGCGCCGGTAATGCGTGCATCCGGTGGACGCTGCCGTCGCCCCGTGCCCCCGCGCGCCCTGCCCTGCCCTGCACGCGACTCCGATACCATTTCGGGAGGCACCGATCCAAAATCCCGGCTCGGGCCGCGCGATCACAGGAAGGGCCGATTATGGAGTCACTCTCCCGAAAGCGCGCTGACACGCTGGCTAGCGAAAGGCAGATTCAAAGCCGGCTCTCGGCGCTCCGCAGACCAAACCAGACTAAGGCGTCGTCCGAACAAGCAACTCCCCAAGGGAAGCGCGACGAACGGTTACACTGCCCGAGCCCCCAGCCCGAGCCAACAGCAGATCTCATAAAATCTTGGCAGTGACGTACGCTCCGCGATTCGGAGACCTGTAAAGACACGTGCTCACTGGCTACACCTAGCTACACCTGGATAATCAGTGCATCTACTGTAGGCAGTCGTCTGGCCCCAGGCCATGGCAGCCCCTGCAGTGTAGGCAACCGCGTACCAGTTATACTACTCTGGTCCAGCCAGCGGCCCGTCACAGCATCCGGTGCGGTGCGGTGCTTGTCCGGCTTCACAGGAGTGCCGCGTGGCTTACCACAGCAGCGCAGGGCCGTACCGATAAACACTGTCTTTGGGCACCGACTCCTCAGACACCAGGTTCTTGTAATAAATCCTGTCGCTTCGAGGCCTTTCGGCCCTGGATTGTTCCATTGAGCCTCATAGCTCCGCCTGCTGCCATGACTCGCCTCGACGGCCGGCCCCCGGACGCTATGCACGCCAGACACGCCATGGACGCCATGGACGGGCTCGGGTCCATGGGAGCACAGCTTCATTGGAACGCGTAGGAAAGACAGGCTGGCTTGGGCCAGGTGGTCAGCAGGTGTTCGGGGTTCTAAGTGATGCGTGGTACTTACTAAGCCCTGCCCTGCCCTGCCCTGCCCTGCCCTGCCCTGCCCGCTTCCCCGCTGGACCCGCTGGAGCCGCGACGACACCCACGGGGCCGCCGAGGCTCTGATGAGCTCTGGTTTCAGCTAGGCGCTGCGTTCCACGATTTAAATAAGGCTCGTGGGACACAACCGGAAACCTCTTCCTTAGCTGTTGGGACGTCGCAAGAGCACTGCCTCCGGTATTTTTGTGCTTGTCTATCAACCTCACTAAAGTAATAGTGGGAGGCTCATGCTTGGCGGAGCCGTTTGTTGAACTGAATGTCCAACTTTGAACCTTGAGCACGTGATGATAGCGTGAGGCGTGAGCGTGGACGGTGCGTCGCGTTGTCGCGTTCTGCGGCTGCCATTTGGGTTGCCTATGCACCGGTCTGCGGGCGCTGGGCGCTGGGCTCGTTCCGCCGAGTCGGTCTCCCATCCGTGGCGTTCCTCGCTGTGTACTTTACTCGCGATGGATGACGCTGGCTTTAGGCCCGCGGGCCGGGCCGTGGCGGGGCGTGGCGGGGCGTGGCGGGCTGGCTGCCCTGCGGGGGAGCGCACCTGGGCGACGGGCAGCGCCCAACGCCTCTCTCGCCTCTCACCGCCCCTCGCCTCGCCGGGATTGGAAGCCCGGCCGAGTCGAGGCGATTCGAGCCGAGTCGAGTTGAGCCGAGACCGGCCAAGGGACGGAGCCGGAGCCGAGCCGGCCGTTCGAAGCTCCTGCAGGCTGCAGCCAGGCTCCGGGCGGCGGGACGACGGCCGGGACGACGGCCGGGACGCTGGTCATCCTTGTCGGTCCTTGTCGCACGCACGGCGCGCACGGCGGTACGACTGGGTGCTCGGGGAGGGGGACATTCCAGCGCGGTGAGGCCGAGATGAGACGACGAGGCCGTGGTGGGGGCGGGCCCGGGGCGGGCACTGAGGGTACTTGGGGGCACATGGGGCACGCAGCCGTGGGCGTGTTGGTGGCGTTGGTGCGCGAGTAGTCAAGTCATTATCAAAGGGCGTATCCTGCTCTCCGCCTCGCCTCGCTTTGTTCAGCCCAAGGGCCTCGCCGTCCACCTACGCGTCGTAAAGTAACTCGCGGGACAGCTTTTCAAAGGCTATCCTGATGTAGCGTTATCTTGGGCCGGCGGCAGACACTCGCGCCAGTTCCAGTTTTAGGTGCGGGCACCATCAATAACCGATAAAAGACACCACGGATCAATTCGGAGACACGAAAAAGAGACGCCCAACGTGGGGCTCGAACCCACGACCCTGGGATTAAGAGTCCCATGCTCTACCGACTGAGCTAGCCGGGCTGATGAGTGGAGGGCGGCCAGCGACGCGTAGCATGCAACAGTTGGCCCGGCGGCGGGACGGGCGACGCGTGGTGGGGGAATGAATGAGCTCTCCTTCCCCCTCCACCGCGCCATGCCTTCTCCCCGCCCCTCCCCTCCCCGCGACGCGCCACGGCGCGGCCGGCCGCGGTGACCTACGGACTCGGAGGGACTCGCGCACCGTCTTATCGGTTATCGTTCTGTGGCGAATAATTTCTTGGCGGCTGAATAATTCTTTAGGGGGCGCTGCGTCCCCGCGTCCTCGGCCCGAGTCCGCGTGCCTCGACGGCGGCGACTGCGGCGACTGCGGCCTGCGAGACGAAGAAAGAGGCACGGAGGAGGGGAGGCGCTGCACATTCCCGCCCGACGAGCGACGAGCGACGCGAGCGACGCGCAAAGGGCGGATCCGCTGCATCTCATTACCGAGATGCGAGTGGACGCGCACAACGCGCGGCGCTCCGCACCTCCTTACCTGCAGCACTTCGGTAACTGGAGGCCGATTAGAGGGAGGCGCGGCTAATACGCCCAATAACAAGGTTAGCCGGCCCGAAGGCCGAAGCCCGAACGGGCGCCCTTTCGGCTCTCGGCCGGCCGGCAGGCTGCCAAAAGGCCGCCGACAAACGGGCTCGTCACTCCAAGTAGGTGTTAAGAAGTTGGTGATGGGCGGGGCCAACCCGTTGGGGCGGCAACATGAAACAGCCCAATCGGCCAAGAAGATGAAGAAGAAGATGGAGAAGAAGACCTTTCCCGCCTCAGAGGGCTGCTGCAGCGGAGCCAACAAATTGCCGCTCGGTTTTTCGTCGCCAAGCGATTGCAATTCAACGCGACGTCGTAATCCAATGCCGCGGGATGCGAGTCCGTTCGTTCGAGCGAGCCGAGGTGCGTCAAAGTGTTTTACACGACTGGTTGTAACGCCAGCTGCCCAATCGGAGGTGCTTCCCGCTTTCCTCGCTCTTTCCTCCTGAAGCGGCTAAGCAGGTGAGAAACCGCCCTGTAATCAAGGCGGCCAAAGGTACCGAAGGTGCTAAAAAGGCGTTGCGCCCCGACAGGCCGACAGGTGGGGTGGCTAAAGGGACGCTGATTAGGCCAAGCCTGGCCAAGCCCGGCCGAGCCGCGCATCTGCCGCATCTGCCGGCTTTGCCAAGCGTGGATCGCGGATCTGGAAGCTGAGGCCACCTTCCTCCTCGATGGCGACGCGACAAACGCACAACAAAGTAACCTCGCGTCTGGGAACGAATGGACGAGTACTACACTTTTTGGCGGCCTCTTGAACGTGCCCCGAGAGGGTGATGAGGCAGGCCCCCTATCGGCCAGCGCAACTTGTAGTAGAGAACCACTTTGCAGAATGAGTCGGTCTCGTCATGACGCCGGGCGCGAAACACGAGGTCTGCTCGTGCCGTCATCCCGTGCCGTGAGGTGTCGTGACGAGGCAGGCGAGAGGGCGGCGGGCAAACGAAAGGATAACCTCGCAGCCGGCCGGTAAAACGTGAAACGGAGCGCGCTGCCCGGCGCTGCCCTGGAATCGCATTATCGGCACCAGTTCGGCACCCGATGCTTGCTTCGTTATACACGGCAGCCACGCAGCCACTCATCCTCCAGGGTGCCGAGAGGCGGACAATGCGCCGTCATAATAAAAGGCGAGGTGCTAAAGCGGCATCA